ATACACCTTGGTGAAATTGACGGCACGTGACGTATACGTCAGCTCAGTTTCTCCGCCAAATTTAGCGGGAAAATTCACGTCTTGCGGCCAAAACATCAATTCAGTTTCCCGCTAAATTTAACGGTAAATTGACGTTACGTGACTTAACAATTTGTTTACCCGCTAAATTTAGCGGGAAAATGCGCGTCTTGTGACGTAGACACCAATCCAGTTTCCCCGCTGTATTTAGCGGGGGAAATCGATGTCCATTCAGTTTCCCCGCCAGTTTTGCGAAAAAAATATACGTTACATGACACACCAATTCCCTATAATGCATTTCAGGCATTATACAACCTTTATTTGTTATCTATTTTTGTTCAAATAATGCAAAGGGGCGATTGGCATCAAGCTCTAACGCACGTGCGGAACCCTTCATTTCATTTATTTACCTCAAAGGCATCAGATGATGTATTACATAAGTGGGGACAGCAAAAAGGGAGGAATTGTCATAATAGTAATTAACACATACAAAAGCAAAAAAAAAAAAAAGAGCGAACATTTTATATAAAAATTCACCAAATACATATAACTTTTGCCGCTGCCTGATTGGCTCTATCGGATCTTTAGTTGTTGTCAGACTTAGAGTGAAACGGAGGATACTTTCCACGATGTCCTCGACTTCGGCACAATGGACGAAGGTGGCGATTCTTGCGCGCAGGGTGAGGTCCCGGCGACGGCCCCTGCGGAGGACAAGGAGTCGGGCCACGAGACGCCGACCAAGTACGCCTACGTGCAAGAGGCGTACAACAGAGAGTACGGCAAGGTGATCAGCCAGCTGGTGGCCACGGTGAGTCCGCCCAAAACTGCGGATGACCCTGAACCAGCTTTGCGGGCCTGTGTGGTATAATGCGCGTATCCTGCGAAGAATTGACAAAAAAAAAAAAGAATAGATACGGTAAATTTGGAGAAATTTGTAGCGAGAGAGAACTCGCGTACAGTCATTGTACCCTGACAGAACAGCGACTAATCGAAACTCAAGAAGGTAGGGCGAGGGAAAGGAGGGTCAGGAAGGAGGAAGCAGACGGAACACTAAAGAGAGAAGGAGGTTTCCCCCTCTCTTCTCCAGCGTTCATCCAAATACTTTAGTAAAGTATAAATACCGTAGTAAAGTATTTGTTCATCTGCTCCCCCCTCCCTGGCCTGCCTTTCCCTCACCCTACCTTCAAGAGTTGCAACGGACTATAGGATATTCGCTTTTTCCTTTAATTCCTCTCGCACCCCTTCATCTCTTCATCTGACCATTCGGAGGCGTTCGCCTGTGTAATAAGGTGTTCATGTTGTGAACGTAGGTTTTGGGCAGATTTATCTCCGCCAATGGCTCGGCGTCAGGCACTTAGCCAGGATTTTGTGGGGGGGGGGAGGGGGGGGCATGACAAAATGCTTTATGAGGGGGAGGGGGGAGAGGAGGCCCCAGCAAAATGGAAGATTTCGGGAGGGGCGGGGGGGAACCCAAACCCAATGCCCCCCCCCAACCTGGCTACGTGCCTGCTCGGCGCACACTGAAAGCATCTATCTCCCCACGATGTCCATGATATATCCCGCGCGCCCATTTTGGGATATCTCTGGGATGTCCCTGTCCCCACCAGAGGTCGTTGTACGTATTTCTCGCATTTGTCCCCGAGATACACTCACCAGATCCCAAAGGATTTCTGTTCGCATTTTGCGGGTATATTGTATTAAAGCGCGAAACACATGTACGACGAAACCTTCCGATCCGACGTGCGGACTGCCGGAATGACCTTGAGGGGAGAGGGTTTTCGTAGCATCAGAGAGCGTTGAAAACCCTCGCCTCCGACCGTCGTATTGCGCGGTCGGACGTCGGATCGGACGGTTTCGTCGTACATGTGTTATTTGGGCAGTGGGACTGGGGAGCCTGGCGACACCCAAAGGCGCGACGTTCGAAACTTGGACCCCCTTCGAATGTATACCCGCGTTTGCCAGCGTCTGCGCTCACAAATTATTCGATTTCATTGAACAGTATAAGTTTCGAACATCGGCAATCGCAAACCTATACCCGCGTTCAGCGTTGCTCTCTACAGGGTGTTTATTTCTTCTTAATTAGTAGGTGCGGATTAAAAAAAAAAGAAGGGAGGGGGGGACTAACCGAAAAAATACATGTAGAACTTTACCATACGCACGCGCACGCGCACACACACATCCAGCAATATTGTATAGGTGTGGACAAAGGCGGCCACTAGGACATGTTTAATTAAATAATTATTTCAGATGACAGAGACAAATTTATGGTTCATGCTTTGGGAGAAAGGAAAGGGGGGGGGGGGGGGGAGGGGCGTAGCGTTGCACGTTGCACAGATCTCTTTTGTTGACCTAATATTTGCCATTTCACCAAAAACTAAGCATTCATATTTATTTCTACCCCCCCCCCCCCCCTTAAATCCGTCCCTGTCAGATGATGCAGCATTTCTAAAAATACCGGTGCTCCAGATGCACGCTATCTGACCCGACAGATTATGCCATTATGTTACATGGCAGGGGGAAGTATAGTGAGTTGTTAAAAATAACAGTGAAACCAGGAATCTAACGTATATACGCCAAGGCACGAAAGATGAGGATTGGTTTATCTCCGCTTGAATCAGGAGATGCTGTGCTGAATATGGAATATGCATGCCTCTGCGCGGTGCTTGTGAGTTTGACGGCCGGGAAATCACTGAAAAGACATTCACCGCGGTGTCAGCGACTGATAAAACCGACACGAGAAGAAGTTTTCGCTCCTCAAAGTTTTATCCGATATTGTTCTTCGTTCTCTGGTGGGTCAAATATGTCTATTGGCACGTGGATGATCGCGGCTCTTCGCGGTTTTCGCCAGTGTATAGGGATGGGTTTGTGTTTTCAATGAACATATCTAGTGAAAATGTGTTAGCGCTGAGTCTGACCCCGAACGTTTCGTGTAAAGCGTAGCTCAAATGAACTCAGATTCAGAAACTAACGACGTATTGTTCGGACTTTGCTGAGGTTGGGTAAATAAACCTTTGCCTCCACTCTGGGAGCTAGCCTTAGCGGCATAATAGCTTCTTTCTTTTATATAGATATATTAATAAATTCTAACGATTATTTTAATGGACGGGTTAATTTCTATCTTTTGTAGTACGCTGTTGGCTGAATCCCCAGTGGAATCTCCCAGAGGCATTAGCCTGAGATAGGGATGTTGTGAGGATTTTGATAAGTGGTGGATTATTCATACACGATTTGTAGAAGAGACAGGATGGCGGGAACGCGGATGTGAGTTGTGAGCCGGGCGTACATGTCGCCAACACGAACAGGAACGGTTGTCGCGTGTCTTGGAACTTCGCACGAAAGACGACCAAGTTCCATCAGAAAAGAGATGTTGAGGACTACATGCTCTGTCTGGGCACAGACCTATCGCGAAACGCGCAGCGCCTTCTGCGACGCCGAAAGGATTGCTGGGAACGCCCTGTATACTATAACTACCTGCAACAGACGACGAAGGTGACCTTATATAAGGAACGGAATTCACGGAAACAACGCAGGTATACAGTGGGCGAGGGCAAGCGAGTATTTGCAGTACCCTCTGTTAGGGTAACTGAACGGGAGGTGTGCTCACTGCCTGCATCGATTTATCCAGGGATCCAGGGCGAAAGTAGAATGGCGCAGTCATCGAATCTGATCATAATTTCCGCCAAGAACTACGCGCCTTTTTGCCGGGTCGCCGCATATGTGCTGGGATCATCTGGTATATTCATAGCAATGAGCAGTACTCCGTTGCATGCTGCTGCTGACCGCTTTTCCACCCATTGCGCTTGATCTTATTTTATCGGCCGCGCGGTGGCCGACGTCTGGGTGTGATCCACAGGCCCCCGGCGCAGCAGCCCCCGACCCGCCGGGCCCCGAGGAGTTTCCCAGGAGCTGCGTCCGGTTGGAGAAGGTCCTGGGCGAAGGGAACTTCGGCCGTGTCTGGAAGGCCACGGCCGTCGACCCCGGCGGCCCCGCTCGCACCGTGGCCGTTAAGACGCTCAAGGGTACGCATCCAAGGCGCGCCTCAGTTGGCCTTTTCATTAATTCATTCATTCATTCAATCATTTCAACCTTAACTCCATAATGGTAAAAAAAGAAGTAAAAAGAAAACCTTCTTGGGTGAAGTTTGGCAAGTACCTGCCCCTTATAAAGATATAAAACAGCTTTGTCAGCACCTAAGTTAATCTATAGTCAAACAAAACCAGGCACAAAAAAAAAATACACCGCAATAAAAGTTCACAACAGAGTGTACAATATTGCAAAATTCCCAACGTCCGAAAAACAAAAACAAAAAGCCCCCCCCCTTTTTTTAAAAAAAGAGGGGGGGGGGGGGAGAAGGGGAGACAGCATTCAGGAATTTTTTTATGTATATAATATTTTTTTCGGTCCCATAAACAGATATGCTCAGATGAGATCATATAAGAAAAATATAAGATTATATAAGAAGTTATAAGAAACTTGTCATTAATTTAAAATAAACTTCTATGCTAATTTTAATGCAAATTTTTATGAGTTCCTTATAACTTCTCATATACTCATGCAAGGTCCTTACTTACACAATCTGATCGACCATATGTGTTTATTGGACCAAGAAATTTCTAATGCAAATAAGATCTTTCACTAGGGAAAGCATTTGCAATCCACAACTTGTTCTGGCATGTGGCACGTTTGGACCGTGCGGCACGTTTCAAACCACACTTCCGTTCGGAGGACAGTGTTCTCAAATAACGGTCTTATAGCTTACGATTATGTTAAAACACCTGAGACTGGTTGTGAAAAAAACCTTGAAACAACCAAAGTAGAGGAGACAGGGAAAGAAGTCAGCCAGACAACGTATCAAACTCGGCTAATAAGTTTATTCAGTAAACCTTTAACATATACCATTGAAACCAAGGCCTCAGCAACAACTAAAAATGTGTAAGCGCTGACTCTGACCCCGAAAGCTTCGTGTAAAGCGGAGCTCAGATGAACTGACATCGTTCAGAAACTAACGACGTATTGTTCGGACTTTGCTGAGGTCGGGGGAAACAAACATTTGCCTCCGCTCTGGCTAGCCTTAGCGGGACAATAGCTTCTTTCTTTTATATGGATGTACTAATAAATTCTAGCGATTATTTTAATAAACGGATCCATCTTGATCTTTTGTAGTATTCTGTTGGCTGCATCCCCAGTGGAATCTCCCAGGGGGCATTCGGCGGCGAGGTGGATGTTCTGAGGATTTTGTTGGTGACGGACCTTAGGTTTACTGAAAAAACTTATTATGTGAGTTTAAGACGTCGTCTGACTGATATCTTTTCCTGTTTCTTTTACTTTTGGTTGTTTCAAGGTGTGTGTGTTTATTTTTGTTTTTTTTTTCACACCGTCTTAGGTGTTTTAACGTAATGGTAAACTTACACCAGCTCGCCTGCGCCCTCACTGTGTTTTGGTCTTATGGCCTTATGCAGAAACGCTCAGCGTCAGCATTTTAAGCCGTCTATAATGCCGCAGCACGCACATTAAAGGGACTGTCTTCGCAAGGAGCGTGTGTCTTCAGCACTGCTGAAGGGGGTAACAACGGCATGCCTTGGGGCCTCTTGTTTAGCAGTAATTGGCAAATGCTTTTTTAGATTGCCAACGTCCCCTATAGAAATTTATAAACTGAAGTCCGTGATGGTCGATACAAAGGATGTATCGTTTGGCGTGGCAGTAACTGTTGAGAATGTTTTTGAAAGCGCGTGATTTTCTCGCAAATATGCTATTTCAAACATGCACTCTTGAACTGCACCGTCGCATGATGTATCTTTAATCCACAGAAGACTGCAAGCACACTGCACACTATGGTGCCTGGCACATCGGTTTCCGACCGGTGTGCCTCGCGTCTTTTGAACGCCCAATATATCATTCCCGGAACGCCAACAAGAGACGTAGCGCCGGCTCACGGGGTTGTCGTGGATCCCTGCGGTTGGTTGTAGAAGCGCTGGCATCCGTGGCTGACCCACTGGCTGCCGGAGTCCACTTTTGGGGTTGCTGAGCGAGGTGGCAGAGAACCTCTGCCGTATCATTGTCCAACTGTGCCGTTCCAAGGCGGTTCATGCCAGAATGTCTCGGGTTTTCATTATGTTAAAACTTCACCAGCTGCGCCTTCTTTTTACTTCTGTCATAGTATACGTAGAAACTCGTGGAGAGGGTCATTTCCATCCGCGGGAAGTTGTTTTATCGAGGTCTTCCATCTTGACGCGGAGGCCCTGACTGTTGCAGAGTACGCGAACAACGATGAGAAGCGGGACCTCATCCGCGAAATGCAAGTCATGCGGGAGCTGGGCAAGCACCCCAACGTGGTCGAGTTCCTCGGCTGCTGCACTCGAGACGGTGAGGCGACCTTTCCACAACGGAACGAGATGCACGAAGCTGTATCGCCGACTCCGAGTTGATTATGTGGCGTAGAAATGTCGAGGTACCAGCTATACAAATATAACACAGTTAGCACCAACAAACGATTGCATTTTTTAGAGCGTAGCTCTTAGGCGCCCATTCCCGGCTTGAGCGGCGTCGCCGTCGGCGTAACCGCGCGGTGCATTATGGGAAATGTCCCATAACGCACCGCGCGAGCCCCCCCCCCCGGGGTCACGTGACCTCGGGGGGGGGGGGGGGGGACGTGACCCCCCCTCCCCGAGGTCACGTGACCCCCTCCCCGAGGTCACGGGACCCCCCCCCCCCCCGATGACGTCATCGTCACTGGTGGCGTCATCGGCATCCGCATCGTCATCATCACTGGTGACGTCATCAGTGACGTCACTGATGACGTCACCGGCATCAGCATCGTCATCATCACTGATGACGTCATCAGTGACGTCACTGATGACTTCACGGCATCCGCATCGTCATCATCACTGATGACGTCATCCGTGAGTCACTGATGACATCATCGGCATTGTCATCGTCATGTTACCCCCCAGGTCATGTGACTCCCCAAGGTCACGTGACCCCCCAAGGTCACGTGATCCCCCCGGTCAGTTGACCCCCCCCCCCCCAAGTACCCTTCCCTCCTCCTCCTCAAGAGCTGCGCTCTAATTCGGCGTTACAGGCAGTTGTAAACGGCTTCCACTTTTTTCTTCTTAGAATCGAAAGGCTGGGATGAAAACAAATAGTGGAAGTCTGTGCTCATTCGGGGAGATGGTAAAGTTTGGTGCTCGTCAATATCCAGTCTTAGTAAAATGTGTCGCGCAGTGTCGATCAGGTTTCCGACGTCGCATCGAAGCGGTGGCGCAGGCTTTGTACGCGCATACTTTTGAATTGACGGAGATATGAGGAATGTTCAAGCTCGTCACTAACGTCACACTGTGAACTTCAGTGCCGTACTCCAAGCTTCTACCGGGCGTTTTACACGTACCATCGAACTTCTTGCTCGTAATCATAGCCCATGCATGGTCATGAAGTCAGGGGTATAGCAGAGACGTCGGTACTATCTGAAAATAGGTGTTTTTTTTTTGTATTTTTTCTTGTAGTGTGTGAATAACAATTCTTTTAAATATCTGGCTATTTATAAATATCGAGGTTGTTTAAACATACAAGCAACACAAATTTTAGCCCGCCAATAAAGTGACAGGAGGTGACAGAGCCCCCGTCGCGTCGCAGTTCTTTGGACGCACGTAATTAACGCCACACTTGCGCTTGTAACGTGGTCCCGAGGGCTCCCAACTGTAGACAGAACCGCAACCACTAAGCAGAAAAAACGCCATAATCTTGTTTACTGCGATTATATAGCGTATTCTACGCTACCTTCCATACGCGAGTTCGGAGAAAAGCTCAGACGGTCCGTGACGGGGAAGATATGGGACGCTCGCAGAGCCGCTGCTGCTCATCATGGAGCTGGTGTCCCGGGGCAAATTGCTGGGCTTCCTGCGGGAGCACCGGGCCCGGGGCGCGTACTACAACAGCCCCGAGTGCGACGGCGCCTTGGGCCCCAGGGACCTGGCCCAGTTCGCCCAGCAGGTCTCGCAGGGCATGCACTACATCGGCAGCCGAGGGGTGAGACTTCGCCAGAACTTAACTTGGCGCATATCAGGCTCAGCAAAAAGCTTTCGAACGTGTAGTTTTATTTATTTAGTGTTTTTCGGAGTAATTAAGTTGTCAATTATTTTCGCCTAATTACTTTTTCTAATATTAAGTCTAAGGGCATGGTCTCACTTAGAAACTTGCCGGGCATCATCGAAAACCCTATATCAACCTTATTTAGACATGCATAAAGAGATCTGTGTCGTGTTGTCCTCCTTGTCCCCACTTTCCAGAGTTAAAATGTCTGTAAAGCACGGCCGGCATTTTATAACGTTTGGGAAAACCCTTCTTTTTGTTTTTGCACGCGTTTTCTGTTTTTTTGTTTTTTTATCCAAGCGCAATCCAAGCGCTTAATGTTAGAAAAATGATTTACGCGAAAATATTTAACAAATTAATTGTCCCGAACTTTAATAATTTTTCTAAACGCGCCGCTGGCCAAAAACCAAAACTTCACAAGCTTTCTTTTTTTTTTTTTTTTTTTTTTTTTGCGCGCGCGATACGTAGTTACATTGTATCCGAGGATAACACAGGTCTTGTTGCGCTTGGCGGTGGAAAACGAATATCACTTTCCGTGGCAGCCGACGACTCGGATTGGAAAGAGTTTGTTGAACCAGGACAACCGTATGCAACCGTGTCTAGTGGTCGGACGTCCGGGCCCGCGGCAGAACGATGCCTCCCCCCAGCATCGCTGGGACAACGACATGCCCGAGACCATGACCCACGGTACCCCCGGTGTCGGTGGCACTAACAGCACGCGCAACAAAGGAGCGGGGGAATATTGCGTCACACATCCGGAAGGCACGTAGCTTATACATCTAACCCGGCCTCTATCAGCGTTGATTAGGTGACATAAAAAGCACGTAAAAATGACCAATTTGATGGCAAATTTACGCTGAAATGTAAGTCAACGGAAGCTGGCATTGGGGATGGCCATTTTTTTCCTCGTGCATTTACTTACCTTGTCAGGTCAACACTGGTCCTCTGGGTCTTGAACCGACGCTTTTCTTGTTTCTACCACTTCTAACGCTTACTGCCCCAGTGCCCCTGAGTGTTCTGGCAAGTCCAAATCCATAAAGGAAAAACTCTTTCCCCGCTTGTTGCGTTTGTTATAGAATAAATAAATGGGCAGTAGAAAGAAAAAGTCCAATCCTCATAATGGATTTTTTTTTTTTAATTTTTTAGTTCACAAACTAGCGCGAAGAGTTTACGCCTATTCTATATTTGTATGAAGGTAAAGTTAGCCATTGTTCAGAACAGTTCTAGGAAATGTTCCTAAAGTGTAAGTGGCGCCGTCGTCGTAGATAATCCACCGGGACCTGGCCGCCCGGAACGTGCTTGTCGACGAACACGGCTGCTGCAAGGTCGCCGACTTCGGACTCTCCAGGAGCATTAGGGACTCCGAGACAGACGTCTACCACCAGAAGTCCAAGGCAAGGGACTTCGTTTGTTTCCGAGCCGGGATCTCAGGAACCTCGATGTCTTACAGGGCGCCCTCCCGGTGCGGTGGATGGCTCCGGAGTGCTTGTACCTTCAGGTGTTCACCTTCAAGTCCGACGTCTGGGCGTTCGGAATACTGCTGTGGGAAATCGTCACTTTGGGTACGTCGGGGAGCAAAAGGCCACGGAGCCTGCACATTTAGCACACCGTTACCGGAGATGTAATTTTCTACCACTGTTCCTGGACATGCGCCTAGTGGTTTTTGGTTTTCTTTTCGCGCAATGAGTAATCATACCGAAAAGACAAACAGCGGCGGAAGCTACGTGCTCGCAGGATCAGTCATACGTTCATCCTTCACCACTTGATCACCCTCCCGCCCCTACCCACGAGCAGAGAGCAGGCTCAGGTAATGTAAGGAAGGCGGTTAATTGGTCAGTCGAGCCACTTGTTTCTATTGCACTGTCGGCTTAGCTGGAATATAAGCGCAACTCAGTCTTGCGCATGCTCGCTCGGATTTTCTGAACTTCCCTTTCCGTCTCACCTTTCCTCCTCGCAGCCATATAACGTACTTTTTTTGTTTTTAGATATATATTTGGCCGTACGAATACATTATTAGAGGAGCCACTTTTGATACCAGTGGAGGAGAATAAATGGAGCGAAAGTACCACCTACTTCTTCCCCATTTCTTTCAATACCTAGACACCCTTTTCGAAAAGGGGAACACTAACGGGCTTGCGCGAGGAACTCTGGCTCAAGTATGCCGTGGCAAGGTACGAAAACATCACACACCCGGCGTGGTTTCGGACGCGATTGTCTTCCCGCAGGCTCGACGCCCTACCCCGGCCTGGGCGCTCAGGAGGTGATCCGCCACGTGCGCGACGGTCACGTGATGTCGCAGCCGACCCACTGCCGCTGGGAGCTGTACCGCCTGATGAGGGCCTGCTGGAACCCGAACCCCAACGAGAGGCCCAGCTTCGAGCAGCTCTGCTCCGACCTGGACAGCCTCATCAAGCTGAACGCCGGTTACATCGACCTGGACAACTTCCCAGAGCATGCGTACTACAACGTGTACTACGGCGTCGACGAGAAGCTTTGAAGGGCCGTCGACTCGCGGAGGCGCCGCGCATGCGCCTCAGTTGCCGCTCTGCCGTCGCCGGTTGTTCTTCGCTCTACGAGACGTCATCCACGAAGCGCACGGTCCCAAGATGCCGGCCTCGTCCTTCTGGAAGAGGGTGTGATTCCGGAGAACTGTCCCGGACGTGCATCGGAACTTGCTTCGAGGGGCTGGTCGGCAAAAGACGAAGTTGGGGGTTTCCATGCCCCTCGGTCTGCAACAAACGCCGGCGTCATTGTCTTGACGGTGGCCACGGGCCGGAGATTTCCTGGTTTCTGTAGGTTGCTGTGTGCGGTTTAACAAACCGATGATGCGATTTTTTTTTTTTTTTTTTTGTAAGTAAACTTGCGTTGATTGAAGAACTCAGTTATATGTTTCGTATACTCACAGTTCAAACTAAACGTGACAGAAGTTACAATATTGCTGCTGCTAGCTACTTTGCGTCGTATGCTAAGCACATTTATCGGTCTGCATGTCTGATTATAATTTAAACTTTTTTTCAATCCAAGATCTTGAACTCAAGAATGCTCACAGGTAGGAACTAATGGATACGATCTGTCTAATATTTAATTGATCGGGGTCTTAGTAAATTCTGTGTAATTAATGTTGTTTATAATTCATCTTATGGCGACGCGTTAATTATACTTGTAGGAAACCAGGGTTGTAAAGAAAACAAGTACCATTCGGTAACTTTATTTGCCCGGTTTCTTATATATATATATATATATATATATATATATATATATATATATATATATATATATATATATATATATATGTGTGTATGTTTCGGGGGTAAAAATCGGGTTCCAAGTTGAATCGGGGAGGAATCAGACTTTTGTGGCTGCCTTAGAGTTGCATGGAAAGATACGATGCAATGTAATACATAAGAAAGTAATTCAAAATACATTACTTAATATTATTTTATGATTTTGAGAGTTTATAGCCTCAAACTCGCATGTTGTCCCAGACTTCACCTCAAACGTTTTGTAGCCGACAGGAAGTTTGTTTTTGGATATATTTTTTCTCGGTCTCACCGGCACATTCAAAAACTTTCCATAAACACGACCAAGGCAGTTCGAACGTCCGCGCATCGTTTATCGCAGTTCGTCCCTTTGATGTTCGTCTTCCGAGGTCCGGTGTCAAACACGCGTGTGCAAGCTGCTCGAGATATGGTGAAATGACCGCAGTCCTGCCGGAGTCAGTTGGACTGTCCTGTGGAAGGGCATCACCTACCGAAAAGAAAAAAAAAAAAAAAAAAAGAAAGGAAAAACAACAGTCCTTACACCAGTGGAAAAAAGTGCATTGTCACCTCCGCTTCTCCTAGACCGCTATCCGGAAAAAAATATTCCAGTTCACTGTCGACTTCGGTCCGAGCGCGGCCGATGTTATGAGCCGAAGGGCCAATCAAACACCGCAAAAAGCGCAGCGTCATGGCGTGCTCTGCGCTTGATAAGACTAGCCGGCGGAGGAGCACGCACAGAGAGACGGTGAATACCGGCTGGTCCTATCAACTGCAGAGAGCACGCCATGACGTTGTGCCTCTTTCGCTGTTTGATTGGCCCTTCGGCTCATAACATCGGCCGCGCTCGGACCGAAGCTGAAACGAAGTATAGTCCTTGCCCGCTGTGCCAGAAGTGTCCTCCACCCTTACCTGCACAGTCACCTGCATGCACCGCTGTTCCACTAATCTAGATCAAGAGGCCAACGCTTTGTCCCGCGCTTGGCCATAGATGGATGCCCAGAGATGTCTTTGACGTTCTGACCTATACGCCAAGAGACACGCGTGAGCACGCTTTTGAGATGGCGACATCTGCTCCTTTCCGCAGAAGCACGAAAGTGCCCCGGAATAGCTGAGGAGAAATGTATAACGCAACCGGTTCGTCAAAAAAAGAAAAAGAAGAGGAAAGTAGGACTTATTTACGCAGTGAGTTTAAGTTTATTTATGCAAGTACCCATGGCTGGGCATTAAATACAAAAGTTGACAGGAACAGATCAGTCATACGGGTCAGTGAATAAAAGAAGATAAGAGAAAGAACAAAAATGACAGGGAGGGGACATATTTGGGAATAACGCGGATCATCGAGAACACAACCAATGGAAGATTGCAGAATTTGCTCGTAAACACACATGTAAACAAAACAAACAAATAAAAAAGGAGGGGACGCCAGGGAAGGTAAGTGCCAGACTCAAGCTGTTCGCGGGTGTCCGAAGGTTTTATGGTGGGTCAGCCAGGCAGAGGAAGTTTTCTACCAGAAGGCTCAATTGTGAATTCGCAGAAAATGCTCGCGGGGTGATGCAGTTTACTGACGTGGTATTCGAACGCAATATGCGTTACTTTAAACATACCCATCTATTTACAGTAGAATGCATATTCCTGACAAAGGTTGGCACCCTCCCAAAGTTAAAATAAATAAATAAATAATGTTTTCATTTCTCTATCAAATTTTGGAAGGCAAGATAAAAGTACTGACAGACACGAACTTCCAAGAAATTTTACGGTAACACACAACTGGGGGGAGAGCTGAAACCCAGTGAGAAAGTGACGGTGATAGAATGCGAAAATTCGAGCACATGACGTCACCTGAATAAAAAAAAAAAAAAAAACGAACGAAAAATAAAAATCCTCTATCAGCCAACGTTTACCTAAGCTTAATCTTCATCATACCGATATTTGCAATTTCGGGCGCCTTTAGCATTTATTTAATTTCAGTGAAGAAAACTTGCCAGTTAGAAAGACAATATTGTTTTCTTTCTTGCCCATAAGTTTTGTTTCACTATAACATAATTGATACACGCGCCCAGAATCTCAAATTTAAATTTGATGACTTAATGAAGGGCGCAAACAAGCTAAGTATTAAGCTTGAAAAAAAAAAAAAAAAACTGAGATTGCGGGTAAAAACGACATATACACTAAAATACCTTTTAGTGCATCATGTATGTATCGTTTTTACCCTCAGTCTCTGGGTTTCTGTCATGTTTGATGAATATTATTAGGCTTAGGGACGGCGTAGCGAATATTTGCTTTTCTTTTGCATCTTTTGATCCAGGTAAAGTCATGTGCTCAAATTTTCGCATTTTATCGCCACCGCTAGCGTCACATTCTCACGGAGTTTCAGCTTTTCTATTTATTTGAACATTAACATGTTCAACAGACATATATTTTGTTAGTGATATGACTAACCGTATGTGATTTGCAATTCCAAAGATTTTTTTTTAACGAAAAGAAAATCTCCGGCGTTTCTATTCATCTAATATACACATTCAAGCTGAGCCATTATAGTTCAAAGAGGTAAAATATTTTTACAAATTTTGCAAACAATTTAAGAAATATACTAAAAAGAACTACGTAACTACTTCCAGGAAAAATACAATTTGCATAGTGTGAGACGTGTTCTAAGCGGTTTAAAGCTTGAAAGTAATGCAATTCGAAAATTAAAAGATTGGTAGAAGCTGGAAAAAAAAAATTAAAACAAGACGCAGAAAACTGTTTGTTGTCAAGGAAGCAAGAAATAAGAAAGAAATTACTGAAACAAGGTTTCAAGATAACAAAATGAAAAGTTTTGCTGATAAGCTGTGCAAACCTGTTCGTTGTTTTAATTGTCTCATCTGCATGCATTAAATGCACACTCGCCTTATGTTGTGTTTTATATAAAAGAAATCAGTGTACACAAAACGAAAGTTGACCCGCAAAACAAAAAAAATCGACGCCCGAACGGGGACTCGAACCCCGGACCGTTAGGTTAAAAGCCTAACGCTCTACCGACTGAGCTATCCGGGCGCGCTGATTTGGGGAGTTCGATGTTATAATTTAAAACGCGTCTACCACTGTTATCCTTTTCAGAACTAAACTTAGACTTTTTGCGTTTCTCTCACTTCATAATTTCATTATGCAGAGCCATTGCAAACAAAACCATATCTGCACATTGGTTTGCACCTGTTGTGACAGTTTCTGGCGGCTAAATTTGTTTGGAAATGTCTTCGTTCTGCTTTCCTACGTAGTGACTCATTCATAAATCCAACACTGATATACAACTTAGAGATTACGTTTCATTTGTATTTTCACACTTTCTAAACGCTTTCTAGGCAAAACATACCAAGGCAGGCAGACTCAGAGCCGAATCGGCTAGCACCCGGGCCGAATCCAACAATCCGATCGAAGCTGGTCGTCACCACGCTCTCGACGTGCTCAGCCACACTCGACGACGGAGAAAGTCGAACAATTCTTCCCACAAAGTCAGGTCGGCCGAGCTGGACTAGCGAATAATCGGGAATGCGGTCTACGGACTCCTTACAGGGCAACGGCAGGTGGCCTGCGAAGCCCCCGATCAAGTTCCGAGAGTTGCTACCGATGGAACTCAAAGACAAGGTGTCGGGCAAGAAGGGGAAGTCTTCGGGTGAGCAGCGGGTTTGGTGAACTCCGACGGTGTGCTCTGCAGTGAACCCTCGCGTTCTTTGCAGACGTCGCATGTCTGCCGGAGATGATGACTCTCTTCGCCTGCCTGTCGGAAAAGAACTACGACTCGAACAACTGCCCGCAAGAGGCGTCGGCCTTCCAAAGCTGCTACGATCGCCACCTGGTAGGTCTAACACCGTCCGCGCCCGCTCGGCGGTGTCTGATCCGATTGCCCTTTCGTTTCAGCTGAAGAACGCCGAATACCGACAGACCGGATCTCAGGGCATCTTGACGCCCGGATTGAAGCCTTCGCAGCTCACGTCCCAACAAGCCAACACGCTCCTCAGAAAATACCCCATCGCCAAGATGCTGAGGAAAGTTCGTTGAATCAACCAAGTAGCACCGGCAACCCACGCTCGTTACATGTAGGATTAATAAATTTAATTCATTTTATTTAAGTATTACTGTTAAAGCAAGAACGCCAGCTAGCTGCTTTAATGTAAATACCTTTAAGAGTGGGGCAGAAGGGGCATCACAGAGGCATTACAAACACGACTTGTAATCAAACACGAAGGCATTCGAAGCTTGCAGGAATTAGAACGTGAACCTCCTAGAGACCTGAGGTAGATTTATACGGGAACCTGTCCTCCATCCTGTCCCTTCTCCTGGGACTAAATGTCACAAGAATGAACGCTGAAAGCCCAAGTCCATTTTTGTCGGTTATCTTCTTACATATGCCAGCGAAGCTGCAGGAGCAAAATACTCTTGTAGCTCGTCGCCGATGTCTTGCCTGGAAAATACCAACCACTGTTTGGAGCGTTTCTACTAATGAGTCGTAATGTTGCACATAAATTCCAAGATGCAGACTAGTGACGCTAATGCAACTTAGATTGAACCATGTGCAGTCTGCTGTGGTATCTTGTAAGCTAGCAGGCACTTGTCCTTTGTTTAATTTTCAATACTTGAGAGGAGGAAGGACCAAAGAAGTTGCCGACCTGGAGAAATTGCATCGCCTGGATTCGACGATTTAGCAGGAGGACATACGGTTTGAGTTTTGGGGCTGTTAATTCAAACGTGAGTGGGCGAGAAACAAAGTCCAGCATCTCTTCTCCAAATTGCAGAAAGAGGGCTCATGTCTGAGTGGGCCTTCTTTTTTCAGGATATGGAGTAGTCAGCATTGTAGTTGATCATCAAGGTACCTTCCATTTCAATAGGCAGTGCTGTTCAATTTTGATGGCAAGCAGTCACGGAGAAAATGCTCAGAAAGTGTGACTAAACGGCATACTTGGGTAAATTCCTTCTGAAAAATAATTGAGTAAATTCATTCTGAAAAATAATTTAATTACAATTGCAACAACTTGGCTTTAAAGGGAATTAATCACAATTAAAATTACTTGCACACAAAAAGTGAATAATTATGATAATGCATTACTTTTAGAAAGTAATGCAATTACTTTGCTAATACTTGCCTTTGAGAGATACCCGACTTGGGTTATGCTAAGGTGATTGCATTTTTTCTTCACTGAAATGTATTTTTTTATTTTTTGGTCTCCGTTGAAGGTTCAGTATATGCCGTTTTGCATTCATCACGTTTTGTGCCTTACGTTCACACAAAAAGAATAAAACACTGAAATGGACGAAGGATAGAGGCAGTATTTCCAACGACCACAAGGACACATTTATATAATGCCTATTGCAGTACGAACGCCACTTTAGTCACAGAGAAATCGAAAGGAAATTAAAATACTAGAAAAAGATAAAGATTGCTGAATTTAACTCCCTGAAAAAGAAGAGGTGCAATGTAGTACGATGGACATCATATAAATGTGTCGTTGCACATTGAAAGTGCACACTAGCTAGGAGCACATGGAGCTAAAGCTCGTGCTGCAGAACCCAGGGATCCTGGGTTCAATGCAAAAATATTCCAAAAGCCGGGAATCATAATGATAAAAAAAATGCGCCGACTTTACTTAGCAAGATTAAATAGGACTGTTGAAGCTTTTTCGCTCATTTCTGCTTGAAGGTTTCACTGATGATGTTTCCCGCATGGGAGACGAAACGTTTGATTAAATTGTTAATCTTGTTAAGTAAAGTCGGCACAGCTTTTTTGATCATCCTGGGTTCAATCTTCCCACCCACGCTTGTTTCGATCTTGATGAGCATTGTACCGGCGTGCGGTCATGTATCACTACTGTGTGGTGCACGTCCCCAGGCTAGCGTTTGTACCGTGCTGGTGAAATTTCTCATCTACAGGTGACACACCAAATGCCCACTGAGGTAGACTAACTTCCAACTGCATAAACATACACACATCAAATTTTTTTTGCTCTTTGAAAGAACTGTAAGTGTCTGTCCTTGGTCCGTTTCAATATTTTGTTCTTTCTGTGTGAACTATAGTTTCTCCTACGTCCTCTGCTACGTGTGCATTTGTGCATTTGTTTCACCTGCTTCAATAATAGCGTGATGTGGGAAGGGAACAGTTTTGAGTATTACACGAGTCAGTTGTTTTATTATTTTGCAACACCACCAAGAGCGTTAGTGTTCTTTTTATTATGAAAATTCACAACAAAACTTATCTATAAGCCTTGGTAGTATGTCAAAACAATCCAATGGGGCTCAGAGTCTTAATTATTATCTTAATCAAAGACGTGAGTCGTTACAAGATAATCATTGTACAAATCACAATCACATCCTGACAATGACAGACACTAGCTTTTTGAAGGCATGTTTTGTGCACCCTCACAGGTGCAGTGGCTTTGGCAGTTTCTCATCTGTGTGACCATCATGGGTACCCTGGTGCAGTGTCTGTGCGTTCACAGCACCTGTATTTGGCAAAAGGACAATGAGGCAGACGCTCAGTGCATTTTTGGCCTGTCAATGCCTCTGTAAAACAAAGGTCCAGCCTAACAAAATTATTAAAAATGTTACTGTAATAAAAATATTGCAATTACTGAGGTTAAAAGTAATTGCATTACAATTACTGAAGTGATCAGAATTAAGCATAACTTAAAAACTAATTAAATCAGAGTAATTTAAGTACACCACAAGTATGCTAAGTGGCAACAAAGAGTACTTGTCCTCAGAGAGGCTCTCGGTCACCTTGTGTTTTGTGGACGGCTTCGTGAGAAGTGCGAGCACATGGCCTTCCTTACACAAGTGCTCGTGCACACAAAGCATTTTACACTGCTCTCGGGCTTGTCTTGACGCCGCCGCACACAGCTTGTGAGAGGAATAAACACCGTGCTGAAAAATGGCCAGGTGGCATGAGCCACCCTAAATTACATTTCAAGGCTGCTTTGTTCATCTGATTGAAGTTCTGAACGTTTGGAGACCAGCAAGCTTTCCCAGTGTTGAAATTGGACCGAATCTTTTGGGATCAGCTCTTGGAGCAGCAAAAATAATGTTTGTTGTACAAGCATATATTTAATCATCATTCCACTGTCGATGGTATGTTAAGATCATGTGCTTGCATTGTCCTGTCCAGCTTTTGCTTTCCCAGTTCTGTGCAGCCACTCATAAGCACCCATTACAAAGCAGACAGTTTGATTCTACAAACACTCATCTAACTGTGTAGTCGTGCTTAAAAGCAGCATATACACGGCAACATGGATGTTGCCGTGTATATGCTTTTGAAACACACAATGACTAATGGTGTATTTAGCATTGACATATCTGAGTGGTTATCTTAAGAACTAAAAGTAAACGAAATGTTGGAATAATTTTGAGCACTAAAAAATGGATGTTTTGCACAAGTCTAAAAGTTCACATAAAACTGCAATTCCAAATTCAGTTAAGAAACAAACAAACATAGGTTTTGTCATTTTAATTATGCACGAATGGTATTTTATTGAATATTTTTTAATGAAAAATTGATGTGGGTCAATTCAACTGAAGTTATTCAGATTATTGCTAAGCTTCTATTTGTCCACTGCGGGAAAAAACTGATTTAGTTTAATTTATACCTTATTGGCTGCCCTCTAACAGTTGGACGCCTAAAAAAGAGGTGGGAACTAAATAAGGGATTTGACATAAAAAATAAATCTGTAGTGCAGCTCGCTACGCGGTTTTGTAGAGATAATCTCGCTATACCCAAATATCTTCCAAAATATGGGATTTGAAAACAAATCTCGACATGCACGCAGCTTGTCGGTTATCACAATCTAAAAACGGGACAGCGCTGGGCAGATGCCAACGTTTGTTTGCACAAACGTTGGCATCTGCCCAGCGTTGCACATGGTGGCCCATGCTCGGAGGCGCGCTATCTCGGACCTAGTGTCAACCGCCAAATGTCGCACGCGCAGCCCGGAGCGTGCACTCCCGCGCTCTGGACAGGTTACGCAGCAGGGTAAAGGCTGGTTCACACATTTGCAACGGTTGCGTTCGCATGCAACCGAGACGACCGTAACGACCAAAACACTGTAAAAACCGTGACTCATGGATGACTTCGCGAAGCTACCTCTTGCATCGCGTGCCATGCTGTGTACGGCGAACACTTGTCCCGGTGACTTTGTCGTTACAGTCGTTTCGGTTGCATGCGAACGCAACCGTTGCAAATGTTTGAACCAGCCTTTAGGACTTGGCGGAAATAGAGCAGCAGCTTCCTCCGGTTGGATATCCAGCAGTCGGAAACAGTCGAATGTACATTAACTGTTTGTTGATGAACAAGCGGGCTTGGCAACATGCGTACGGTACTACTGTGCATGCCTCGTTACCGCAGCCAGTGCCACAGCCTGGTATCACGCCCGTAAATTTATACATGTTACGGAAGCTTGCACTTGCCGAGGGCACGTTGCCGTCGAGCTGGGAAGTCCATAACTCGCAACTCCTGAGCTGACAGTGCGGTAGCTGCGGGCTCGTTGTAGCAGTCATAACTCATTTTCGCCACGTGATCAAGCTTCCGCCCATAGTGTGGTCAGCTGATGAAAGGGAGGCGGTTGAATGGTCTGGCAAGTACAAAAGACAGTCTTCCTCGTACGATAGACATGTCACATCATGCAAAGACATGTCCGATGCAAACACGATGAAGCTGCCTGAGGGGTGTATAATCTCCACCATGTCTAAAACAAACACTTCTTTTTTTCTTTTTTTTTTACGAGGTATGCGCAGTGTGAGAGCGGCTCTAGGGCTGAACGGAGCATAGCAGCCAACGTGCAAGTGAATGTTTGGACAGTTCCAGCAGTAAAAACAGTTTCTCCATCAGAGAAGACGTCCGAGAATCCGCTCTCTTCGTGTGTAGCTCCGGGCACCGACGAGACTGGCGTTGGTGGGATCGAGACAAAAATCAGGGCAGTCTCGATCGGTCAACAGCAGGAGGGGGGGAGGCTACGTGCAAAGCGCGCCGCGAAAGCCTCTATCAGCACTGAAGCGTGAGGGCCGCCGTGCTCGACCTTTGCGTGGCCACGTGACCCAACATCCGATAGACTCTCTATAAACGGACACGCACCGATTTCGCCACCATCGAGTGGTCCGACAACATCCACAAGCATGCTGCTCGCCGTGCTCGTCGTCGCTGCCGCTCTGGGTTTCACGGAGCCGCTCCGTAAGTAGGCTACGCACTCCGATTCACCACCCGAAGCCAAAGCATCGGGAGAAAACACTTCGCAAAACGTTTATCATATTCCGTTTTACCATGAGTGCGAGTAAGGCAGAGGCTACAAGCGCGAGCGTGTCGCTTTGAACGGCGCTTTCACTGCCAGTGGCAAGCCCGCTCAAAGTGTGATCGGCGTGGTGCTCTCTCGTCTGTTAGTGCTCCTGCTTCGTTCGCATTAATGGGCAATGCAGTGCCATTTTCAAGCAATTGCTACGCTAACTCAGGAAAGAAAAAAAGAAAAAAAAAAAAAAGAAAAACTGCGTTCCCGGAAAAAAAAACGGGTTATGAGGCATGCCCTCGGATCGGCTCTTTTCCAAACTCCCGGTCTGGAATGATAGGTGTGCGCAGCCACCCATCAAAACCAGCGCGTGCGTAGTCGGCGGCCAGCCCCCTATTTGTTTAGGGAGTTTGATTAAATGAGGAAAGCGCCGAGGCTCGTTGAACTTTTAGGAGAAAAACTTGCCACTAGTCATAAGCGGGGGCAACAGAACGAGCTACTGATGTTTCATTGTGACTGTGCATGTGTTTTATTGGGTAGTTTACTACTTCAACCAGATGTGCCAGGAAAAAACAACAACAAAAAAAAAAAAGCGGCTGCTGGATAGTCACAAAAAACAAATATGCTTTTCGTGTTAAGACTCGTCAAAGTATTAGGGGTGGAGAAAGTCAGCCATCTTCGCGTCAAATAGCACGGCGACAGGGCCGGAACACGTAGCTGATCTCGCTACTTCGCCATTCCCTCTCGCACGAGAAAGTTCGTCTGCCCGAACCCCAGCGTCTCCTGGATTTTAGACACACGCGAACATAGTCTGAAGCTAGCAACAGCCAACGCCGTTTTCCGACAACGCTAGCTTGGGGCGCCAAACAGACTGTGCTCAGCGCGTAGTGATGGGCGCGGCATCTGATTTTTTTGTAGGATACGAAATGTTGGTTTGGAGCAGCCTTTGACCTTTTTGGAGCAGATCTGTACGTGTTAAACGATGATCGCATCATTAAATGAAACAACCTCCGATAATAATTGAGGGTTGATCTTTGATATTATTACCTTTTGTAACTATAATACATATAAATAGGTATAAAATGTACATGATGATGACACACAACAGACTTTTTTTAAGAAATAAGGTTCAGGTCAAGCTAGGCACCGTTCATAAAGGGGTTTAAGATAAAACAAAAAATGGTTGAAAAATTAATCAACACAGCAAGGCGCTTCAGTCGAGAGTGTGGCTTTTCCACTCTATCTTCTACGCTCATAGCTATTGTAGCCTGTCAATATAAATGATTTAACATTCCGGAAAGAACTAGCATATCCGCTAAAACGTCGATCAATAAGAAATATATTCCACCAAGATTAATGAGCCTACAAGTCTCAGAAATCCAATTTCATACACTGCGAACCCCCTCCCCCCAAGACGACCAAAATTAGACTTGAGCTTCACTCCCAATTCATTGGAGTCCTTTCGGGTCGGAGTGTGGAGTCCTTTCGGCAGTTTGCTGCGCTGGAATTGCCTTGACTGCTTATTCAAATGTATATGTCCACTTTTTTGTTTCGTTTTTCTTTCTCGGCACCGATCTTTCAAATTTAGAGCTCAACCTACAATCAAGACCAAAACATCATGAGCCTTTCCACTGTGGGAAGGTGGACGGCCAGTGAAGCTGCTAAGCACACGACCCAGACGTGACACAGAATTTAGCCTATGCTTCATTAGAGTTGGCCAATTTAGCAGCGTGGTACCGGCATCCTTTTGATGCGTTCTGCGCCCCGCGACGTTTGTCATCTTGTCTGATTTGCCGCCCGCCGCCGCCCCTTCCATCCTCGTTGCCGTTCCCGCCGTTGCTCTTCGTGGGCGCGTTGCTCTTCGGGAGACCCTATAGACCAACACGCGGCCCTGACGTCACGCAGCTGCGGTGGCGCTGTCGACGGCACTGCGCATGCGCAGACGCTTCACTTCACGCAAATTCGGTTTCTGCGCACGCGCAGTGCCCACACCTTGTGTGGGCAAACGCCGGCTTGTTAGTAAACAGCGTGTCGGTCTTATACTTCCCCATTACGACGAGAGAAGTGGAATAGACCGTATTGCTAAATTACCCAAGCATCAAGGAGAATGCCGGGAATGGTGTTCCACGCGCCGCACATGCCGGCGTCTGCTGCAGTAACTGTTCTAAAGCAAAAGACTAAAGCAAATGGCATCTTGCACGCGCTTTCATTAATGCCTTATTTTGGTCATTTACTTCGAATTTTTTATACGGGAAAGGCGTGCGCGTGCGTCGGTACGAGCGTAAAGTTTCTGGTCACGCACAGAAAAATCCACGGCACCCTAGCCATGAACAGCTTCGATGTAAAAAGGTCGACCTGTAAAGTGTATAGGGAGTATTCACTGGCCGCCATAGCTGTGTGCGCGAATGCTGAGCGCGTGCTGATGGCGAGCTTCCACAGTTCTTTTGCAACGTGCATTCCGCACCATCAAGAGTGCCGGTCTTAGCAGCCTATTGATGTGAGCTCGTTCTGAGCATGCGCTCTAAACAGCACCCACAAATATGGCGTCCAGTGAATACTCCGTATAATTTCCGAGCCCATCGCGCGATCTCGTTGGTGTTCGCCCGCGTAAGCAGCTTCTCCTAACACACCGATGTGACGCAGTGAAGCTCGACGCACGCGCGCCAGTGCGATGTGGTGAAGGCTGACGCGAGCGGCGACACTGCTACATCGTGGAGGCATGTAGTACGTGGCTGAGATTAAAGTGATCTGATCAGGAGCATGAGACCCTGATTCTGCCTCATCACAGCAGCCGCCATACCACCATTTTATTCATTTTTTGTTCTCGGAATTTCAAGAAAAAAAAAAAAAAAAAAGGAAGTTTTGAGCATATTAGCACGCTGCGCAAACTAGTTCTCACAAAATTTGGTTTTCGGAAGAAGCGATGCTTTTGGCTTTTTAAACGTGTATGTCTTGATTATATAAAATATATCTAAACTAAAATGCACCTACTTATACCTTAATTCTCTACATGAAGTGGGAACTCAATAATACTCCGCAAGAAACCGGACATTTTTTTTTTTTTTTACTACGGTTTATGAGGTGAAAACGAGTACTATAGTTCATTTATTACAGTCTATACAGACGGTATTCGGAAACATGCACTTATCGAGAGTTTCCGATAAGTACTCGATTATTTTGTTTGTGTCGCCCGTCGGCCAAGAGCAGCAGAGGGACTCCGTGTCGGCAGATCAGAATCTTCAGGAACTGCAAACCGGGGGCGTGGGTGGCATACCTCGGCAAACCTCACTTCACGAGGGCCCTCACTCACACTCACACTCACTCACCCTCATCTTCACAGGTGAAGTGAGGGTGAGTGAGTTTCTAAACCAGAAAAATTCATGAGTGTGAGGGTGAGTGAGGGCCGTGAGGGCTGTGAGGACCGTGAGTGGCGTGAGGGCCATGAGTGGCATGAGGGGCGTGAGGGCGGTGAGGGTGTGTGGCATGAGTGTGTGAGGGCGGTGAGGGCCATGAGTGAGTGAGTGGCGTGAGGGCGGTGAGTGGCGTGATGGCCGTGAGTGCGTGAGGGGCGTGAGGGCCATGAGTAAGTGACGTGAGGGCCATGAGTGCGTGAGGGCATGAATGCCTGAGGGGCGTAAGGTTCAGTGAGGGTGAGTGAAGGGCTGAAGGTGAGTGCGACTGTGAGGATGAGGGTGAGTGAAGGGCGAGTGTAGCTGTGAGGGGGATGAGGGGCTTCGGTGAGTGTGGCTGTGAGAATGAGTGAAAGCGACCTAAAATGCCGACCTCTGGTCGGCATTTTAGGTCGCACCGAGCACCTAATTTTTTTACAGTAAAGCTCAGCCCCGCCCCTCCCCCTCACCCTTTTTTCTTTTTTGTTATCTCGTACACGATTTATTTTGTCCTTCCTTGGCCGTCAGCGACTCGCGAAATTTCCAATCGGTTATCCTCGCCTAGCCACGTGCAAATTTGTAAAAGTGATTCTCTGCAAACCGAGTTTGAGTGCGGCTTGTTTTTGTTGTAGGGCTTTTAAAATTGCCAGAAGCACTACGCATAATAGTTTTCGCAATATGTGCGAGTTTAAAGCAGGCAGAAGATAGTCGCACATACTGAATAACGAAGTTCAGGCGAATGAAACGCAGAAGCAAATATTTCTTTAAAATAAGGAAGAAAAAGTTTGATGAAAAGTTATAACGTAAGTACAAGCGAAAAATCACGTTCAGCTCTAGCTTTCTTTGTGGAAGAACAAAAGTACCAAAACAAAACAAATAACTCCCCTCTCGTGTGTGTGTTTGTGCATGCATATATATATATATAACGGGCATGGTGACGGGAGGCCGAAGGCGTGGGTATAAAACTGAGAAGAAAAAAACCCTTAGTGGAAACAGCAACAACGGACGATTTAATCTTCGACGTTTCGGCCGGAGTCCGGCCTTCGTCAGGAAGGTCTTCCTGACGAAGGCCGGACTCCGGCCGAAACGTCGAAGATTAAATCGTCCGTTGTTGCTGTTTCCACTAAGGGTTTTTTTCTTCTCAGTTTTATATATATATATATATATATATATATATATATATATATATATATACAGGGTGTCACAAAAGAAACTTTACACCGTCTTTTTCACCGCAAAAATAAACTAGAAATCGCCCAACGCTCATTCTCCGCCCAAAGGTAGAGCTAGAGGTCACAACTAGATGCCAAGGTTTCAGCCCGATCCGATAACCTAATCAAAAGTTATAAGTGATTTTCTGAAAATTTCAATGGGAAAATGGAGCTTATTTTTGCCCGTTTTCGGTTTCTGGTGCCATAGAGCCCCATGTGTTTCAAAACTCAGTCGGCCGCCATTTTCCCATTCAAATTTTCAGAAAATCATTTATAACTTTTGAATAAGTTATCGGATCGGGCTCAAACTTTGGCATCTGGTTGTGACCTCTAGCGCTACCTTTGGGCGGAGAATGAGCGTTGGGCAATGCCTAGTTTATTTTTGCGGTGAAAAAGACCGTGTAAATTTTCTTTTGGGACACCCTGTATATATATATATATATATTGTTAGGGTGATGCTGTCGGCAGCAGAAAGGACAGTACAGTACACGATGATAGAACAAAGAAAGGATCTATGGAGGCCGAGCCGGCCCGTGAGGCCTGGCACAATATGGTCGTGCGCGCCACTGCCCCGTCGCCGTCTTCACATTCCTAATATATATGCGGTATATATAATATTTCTGAATCTGCACCTACATCGTCTTTCCTCATTAGAATTAAATTCAGGTACGTTGAATCTTCAACCAGTAGATGAGAATTAAAGCGAGGAAGAGAATGAGAAACACGTTAGTATAGAAGTTGTAAAGACGGCGAGAATGAGGAAGCGTGGAGCACGTTTTGTTCACTCTAATCACAAGCTAGTCGTTCACCTTTTAGCAGCCTTTTAGGGACACTGACAGGACACCAGCTCTCCGGCGCTTTTTATCTTACAGGGTATTTATAGTCGCCAAAGTTTTTATTTGTACATGAGATATGAGAGCCCAACTACCCAAAACACAATTTCCGGCTCGAAATTCGTTTTCTTTCCACCCGAAAACCGCCGATCGAGAACTGGCCGGTTTGAGTCGCGCTCACTCTCTTCTTCATGGTCACGTGCCGTTTTCTGTGATTTAGACACAACCACCCAAGGTAATCAAGGTCGAGGGTCATTGAAAGCACACACCCAATTCTAAAAATAGACACAAATATGATACCTATTTTTTGTAGCTTCTAAAAAGCTGCAAATACGTTGACTCAAAAAATGAAAGCCGCTTACAACTCCCAGTAACGTCGAACTAGAGCGCAGTTCTTGAGGAGGAGGGAAGGGTACTGAGGGTCAAGTGTTCTCGGGGGGGGGGGGGGGGGGGGGGGCACGTGACCTCAGGGTTACACCGACGCCGCTCAAACCGGAGACGGGCGCCTAAGAGCTGCGCTCTAAAATGAAAGCCGTTTAAAACTTCCTGTAACGCCGAATTAGAGCGCAGCTCTTGAGGAGGAGGAGGGGAAGGTACGTAGAGGGAGTCCCCTCTACGGGCGGGGCCTTTAGCGGGGCTATGCCCCCCCTCTTCTCATGCCCTCCCCCATTTAGGGGAAAATTTTGCGCTAAATTTAGCGGGGAAATTTTTCCGGTACATTTAGCGTGGAAAATTTTCCACTAAATTTAGCGGGGAAATTTACCCATCATGCACCGCGCGGTTATGCCGACGGCGACGCCACTTAAGCCGGAAAAGGGCACCTAAGAGCTGCGCTCTAAAAAGAAATCTGCAGAGTCAAGTGACTTCCGGTAACGTTCTTCCTCCCACGTCCAGTTTCGGTTTCCAGCAGTTTTGTTTTCTGAATATTGATTGGGTAGTCTTAAAAAAAAAAAATGAAAGCCGTTTGCAACTCCCTGTAACGCCGAATTAGAGCGCAGCCTTGAGGAGGAGGAGGGGAAGGTACAGAGAGGAGGCTATGTCCTCCTCTCCTGCTCGCCTCCCATTTAGAAAATTTTCCCCGCTAAATTTAGCGGGAAAACTTTCCCGCTAGATTTAGCGGGGAAAACTTTCCGCTAAATTTAGTGGGGAAAATTTTTTGCTAGATATAGCTTTGAAAATTTTCTGCTAACTTTCCCGGGGAAAATTTTCCACTAAATTTAGCGGGGAAAATTTCCTGCTAGATGTAGCGGGGAAATTTTTCCGCTAAATTTAGCGGAGAAAATTTCCCGCTAAATTTAGCGGAGAAAATTTTCTGCTAGATTTAGTGGGGAAAATTTCCCCCTAGATTTAGCGGTTGGGGGGATCGGTGGCCGAGTGGGCTAAAGCGCACACCCAGCTCGACGCGCGTGGAGCGAAAGCTCGCGCTGCAGAACCCAGGGATCCTGGGTTCGAGCCCCACCCCTGCCCGTTTCGATCTGGACGAGCATCGTACCGGCGTGCGGTCGTGTATCACTACTGCGTGGTGCACGTTAAAGACCCCAGGCTAGCGGTTGTACCGCACTGGCTAAATTGCTCATCTACAGCGAGTGACTCGTCGCAACTTTAAATGGCAGACCAACTACACGCTGTATAAATATCCCCACAACCCAATTTTTTTTTTTAGATTTAGCGGGGAAAATTTTTTTATAAATTTAGCGGGAAAAATGTTCCGTTAGATATAGCGGAGAAATTTACCCATCATGCACCGCGCGGTTACGCCGATGGGGACGCCGCTCAAGCGGGAACGGGCGCCTAAAAAAATGAAAGCCGTTTACAACTTCGTGTAACGCTAGATTAGAGCGCAGCTTTTGAGGAGGATGGAAGGGTACTGAGTGATAGGTGACCTCAGGGGGTAACCCTCGTGACCTTTGTGACGGTAACTCGTGACCCTCGTGAGGGTAACTCTCATAACCTTCGTGAGGGTAACCCTCGTGAGGATAACCCTCGTAACCCTCACAAGGGTTACCCGTGGTTACACCGACGCCTCTCAAGCCGGAAACGGGCGCCTCAGAGCCGCACTCAAAAAAAAAAAAAAAAACGACCGGGAAAACTTTCCCGCTAAATTTAGCAGAGAAAATTTCCCGCTAGATTTAGCGAGGAAAATTCTCCACTAAATTTAGCGGGTAAAATTTTTCGCTAAATTTAGCGAAGAAATTCCCATCATGCACCGCGTGGTTACGCCGACGGCGAAGCCGCTCAAGCCGCAAACGGGCGCCCAAGAGCTGCGATCTGAAAAGAATTGATTGTTTGGCAAACATTTTTTGCCAAGCGATTGATTACGCTGTCGGAAACTACCGAATCAATATTTTTGCTAGTGTCACATATATTTTTAATACTTTTGAAACTGGATTGGAAAAAGATTCGAAAAATCACGTTGCTGTGCAGTTTCTTTTTTTTAACGTATTTGCAGTTTTTTAGAAGCCACAAAAAATGTGTATCAATTTTTTTTGGTTCAACAGTATGTGCCTTCGATGGATGACCCACGACTTTGGTTATCTTTGGTGGTCGTGTCTAAGCCAAAGAAAATGGCACGTGACCGCGGAAAAGAGTGAGCGAGACTCAAACCGGCCGGTTCTCGATCGGCGGTATTCGGGCGGAGAGAAAACGAATTTTGAGCCACAAATTGTGTTGTGGCTAGTTGGGCTCTCGTATGTCATGTACAAATAAAAACCTTGATGAGCATAAATACCCTGTCAGTGACCCCTATCAACAGGTTTTTTTTTGCGCTTCCTCTTGGCTGTAGACGAGGACCAGGAAATTGTTTACGAAGGTATAGTCATCTGAAATTCTTTGTTACGGCATCCTTCATTCGTGCCATTAGTTTCATGCCCCCCGAGAGCCTATACTTATGAAGACTATGCCAATTCTCCAAAATAATCTGTATCCAATGCAGGGTGGCCCTTTGGAGGCCAGAGCAACAAGGATGGCTTCGTGATAACGGCACCCGGTGTCAAGCTGGACAACAGCACTGCAGGAGAGTCCAATGCTACCGGGCCAGACCGTGGCGACAGGTGCCAGTGCGTGGGAGCGGACTGCGGCTGCTGCATCCACATGAGCGTCCCCAGGATAGGGCTCAACGACACGGGTCAGTCCAACACCGGATGCCTCTCAACGGCGGTTGAGCTGCAGCACCAGATGTTAACGTGAGACCGTTAAGGAGCTTGTGTCGCAGAAAAGCCGGCGTCGGTGGCGTTGAGAAGGGAAAATTCCGATTGGTCATGTCACAGCCACACCAACATCGTGCGGGAATTTCAAACAAACCTCAATGCTCGCGGGAAACGCAACATCACACGTGTAATGAAAGTGAAAGTGATTGAAAAAATGAAATGTATTACAAATTAAAGGTTGCCGCATGTCTCAAATGATTTCTTTATAAAGTAATTCTTCCTTCCTTTTCCAGGGTGCGTGAACGTGACCTACAACTCCGCTCAGTATGCTCTCTCCTTCACCGTCTCACTGGGAGACAGCATTGTCTTCAACAGAACGATTTCAGGTAAGCAACCACCGACAGCGTAAGAAATGAAGGGTGTGGCTTATGTTCAAACTTCTTGCTCCACAATTCTTTCTTCGACTTTCCGATCGGCCCATGTCACTGGCTGAGGACTGACAAGTAGATGCTCCCAACTCGGCACGCCCTGCGCTTCTTTAGCTGTCGGCAACTAAACTGGATGTGGCAAGCTGAAATGTTCCGCGGTACCATCGTCTTCCCAGTCTGCATGCCCTCGGCATCTTTAACCGTCAGTGACTAAAGCAATTAACACCCTCCCCAGTTGCACAACCGACTGGATGTGGAAAGTTGGAATTTCCCTCGGTACCAACATTTTCAGTCTGCTTTACGCAGAGGTGAAAACAAAGCATAACTCGCTTTTTGGGAATGCCTCGTTCTTAACTGGCCTATTTACTGCTAATGCAATTTCTACCCGGCGAGCAGACTAGTATAATCCACTTATAACGATAATGAGAAAATCCAAAATCTCAATAGTTATACGATTATCGTATCTGGATTTGTGAAACTGATCGTTACAAGTGCCACATCGTTATACGTAGTAGAACGATGTGGCACTTTTGGGGGACCTTCAAACCTACCAGCAATTTTCAACGCATTTAGGAGAGCAGGGGTAATGAACTGCTTGTACCACCCTATGTTTAACACCCAAGCCGTAAAAAATAGGAACGAGAAAGTTAAGGCCCGTTCACACAACTGCGTTCGCTTGGGACAGAGTTCTTGCGATCTCTTGCTAGAGAATGCACCGGTGCATTGACACCATCTACGAGATGGCCCTGGAACTGCATTTCGCCATATTCTATCTCAGGAGCTGTGTGCAGCTAAGCCAAAGCCATAAGCACGGTCACATGGCTTTCAAATTTGCTTTCGTTTCGCAAATGCTTGTGAAAGAAAAGCAAACCTCAAAGCCATGCACTTGTGCCTGTGCTTTTGCCTCTGTTGCACGCAACTCATGAGATGGAATATAGATCAAATGTACGCACCATCTGAGAAATGGTCGTTTATAACATTGTCAAAAGACTTTCAAGCAAAAAAAAGAAAAAAGAATGCTGCACAAAAAAAAAGAATACGTAGAAATGCTTTTCACAGCTACCCGACAGATGGCGCCAGCATGACGAGATCCAAATGCATTTTAAAGCACTCTATGTTAAGCGTTTGCAAGTGCGTGGACCAGCCTTTACAATGCAGTGCAAAGGACGCACTAAAAGACACCGTCAAAGCTGCACAAAGTGTGCACGGTCTCCTTCATGCCGAAGCAGAGGCCATCAACCTCCTCCCCGCAGGCAAGGATCCGCCGCGGATGTGCTTCTCGGCCCCGCAGATCGAGCGCCTGGCCCGCCTCTGCCTGCACTTCTACAACATGAGCTACAGCAGGGACCGGGTGTCGGGCTGCCTGCGCATGGAGGCCATGGTGCTCGGAGAGGTGGTGGCCTCCTACCAGCTGGGCTGCTTCGACCTCGCCGACGTCCGCACCCGCATCCGCGACGCTCTGGCCGGAATGAGGCCCTTCCGGCCGCAGTTGGACGCCACAGACTTTGTTCAGAGCAACCGCGTAAGCAACTCCCCGGGAGTTGCGAACGTCCGCTGATGCTGCCCATGAAGCTTGCACGGACGCTTGGAGTGTATGTGCGGAAATCTTGTGACCGTTTTGAACCGACTCGAAGGTAAACGAGCCTGGGTCTTGACGGGAGCGAGGCAGCGAGCTTCCGGACAAGGTCCAGGAGCGGCGCCGTGGTTTCGTGCTAGCTACCGAAAAGGAGCGACGGCCTTGCCAATGAACACTTGGGGCAGCATAGACCATTCCAGAAAAGAGCTCCTGGCCGGTGTCATTTTCAACGTTTGAGAGTATGTCGCATGGTTTGCTCGCATTTAGCAGTGACGAACGTGCACACGGTGGGCTGTGGATTTGTAAACATTGAAATAATGCATATTGACTTTTGCTTTACACCTGCCTCCGTTTCACTTTTCTACATTTTTTTTCGTTGTAGTTTTTTCATCGACGACAAGGGTAGAATGCTCAGGTGAGACGAAGCCCCTCCGGGGGCCTTATCCAAAACAAGTTTCTCGGTGACCCCACTGGCCTTCTGCAGAGGTGCCTATTTACAAATGCGTCTTGTGGTCAGTTGATGCAGTGCAGAAAATAGCCTTAAATGGGTACTACAACGAAATTTTGACGCTTATTTCTTGGTCTCTACGTGTTCCAAGGGAGCAGTATCACAACGGACACACCAATCTATTGTTGAAAAAGACAATAAATTTCAAAACAAATTAAACGATTAGGAAAGGGCACCCGATGGATGTCGCCAAAGCCTCGTTTGTAATGCCCGTCTAGGACCCTTGACAGGTCGTGACGATAACTGTCTTGCCTCCAGCCACGACGAGAAAAGAGGGGAAGGAAGAACTCCCCTCTCGCCCAACCATTGTTTATGTGTCCCAGACGTCACTATTGTTGCTCTACAAGATTATAGAAGATTCCCTTCACTCAAAAAAAATTTGCACAAAAGCAGCTTTGGGGTTAGTTGCAGCGGCCCCATCGCTGGAGTGCTTCGGCTGCTTCGGTGGCTGGAACGAATCAGCCTTGCCGCAGCTTTGCTCATCCCGTGATGATCTACGGCGCGATTGCGCCGGATGACACATATTCTCCGCTGGCTGCCCTCGGAGCGCTTGCCAGAGTGCGCCGTTTATAACGCAAAATAGAGCCATCGGGCTCAAAATACAAACGTTTGATTGTCATTTACGGATACTGTGGATCATATTGAGCCTATTTCTGAACATTCCGGGTATATTTCAAATTTCGTTGAAGTACCCCTTTAAACTGCAATCAAATTGCTGCATGGAGGTTTACACGGTGAAAATTCAGTCCACCTCAAGTGCCTCGAGTCTGGGAGACCGGGAGGCACTCACTTGATCGAATGACGTTTCAGCGAACGCCCACGTTTCATCGAACGACACTTTAGCGAATAGTCGGACGCCGCGAAGCGGCGTTTTCGGGTGGGCCAAATGAGTTCATATTTTTGTAATGAGTTGCCGCAGATTGTCGCCGCGAAGCGGCGTAAAGCGCAGCGCGACGGATGGGTTAACGCGCGCTCCCGTTATTCGCTAAAACGACCATTCGCTCAAATGTCGCCGTTCGCTAAAATGTCATTCGCTCTTGTGATATGGACCCCTCGAGTCTTCAATATGCACCAGAGCAAAAAAGGTTGCAACCTTGAACAGCTCAAGCCCTGGTGGCACGGGGCTTGAGCTGTGAGACTCTTGCAAAAAAAAAAAAAAAAAAAATGCAGCGAGGGTTTTTATTTTTTACTTATCTCGCTCGAGTATTTTGCTCGACAACTGCCTCAGTGGCCTTCTTCCAAATGGCATTACTGGAAGATGGCTTCACTACTGCTCTAGCAGCAGTGATGTAGATAGCAGGGGCAGATGGCCCATTCAAACTCTAAACGTGTGCCACCCTCACGAGGAAAGAAAACCCCAATGCTCTGCCAATGCAAAATCCGTGGGGCAAACATGTAGCCACCAAAAATGAAATCGACTGAAGCGTGAAATCTTCTAACCAACTCAACCCTCCTACGTCATGCCGCGGTGGTGGCGCACCGGACGCACTTCCGGTCTGTGGCGGTGGGCAGAAGTCGTCGTGCCAGACATGCATTCCTGTGTTCCCTTGGAAGAAACGAGACAAAAAACCTGCCAAGAGAGCCTGGAAAGGTTTAAAGATCAGTTTTCATGTGTTTTTGCCCCCTCCGTTCGTCCGAGAACGTGGATAGTAGAAATTTAGAAATAATGGAAACAGCGCGCAAACGACAAGGACGGGAGGAAAAGGAGTACACAGGACGAGCGCTGAGCATGAACCAACTCGCCCACATCGCTACTCTGATTCAGTGGATAGTAGTCGTGAAAAGGGCAAACCAGACGCTGTCGAACTACGATTGCGTGCGCGGGCAACACTTTGTGGTCGCCAGATGTATTTGCTTTGTTCCAACATAAACGAGAGAAAACCGCCAAGTTGTCCGAACCACCCACGGGTTCAGTGCGTCTTCAAGTTCACACGGCCGGCTGATCGTTCGAACTTTCGTCTGCTCTTTCAAACGTCTGCTTTTTGTCGTCTGCTCGTTCAAACAAAAGCGGCCCGTAGACCAAACTTTGACCCGGTGATTGCAATAAGAAGTAATTGCAGACCTCAAAAGAGTTAAGTAGGCTCGGTGTAAAAAGTGGATACAAGACGTTGATCATTGGTACCGGTGGTCATCACCGACTTGTTACGCTTGGTCTGTTCCCGCTTCCGATTTTCAGTATCGACGTCGATCATCGCCGCTACCTTCTACACTTTTGCAACACGAGCGACGTCGCTACCGAAAATAGCTGGAAGAATCTCATCATGGTTTTGGCGTTCATTCAGCGGCGTTCATGCGAATGAATCGCCGCACGTCAAATTATTTACGGAAAGTTTAGCGGCGTAACGAGCCTTGATAATTTCGCTTAAGCGATTAAAGTGGTAAGACCTTGCGATGAGGACGTAGAATCGACAATTCCAACGTGAAAAAGAGTAGGCAGACTCACACAGACGCCGACATGACATTCGAGTGGTTTGTTGACGCGGGACGCGGTGCTTGCCCGCGTACCCCATTACGCATGCGTTCGAACTGTCGTCTGCTCTTTCAAACTTGGCTGCTTTTTGTCGTCAGCTCGTTCAAACGACAGCGACCCGGAAACCAAACGTTGACCCGGTAATTGCGATAAGAACTAACTGCAGGCCTCAAAACACTTTTGAAGGTTGGTTGGGGTAAGTAGGCTAAGTGTAAACAGATACAAGATGTTTATCGTTATTGTTACCAGTGGCCATCACCGACTTGTAATGCCCGATTCTACTTGCGGTTTTCAGTATCGACGTCCACCATCTCAGCTACGGTCCACGCTTTTGCAGTCCGAGCAATAAGGAGTTTTCGTAGATCGTTTTCGCCGTCCCGCAAGGCCCTCCGCAACCCGCTACGATAGCGGGAACTCCACAGTCAAGGCTATCGGCGCGCAGGCGCAGTAGCAACTTCTTCGTTGCGGAACGCTTAGCGGAAGGGGCAGCGTGGTCTACGAAAACTCCCTAATGTCGCGTCTGAAAACAGCGAGCAGAATCTCATCGTGGGAGTCAGGCTTTAGCGCCCATTCTGCGGCGTCCACGTGAAATGAATCGGCGCACGTCATATTATTGACGCAAAGTTTTGCCTCGTTAGTTTTGCTGAGGCCGCTCAAGTAGTCAGACATTGTTAGGAGGACGTAGCATCAACAATTCCAACGCGAAAAAGAGCACGGGGACTCCCACCGACGCCGACAACAACACAATTCAATGGTTTGTTTATGGGCGACGGCGGGCTTCTTGCCCACCATCCATCGCGCATGCGCGGCGCCGGTGGCGTCCGCTAGGGGCGCTCCGGTTTGTTTGTAAACATGAGTTGGTGTATAGTAACATGTCTATACGTGTACTATACTCTCGCTTTTAACGTCTGCCAGTAATCCATTATTTGATTGTAACATAACTATGCCAATACCACCTAGAAGACAAGGCCTGTGCCTCCCCCCTTCCCTTCTTCCCCCTCCCTCACCCTCCCCCAAATGCCACCATTCATAGATTTACGCAGCACCTCCTAGCTTGCCGATGCCAAGCTGGGCACGTCTGCCGCTTTGAGCGGGTCAGGGATCCAACAATGTCTAGGTGGTACTGATTTTGCCCCCAAATACAAAACAGAAGTGAGACACATGGCCGAAATTATGCTTGTAGAAGTTCCGAAAGATCATTAGCTTCAACCGAGAGAAAACTGCACCAGAATCAGGAAAAGTGACACAAATTAACAACCACGACTCGCCAACTGACGCAAGACACAATGAACCGCGAAACGTCAGTTTATTTCACTTTGTGAGCAAAGCGGTCCCTTTCCAATGTACACCGCGGTTCCGCGGGAAAGAGTGAACTAAAGCCGCCCCCCGAAAGCGGCGCCCCTTCCGACCCCCGCCATGCCCGAGTCGCGCGAGAGCGAGCCACCCACGGAAGGAAGCGCCGCACGGAGCAGACCGGACTTGGGCATTGTCGGACGGCTCCGGAGAGATCGTTGCACGCGCCGTCCTTGAGATTCTCCTCGAGGGACCGACGAGGCGACTCGTCTGCCGCTGCGAGCGGAATGATGCAGCCCACGTCCCCCGCAACGGAAGACGCTTCGATACCTCGCAACTGGACACGAGCCTCAAAGAAATTTCTTCTCTCTAAGCACGCTTCCCACAATTCTTTGCATTGCAGCCGTTGCGCGGCGAAATTCTTCGCTACTTATCGGGCCCCACTAAGCATGTATATGAAAGGGTAAAAAAAAAATAAAGGAAGCAAAACTGACTAGGTATTTTTCTTTTCACCAGACAAGTGCAACTGTTTTTGCCAGAGGAAGCCATGCTGGTGGCCTTCCCCGAGCGTGGTGCGCGTCCGTATCAGATGCCAGACGGTCTTCCGCACGGTCACCAGTACCTCTCGAAGGAGAAGGGGCGGGGCCAATCGTGCCGCCTTATTATGTACAGTCGCTGCACGGATCGACGTGCACCTGCTGCGTGCCTCTGGTGCAGAATTATGTACAACAACTCGTCGACAAAACGCGCGCCGAGAGATTTAAGTAGGCGGACACCGTTAAAACACAGACAGGGACCCCCCCCCATGATAACTCCCTGCACTCCGTACGAAGAGGCCACGAAAAAAGCATTTCTCCAAACTGCAATGCTACACGCGTGTGAAAACAAAATCTCACTAGATGGAGGTATGCTCACAGTCTTTTCTTTCCACCGTAAATACGAGCAGCTGACGCCAGATAAAACGTTTCACAACCCCCAGAAGAGTGGCGTGGACGTCGCCGTTCCTGCAATGACCCTTTCTAAAACAAACTTCTCAACAGACCCTTTTCAAAATTCAGCGCCACCTGGTGGCTCAAAAAGTAGTTTCACATTCAATAAGCTAATGGCGGTCACGAAACTGTATTTCGTCGGGCACTGTCACTTCGGCACACCAATGGCGGATGAGTATTGCTTCGTCGATCATCTTAAAAGTCTTTCTTGATTTGTGTCCGTTTCAACGGTGCGAGGATAAGAACTGGCCGGTACAAACCCGCGACTCGTAGGCCCCTCTACTAAATTTCTGCCATCAAAAGGTTTTATAGAGCCAAGCTTATGCCAAAAAATTGCTTGGAACAGACTCTAAAATAGACGTTTAAGCAGCCTGTGCATTCAATCAGTACATCGCGTTGTATAGACGTCTCGAATGTACAGGCCTCGCGTGTCCTCCGCTCGGTAATATCTTCAACTTCTTCCTTCATCATCCTCAAGAAGGCTGCCATTAATTTGGCGCCGATGCCAAGCACCGAGATGACGATGGTGATCAAAGTTGCCAGCCTAAATTTCGAAAAGGGTCTATTGTTAACCAAGTCGAAGAGACGAGGCAGCCTCGGCAGCGCAGACGAGCCCGGCTCGTGACACGCGCTTTGTCTTTTCGAGGCACAGGGCCGGCGACTTTCGTGCGGCAAGAAACAAAGCGCGCGCCAGCCGCACTCGTCACAGAAGAAAAGGCCGAGGAAAAAGAAGCTTTCTCAAAGCATTTAAAAGAGATTAAACGCTAAAAAACTTCAGATGTAAAACTTGCCCTAACGAAAAAGAAACGGGAGCGACGACTGTACAAATAACACTACCGCTTTGGTATGTCGACCGCTTCCCAACCCGACGGCACGTAAACGTCCGAAACTGCAAAGTCGACTTGTGACTTTGTCACTTCGCACGCAGACCGCAGGGCGTGTAAACTGACCGCGACGCACCTGCAACGACACCGAGGTCCAGAGAGTCTCGTAGCTATTGTGTCTCGGTCACGGCTAGCGACTCGTGCTCGGACGGGCGAATGGAGCCGCATGAGACGACGGCCGCAGTTCCCGTTGGAGACGAGAGCTTTTTGCACGGACTATCGACGACAAACCACCTCGATCGAGAACCGAACCATGAGGGGGAGAAGACAACCAAACTCGACCAGTGGCTCGCTACTCGAGAAAGAAAGGCACAACCGAGCGAGACTGGCAACGGTGCACAATAAACATGGCGCAGGCCTCTTCGCACGCAGAAAGCCCCCCCAAAAAAAGGCAACGCCCAGACACTTGCACAAATAAAGAGTGCTACGCTCGAGCGACGTGCGAAACGCCCCATCGTGCTTCGCTTTGACTGTGCCCCCCCTCCCCATGTCTGGCACCCCCTAGAGCCCTCCCAAAGAACCGGCGCCGCGAGCAAAACCCCAAGCCGAGGGCGCGTCTCCCATACTTTTTGGGGGGGCGGGGCTTAAGCCCCTTCGGCGAAAGCCACGCGTCGCCGCTACCCTTAAACAGAAAATGTGGAGGGCATGGCAGCCCGAAGCGGGGCTCCGCATCTCCCGCTCGGGGCATGGGTTGGGTTCGGTTGCGCCCCCGCGCTCACAGTCCGTCCTCGGAAGAGCCGTCCATGACCTCCGCCAGCCAGGCCGCAACGTCCACCTCCTTCGTTTCGTAGCGCTTGATGAACGGGTGCTCCTGCGAGGAGGGCCCGGATGGGGACACGCACACGGGCAGGGGAGGGCCCTGGACCCCCCCTCCCGGGAAAAACTGCCACTACAAAACTAGAGTACCAGTGGTACAGAGAGCTACACATATTGGTGAAAGGTTAGCATGAACTTACAGAAACGAACAAAGAAAGGACGGAACAGGACAAAGCAGCTGACTAACAACTTTGATTTACAGTATAGACCACTTACAACGTAACCGCTTATAGTGCAGGACCGGGTATAACGCGGTTTTTTTAAACCACCGGTTCACTTCCCATAGAAATCCATGTAATTACATACCGCTTAAAATGGAGGCGCGCGAAGGGAAATACCGGTTATAGTGCGGTTTTTGGCACAGCCAGCACACCGCGCCGACGACCGGAGCAGCGCGCTCGCTTCCCTGTGCGACACTAGATAACGGCGCTGACGGCGCGAGCCGCACGCTGCACTAGCGGGGCAAGGATGTTGCTCGAAAAAGCGGGGAGAAGCGAAGAGAGAGGCTTCAGTTGCCTTAGCGACGGAGGGACGCACGCACGTGTCGTTCACGTGCGTGCGTCCCTCCGCTGCGTTGGAAACAGAAACAAACAACCGCAACGACAGACCAATCGCATGTCGAGAAGTGTTCGCGCGCGTTGCATGCTCTCTCCTTTCCCCCCCAACCTCTCTTACAACGCTTCTCCTCCTCCTCCTCTCCGGTCGCGGGCCGGCTGTTTCTATCCGTAAACATGGCGTCGGTTGTGATCGTCGTCGTAGACGGCGTTCATCTCATCGTTCTGCGTAAAAGCGCTATCCTTGACTGTGAATTTTCGTTGTGTGTTGCTGTGATAACCCAGCACGTAGTACTAGAAGGGAAAATCCACCTACTCGTGCGGCGATGTCGTGGCGGCGCTCTCAAGACGGCAGAAACGCCCGTGTCGTCGTGTTTGTTTACTTCGACTACAGTGGTGATTTCTAAGCATTTGTGTCCTCGAACATCGCCCATATTTCTTATTTGGCGCATTTCATGCGTGTGCTCAAGTTCAAGGTATTACTGGCGCGTACGTATGAAGGATGCGAATTTTCACGCGTTTTCATCTCCGGAGAAAAGTGATTAGGGTTAGCAATCCTGAACGCTCGCAACGTCCGCCCGCAACTCGCGACGCCGTTAAAAGGCTGCGCCAGGCAAAAGCCGCTCATTTCTTTCGAAATGTGTGACACACTTGAGACAGAACTGTACTAGTCTGGTGAAATAAAGACTTTCCTCAAACTAAGCTTTATTTTTCATCTAACGTAAAAATAAATTCTTTTACAAAGGTAAGTTGTTTCGTGGCATGTATTTTGGCCTGAAAAATTGATGTTTTGGTTATAGCGCGGTACCGCTTATAGTGTGGATTTTCGCGACTCCCGAGACATACGTTATATGCGGTCTACACTTAGTATGTTTATTCTTTGTACGTGTAATTGTAGTCTTCAGAAGCTGATCACATACACAGAATAACTATTAATTACAAAAAAGGCCAACACGAGGAAATTATTAAACTTGGAGCGGGATAAACTTTGGCGAGCAACGTTTCAATGAATCATTTCCCCGTGTAAATCTTTCTTGTAACTGATAGTTATTTCGTGCATATGTGAACAGCGCAAACCTGCTAGGCAGCTTTTTTGTTCTCCTCCGTCCTTTTTTCGCTTGTTTCTTTAAAGGGGCCCTGCAAGGACTTTTTACTGTTCTTTAATTTGCACCGAACCTGAGCGCACTGAACGTAGTAACTTAGTGAAACTTTTCTTTTCGCGAAATTCGCTTTATTTTAAAAGTTATAGGCAATTTAGATTTACAAAAACAAGCAAAAAATAACCTCCTTCATGACGCCGTAGGTCCTGGCTTGAGTGGCCGTGAACTAGAGGAGGAATAGTGAGCTCATCGAGCGCTTACGGCCGCCGCACTCCGTGTCGACGGCGCCAGAGGGCGCCACTAAAGCGTGTTCTGGATAGGCTGTATGCAGCGGGCAGCCAAAGCGGCTTTCATTGCGTTTGCTGCGTGATTAAACTCTAATCCGGCATGACACTTCTTTGGCCACAAACGACAGCAAACACGGGGTAAAGATCAGTTCAGAATGGGAGCCACTTCGCGCTGCCATACCGCGAAACGGCCAAACCGCAAGACAAAGCCTGTCGCCGAAGGCCTTCGGAACGCTCGGAGCCCGTCGGATCCTCCTGTTCATACGACTGCAGCGCCACCGCGTACATCCGGGATTTTTCCGTGTCGGCGCCTTATCCCAGTACTCCTTTCTAGTATGCGCCACCTTTTCCACCGCTTGGCGGCGGATATGTTGACAGGTCATTTCTTGTTTCCGTACTTTATAAACTGCATTTCTTTCTTTTTTTCATCTATAATACTGAACAAAAACTACTTTTATAAATAATTGAAACGGTTCGCGCCACTTATATTTTGTATTTCGACCAAAAAGAAGTTTTTAGTGGCTCTGACCAGTAGTAAGCCCAGGACCAAAGACGTCACATTTTGCGCGCTTTCGGTACCGCGGGTCGCCCTCGTCGGTGGAGGAGGTTTCCGCGTCGTCCGGTTAAAATATGGCGCACTGATATTTAGCTACTCTTTCCGTGCCCGCTGGCTTGCCCGAACCCCAAGAGACGTGGAAACCGCATAAAAGGTAGACGCTTAAATATGATTGCAGGGCCCCTTTAAGTTCAAGCTGACCCTTTACTTTTAATATTGGATTCGTTCGATCTGATCTCAACTTTCTCTCATCACGCACCAATGTCGAAATCGGTGCGATCGCCATTGTGGTTGAGGCAGAAACGGCGGTGTAAAAATTAAAAATGAAATGTTTCGAGCGACTACAGATTGAACTCTATGTGAGCTGGTGTTTGACAACTAAGCAGTAAACTTGCTCCGACTGCACGGCAAGCTCCACCACTTTCCACAAGTCAGTCGGAACCATTAGGCGATCAATCTGCTACCTCCAGATTTCCAAGCAGCACATAGAAAAACTGCTTTCTGTTCAGAGTGAATGGAGGAATCTGCTGGGTGGGCACTCTAGATTTGCACAGCACCAAAAAACGACAGACTGGATGGAGGAGGACACAGACAAAGCACTTTGTCTGTGTCCTCCTTTATCCAGTCCGTCGTTGGCAGACGAGAGACGACATTGCCGAGCGGACCCACTCACCAGGAGCTCCCGGTACTTGGGCCTCTCCCTGTAGTCCTTTGTAAGGCTGCAACGAGACGGCACAGAGTCAGATCACTTGCGTGCAGCTCGATTCATAACGTCAGTGTATTCCTACGACGTCGGCGTGAGGCAACTTAAGACAGACCTTAAGGCTTTTATGACCACCTGACTGTAGGCACTCGAATATGTCTCTTAGCTAAATTTTACCACACAAACGCAAGTACATATGACACCCTCCTATTGCCTCCTGACAGGATATCATCTCACCTCAATCACCACACTCGCTCACAAAAGCACAGTTACCGTGTTCCCTACCCCACACCGCACCGTAACCGCTGGTTGTACTACGCTGCACGATAGTAATCGCACGACTGCAAGGCATCCATTTGCAATCTAAGGCTCCGTTGCGTTCTCGCGCGTGCGCAGACATTTGCCGAATTTTTGCCACATCTTTGTTGAACTTTCCTGCAAAAGTTCGGCAAGTTCGGCAGATTCGGTCCATCACTAGTTCAAATCCACGATCACAAACTGCATGCCGGAATCTGTCTCTTCATCCTCAACAGTGACATTGAGGAGGTCAAACTTCCGTTGTGTGGCAGACTTCGCAGCCAAATCCTGCTTCAACTCGTCAGCCTGCGCCGCACGCGGAGTACTTTCGCTTTCCATGTAGAAATGCGAGTCGAGCCGCGCTTCGACATCGGTTTTCTCTTTCGGAGAGATTTTGGGCACGTTCCGCGCAACATAATTATCCTTTTTTTTTTTTTAAACTTTCAGTTTGAATTACACTATAATATTTTGGAGAGAGGTGCTTGAATATGTAAGGCACCCAAATATAAGATTGGCTGCCACCCCTGACGCACTATGCAGTGATGCTGGTGCATCGTTACCAAGTTGCATCTGATCGCACATTGTCTCAAACAAGAACTAAGTTTTCTGTTCGCCTATCGAGAGCTTTTCACGATGAGGAACGTCGAGAAATGCTACGTTTGACTCTGAAAAAGCCGGTCACTGGACCAATGGCGACGGGCTTTCAAGCTCTTCGAGCACTGCAAGCGCTGAGCAACGGAATGCTTCGGAGCTCATCAGCAACATGTCGGACTTCGTGAGTGCTTTGGAAAAAAAGCTGATCGACATTTTGCGATAATGAAACTGTTAAGATGAAAAATGGAGGAAACACCGTTATCTGCGAAAGTGAAACTTTCACGCGACTTGTGGTTGGCATGACATGTGGGGCATGTAGCAAGTGCAAACTAAAGCTACAAAAGATTGGTATCATATTTAATTTCTATTTTTAGTATTGAGTGTGTGCCTTCGATGACCCACGACGTTGATCATATTTGGTGGTTCCGTCTAAACTACAGAAAACGGCACGTGACCATGAAGAAGAGTGTGAGCACGATTCAAACCGGCCAGTTCTCGATCGGCGGTTTTCGGGGCGGAAAGAAAACATATTTCGAGTCGCAAATTGTGTTCTGGTTATTTAAGCTCTCATAAAACCTTGGCGATCATAAATACCCTGTCAGTGTCCCTTCACTCACCAGTCTTTGACAAAGGAGCAGAACTCGGGGGAGAAGGACCCGTCGTTCGGCAGGCTGGGGGGCTTTTCCTGCAGCACCCGGCTCAGCACCTCAAAGTCCGTCTTGCAGTCCTTGTACGGGAACTGGCCCGTGGCCAGCTCCACCTGGGGGAAGGGGACAACATAACGCTCAGCCAGGAGGACGGGACGGCTCCAAGCCCCGCCGTCGCAAACTGGACTACCACGGGCGGAGACGCTAGGGAAGGTGAGGATACGGAAAAGACAATAAAGCCCAGTTCAGACAGCTGCGTTGGTCAGCGACCTGAAGCGCGAGACACATGGACGGCAGATTCGTCCGATCCGACAGTCCGAACGCCGCTCCGAATCGCCGCACGCAACAGTTTGAGACACACGCTTCCGACCTTGCATACGACACGACGATCCGTTTGGCTCCGCCCATGAGATCCAAGCGCCCCAGCGGAGGTCCGCGTTCACAGATCTCTGGTCCCATATTGACAATAGCTTACAAGAGCGAAGTTAGAAGCTCGTTCTCGTTAGCCCGTGCCTTCTTTGACGGGGCCATCTTTCTCGAATGGGTCAGCGGGATCCACGCGTCCGCCTTCCCGTCGCCCGTCCCGTTTTCTTGTTCGTCCCGCCAGACCCCGTACGTCATCATAACGTTCGCGCTAGCTGCGCTGTCATTGGCTGGACGCATCCGACAATCCGTCCACCGTGCGAAACTATCTGGCGCGTTGGACGCACGCCGGATCGCCGATCCAACGTCTGAAGCGACCAAATTTTTCGAATCAGGCAGTCGTATTGCCGGATCGGACGTCGGATCGGATGGATTTTTCGCGCATGTGTCTCGCGCTTAAACGACAAAACAATTGCGAACGCCGTGCACGGCATGGCAAGCAGTATAAGGAATAACTGGGACGCAATCAATAGCCACAAGGCGGTTCTTCTTTGGCTGTGGTTCATTGGTGGCAAGCCACGGGACCAACCTACACCTATCTTGAACCGGTCGTCCCATGGCATGTAAAGGATAAATATAAGGCGAGGCGAGAAAAAGATAGAAAAATAACGTGCCTCTGTCAGCTCCAGCGTTAGCATTGCAGAAGTAAATCCGATTAAAATAAACAAAAATGGTAATACCGAAAAGCAAACTTTTATGTAAAAACCAGTATCTTAAAAAAAAAAAACTATTAGCGACACTGTTACCAAGGGACAGGCCCCGTCTGCGGCTTTAAGTGTTCCTAATTAAACCTCCACACCCTCTTTTTTTGCGATTTACAACGATTCACTAGGTATGGCTTGCATTACAAATTCGTGTGATGTTCCTAGTTGCCGCTGTTGAACCATGGTCGCCGAGAGGATGAGAATGGCGAGACATCTCTTTTGGATGCCCGCCGCGGTTGTTTGCTTCCACCACGCTCTGGCTGCGCTTGCGTGCTCGAAACTTACGAGACGGCCAAGTGTCGTCGAAGGTAGGAGACTTGGGCCGAAGGTAGAACAACTAAACGACTTCCCCGCAGCTCTCGGCCTGTCAGTGACTATATACAGTTCTAGTGAACGCAACCGACGCAAATGTTCGAAACAGCCTTGAGGATACTTTTGCTGAGCCTCGTTTTCTCTATTCCTGCACATAATGTCATAATGCTGGTCGTAATGGACGAGACTCGCACACTATTTACCTTTGCCCGTCTCATTTGTATGTGGTGGTGAAGGAGTTCTAACAGCCGAGACTGGAAATGTGCGCGGCAAAGGGCCGTGACAAATTCCAAATGAAGAACTTTGTAGGCCTCGCACGAAAAACTGCCCAACAGTTTCCACGACCGAAAGCGACACTGCATTGCACACGTCCGCAAAGGATGGATGGGGACTTTCTTAAATTCAGGACAAGGGTGTATTCAAGCATTTTTCACATTCGGTCCCCTTTTCACACATTTCACTTTCACAAATTTCCAACTAGGCACGACCGGGCAAGCGCCTGGTTGTGCCTGGTTGGAGAACCATGGGACATCGGGAATTCCACGCAGACGGGAGGACAGTGTGCCAACACAAAAGACAAACGTGGATGTCTATGAGAAGAGCCACGGGCGGCCTCACCATGGATATGCCCAGGCTCCAGACGTCCGCCCGGATGTCGTAGTCCGGCTTGGTCGGGTCCGGCGGGTCGATCCGCTCGGGCTGCAACGGTCGCACGGGTAGAACGGTGAGGGCACTGTTGCACCACGAGTTCGGCTCGTGGGGAACGCTAAACAGAGGCTTGAGCCAGCTTGGGTCGCGTCTGAATTCCAACCTGGCAGTCGGATTGGGCTCGAACCAATACACTACTTCCTAAAATCCCCGCACGAAACAATGCGCGCGTTGCATTATGGAACTTCTTTGACCACGGAGAGGAGTGGCGCGGTTTCGGTCTCGACTGCCCAGTCGACGAAGTAGTGAATCTCGGCACTGCTTGAAAATAAAGTCGGTGCCAGCTCACATTGCACTCCTTCATTTTCGTGAGTGCCCCGTCGAAAGACGGACCTCTGGCGGCCATACGCACCTGCCTAAACTTAGCTTGGCTACCACTTCAAGTGCAGCGTGACACTCCCCGCTCACTGATCATTTAAGAAGGTTAGGACATTGATGAGGCAATGGAACAGAATGACTGGTTCAGTGTACAGTGCAATCCACTTATAACTATGCAGTGCTTATAATGATCAGTTTCTAGGGTTTCTACAGTAGAAACGTTCAGTTTCTAGTCCAGATACAACGATAATCAGTTATAACAATTCGATTTTCGGGTTTTCTCATTATTGTTATAAGTGGACTGCCCGGTACTTCTCCCATCTGCTATCGTAGTTCTGTATTTACAGTAAAACCTCGTTATAACAAAATGGGATATAACAAACTAATGGATATAACAAAGTAATCATAATTCCCCTTGCTTGCTAATAGTGGGAAAAAAATGGACATTGGCTATAACAAACTAATGGTTATAACGAAATAATTATGACCACTCCTTCAACTTTGTTATAACGAGGTTTCACTGTACCTGCACACAAACTCCGGCACGCCGGGAGCCCGAAAAATGTGCCCCAGCACTCTACCCATATTAATAGGCAACATCGACGGTGTTATAAATTTAAGAAAATTTGCATATTCAAAAATGCAAGCGCCATACCTATTTGCTCTCGACGGGACGTCGTGAAGCGAGATGGGGAAATCAAAACCGAAACTGTCATTGCTAGGGTCCCAAGGAACATAGTGTGGCACAGCGCCGCTAGGATCGCTACGATTTTGAGAGGTCGCTCTATGATGGCCTAACGGCAGTGCTAGGTTGCCGGCACCCCGAGAGCCTAATCGGTCCGGCCTTGCCAAGCGTGAAAGTAGGGTGTGGGATCACGGTGTTATCTACAGCATATCAGAATGCAGAAAATGAGTTGCAATTCATGCTTAGTCGTTTGCCAGGATCTCTCCACACGGCACAGTGCCTGGTTCTGAGAAAAACTGAGGGCACATGCGCTCTTTAGAGTGAGCGGTACATTTCACGATGCAAGCGGAGTTTGAGCGTGCTGTAAAACAGTCCCTTTACTGGACAGAGTAAGCTGAAATTCTAGTTAAATACATCTTGCTAGAGGGAGCAACTTCAACCATGAAGAGCATGTGCAATTTAATGGCGAAAGGCTCCTAGGCAGATTGGTGCAAGCGCGCAGGCGTTGGGTTGTCGCGTGGCGAGGGAACCGGGTGGAGAGGCGGAGACGTTTGCAGACGGTCAACACTTTCGACCTCCTGCAGCTCATTTTGCAAATGCAGCCTATAAGTCACGTGACCCTGATCGAGCAGTTGCGCCCCCTCTTAAACCTACACTCCCCATACCAATGAAATGTGAACTTGAGCGCATACTTAGTGCCGTGTGCGTTTTTGTTCGCTTCGTGTTCCATGTTCGTTGTCACTGGTTGGCGTAATCGCACTATGCATGAAAGTATGATTTTGCTCAAGCACCAATTCAGCAAATCATCGCCACTCAATGGTGGCGAGTGCCATCACCGAGTGGCGAGAAAGAGGAAGGCAATCTCCTTGAAACAGAAACGTGTCATCCTCGAAAAAGTGAGCACAAACATTAAAGAATACTGCTCCACTGTCAATGTCCTCCGCAGCAGCCGTCGCAGCTATAAAGATGATTTATACGGAGCTAGCGAGATCACCCCTCGATTAAACTTCTCGCCGTTGGCGAAGAGTAGCTCTTAGCAAAAAGCGTGTGCATAGAAGCCTCGACCACCCTCTGCAGGCGCAATAAACATGTGCCCGTGACAGCCCCGTTATCCTTTATTTGCGCGTTACTTTCATAGAGTCCAGATATAACGAAGAATCGGATATAGCGAAGTGATTTCCGACGACTGCGTTATAACCGGTCTCGACAGTAGCTGCGAGAAAAGCAAAGAGTGAAATTGATCACTTTAGCCGCCAAGAGCCATCCCCAAATGGGTGCAGGGTGAACTCACGGCCATGTAGGCGGCGCAGCCGGCCGATCGCGTGCGGGCCTTGGAGTCGACGAGGCGGCCGCTGATGCCGAAGTCGCACAGGCGCACCCTTCCGGCCCGGTCGAGCAGCACGTTGGAGGGCTTCACGTCCCGGTGGATGAGGCCGTGGCGCTCCTTGAGGTAGTGCAGGGCCCGCAGCACCCCCAGGGCCGTGCGGCCCAGGATGTCCTCGGGCAGGGCCCGGGGCCGCAGCCGCCGCAGCAGCTTGTCCAGGCAGGTGCACATCAGCTCCATGCAGATCCACACCTCCCCCTCCGTCATCAGGTAGCCAAGGCACTGGACGATGTGGGGGCAGTCCTGGCAGCGCAGCACCACCTCCAGGTCCATCGTGATGCGCTTGTTCTCCTCCCGGTTGCCAGAGCGCCTCATCTGCTTCACCGCCAGCACCTTGCCCGTGGGCCTGTGGCGCATCTTCACCACGTGGCCGCACGTGCCGCACCCCAGGTCCCCCAACTGCTCCAGGTCCTCGGTCTTTACCCGGTGCCGCTGGCCGCCTATCGTCAGCACGTTGCCCGCCTGCAGGATCTCCTGCAGCTTGCGCTCCGACTCTGCACCCCCGCTGCGACCGGAGGACACATGCCCAGGCTGTAGCACTCGCCCGACACAGCCCTCCCCAGAAAGGGGGCTTAACTGCGAGGCACCCACTGTGCTGGCCATCTGAAGTAGTGTCAGTGCCTCGCGGTTCCACGTTCGATGCGGGTAGAGTTTCCCGATCGCAACACTTTCTCCACCTCGTTGGTTTGTGAGTCGCAACAATTGGTCTTCACCGCGAGCAGGCCGACGTGCCCTTGCAAGAAGTTCAACCCACTTTTGATTCGGTATTGGGGCCGACGGCTAAGTAACCAATTTGAATGCATGAGACTCACTCACCACTTTACGAACATCTAAAGGTTCATCCTTTTCCCGCACAATAGCCAAGTAGAATAAGCATCCTTTTCCTGCTATCACAGTCCCATAAGCACACTATACTTCGTTTCACCCTAACTGGGAAAAGAGTAAATGCCCCGGCCCCTTTGAGCCAATGAGAACGACGGAGGCAAAGCATACGACAGCCCTTAGCAAGGGTGCAGAGGCGAGAACGTAACAGGCCGAGAAGAGAGAGAACGAACCCCCCTTTCATCTGGAACCTCTTTTGTGTGTTCCAGAAATAACTATTCTCCCCCTAGAATGTGAGCCCACCGTTCAAAACTTATGCAAAAGCGGCTTCCCTCTCTCTCCCACCCGTGACTTAGACAGCACTGCGCGCAACTTGTGATAGTCTTCGCCGTCTGCCAAGTTATGGTGAAACAGAGTACAGTGTCTGCACATTGACCTAAAGAAAAGCTCGAGCAATAACATCGCCACGACGGTCCTCCATCCAACCGTGTCATTTGACAGTTGTTGATGCACCGGCGGCTTGTGGGCACCATCCTTCTGTAACTAGTGGTGAATTCCACTCGTAGATCTGGAGCGCTTTCCAAAATCCGCAAGGGAGGCGAAATTCCACTCTGTGGGACTCGCTCCGAATCGACGAGGGGAAGATAAACTTGCATTTTTGGAGCGACCTCCCCCACACCCCTCCCCACCTTTTCTCCCTCCGCCGTACAAAATGGCCGCTGCTCGAACTTAACCAGCCCACCAACGCCTCAGCCGGCTCACGTTTCCGACGACCAGTGACAACTGTCACTGCTTAGCTGCAGAAATAACACGCGACACAAACCGAGCAAAATTAAACGTACCACGGTGCCCATGTCACAAATAACGAAGACGTCCGCGTTCGGCACCGTCACATACCTTTCGGCCGCCTCGAAGCAGTGGGGCACGGACAGCGATTGCCAGCGGAGTTCAGATTTGTAGTACGACTTCAATAAACCCAGAGGTAACAAACCATCACTTGCGCGGTCGTTGCCTAACTACTTCTTGCTTTATTTCACGGGAAAACGCCGACGGAATGCAGTGTAAAAAGGTAAACAATCACTGGCTGCAGAATGAATAGGCCTAACCTTGCGTCTGCCTCCAGCTTTTCTGTCGTTCTTTTTCTCGTTCTTCCTCTCACGATCACAGATGTCAGCGCTTACGATTTGCCGCACTCCACATTCCCGGCTTTTTATCCCTGATCTACGCGAGGTAAAAGCGTTCGAGCCGTCAAAATCCAGAGTAAACAACCAACGCACCTGAACAGAACCAACTCCACGACACCGACACGGCCGTGGCCCGACCGGCCCGCCGATCTCTCCAACCTCGCCGCGCATGAGCACCGCCGATTTAGACGGAAATCACGTGGGCCGCTCTGTCAACTTCCGGAGAGATCTGTGAGATCCCACAGAGCAAGTTCGGCGTAGTTTGGGGCGCTCCGTGGAGCGGGCGCTGCCAGAGATCTACGAGCGGAAGATGACCAACTTGAGCCAGATCTGCGAGCGGAATATGCGCGCTCCAAATGGAGCGCTTTTGGAGCGCTCGAGATCTGCGAGCGGAATTCACATTAGATTTGCCACTGGTGACAGTCACGGTCCCAAAAATGCAACTTTTTTTGGTTCCAGTTATGGTGTGTACAGAAATCTTTTGATGTCACTTTGATCACTCCTAAGGATTGTTTCAGCAGGCAGGAAGACAGTAAGCACTTGCTACATTTTCCGCCGGGCACTTCAGCGAAAGCGGAAGTGCACGTCGGAAAATGTAGAAAACTAAATGAAAATCGGAAACTGGGAACAATGTACCGGAGTGACGCTACTCCGAAGCCCAGTCTTGTCTGATAGTTCTCTGCCATACCACCCAAGATATGAGGTCCGCGCAGAAAGCGATGCCGTAAAATACCGAAGAAGCGCTCGCTATTAGCGCTTCCCAAACCTGGGAATTCTGCAAATTATAGGTTAACCGCCCGATTTGACCGGGCAAGAGCGCATGTCAAGAATAACCCAGTTTTCAGTGAAAATGGGGTGGGCACCTCCTGGTATTTTACAGTAAACACGCCATAGATCATTGAAAGTATGTGCGCACGCTGCGAGCTACTGTACTGCCAATGCGTGCGGGGAGCATTCACGGCGACATACAAGAGAGTTAGGCGGTGCAGCTTGGATCCGCCACCAAAGTCGGAGCAGGAAAACAGGCCTTGTAGTCTAGGTAGTACCACCTGGGATTCAATGTGGGCCAGAGCAAAGAGGCGCGGGGAGTGGACCCACCTGTCCTGTCTGGTCATCACGGGACTGGAGGTGGGCAGCGAGAACTGTCGGGTGGACCGGCCAGCTGCCGTCATCTCTCCAAGCAGGACTGCACACACCAAAACAACCGCCCAACCTGAGCCGTCACGGGCAACAAGAGACGCCCATTTAGCAGCCCGCCTCAGCCATTCATTGCAAAGGCGTGTGGCTGCGGAGGTGCGAGGCATTCAAACAAACGAGCACCGAGAGATGCGATGTCTGGTATCTGGTTCGCAGTCGATGTGCAGACAAGTAGGAAGTTCTTGGTAACTGTAAAGTGGCAGCCAACATTTTACTAAGAGGCTGAGCTTCTTCTTCGGGACTGCCAACAAAAGAAGCTTTCGAATGTTGGTTGTCACTCTGAGGCTTTCGCGAGGCACCCTTTTTAAGTTTTTCCTGCAACATTCGACGACGTTAAGTCGATCGCTCCTGCATGAAGCGGCGCGTGCCGCTCCACGCGGGCACTGGGTGCACTTTTTACTACATAAAGTGCCCCTTAAAAAGAAAAACCACCAAGATATTTGCGCCCTTCACCTACGCTACCTGGTTGTAGTGTTATTGGTGGCGCTTTCTCGTTGCCATTACACCCCTTTTGCTCAGCTTGCACAATGACGTGCAACGAAAGAGGCATCATCAAACTTGCTACCATGATTGATCTCTTACTTGGGCATTTTGTTACGCCGCAGCACGATTTTAAGGCAACGCAGAGGTGCATCAATCATGTCGCAGTGACCCCAACAATGCAGCAACCTTTTTGAACCTTGCAGCGCCGGACAAATGGCTCAGTGTCGAAAACTCACTCCAGTGCGAACGTTGCATTTATGAGAAGGTTGTGGCTACCTCGTGGTAACGCCCAGTGGTTCTGTCGTCTGGACGGAACCACTCTTACGGTTCCATCTGGACGGAACCACAATAGTTCCGTACAAACAAAACCGATAGTGTTTCATCCAGACGAAATGTTAGCGAACCCTGTAGAGTTCTGCACAGACGGAACGATAGTAACCACTAGAGTTCCATCCAGACAGTACAATAACCACTGCTAATGTTTCTTTCAGACGGAAGAGAAACCTGCCGATGAACCTTTGTGCAGCACACGAGGGTTGATCCCTATGCTCCACCCATGACCCATTTCCGGTGTAAAAAGTGGTTCCTATGTTATTTTTAAATGGGTAGGGGAATGTAATTCTATCGCTCATTTTCTAGCTTGAATGCGTTGCATGTTGCACCCTAACCTTAAAAACACCAGTCTTCCATTGAGAGGCACAAAAAAACTAATTTTTAAGCTAAATAAACAATCTTTCAAAGCACACCTGGTGGATGCATGCGGAGCCTATTTGGGAGGTGATGTAGCAACGTTGGGGAACCTGCTACGTAGTCATGACGTAGCAGATTCCTTCAAAGCAGCGCCGCTCTTTGGAATTTCAACATTTTCCTTCTTAGCTTTCCTCCTAGCTCAACTCAGAAATCGTGCATTGCACCAAACGGTCCAAGAAGATGGAAAGGAAGGACTCCCCTCTCTCTCGGACCCTCGTTCGTGCAACCGGACACAGTTATTCTCCCCCTAGAAGATTAGCCCGTCGCTCAAAACTCAAACAAAAGTTGCTTTCCCCACCCCGTTCAGCCCTAAGCTGACAGTGTTAAGGAAGCTACGTGCCCCTTGGGCCAGCCACATGCTCGTCACCCCACGGGTACTTCGAACGGCTCGGTTGTAACGCGCCGACGCTATTGACACCACAACAATGCTGACACCACCAAGGAAAAAGCTCATAACCACGCCAGCCTTGCTACGGCACGAATGCGGGGAACCTTTTCTTTGCTTTTTGTTTGCGCCGGATATGCCATGATGCATCGCGCTCTTCGTTCGCTTGCTCGAATGCACCGTTTCGACCGAAAAATATAGCCAGTCTGTCAAAATACGAATGTGCGATTATCATTTACGGTTATTATCCGTCATGCTTGACTCATTTCCAAACGAAATTTGAATATTTCAATTTTTGTTTCCGTACCCCTTTAATGTAGTCTTCTCGAAGTCTAATGAACTTGTCCCAGCAAACCTATGTAGGCAGAGACTGAGCGTGAGGAGAAGGCGATAATGCATGGGGATGTCGGAATGCTGAGCTCTGGTTGGAATGATTAGTGGGTAGACACAAAGCTAGCCGCCCTTGTCTCCACCGCACTCGTCGAACGCGATAGAACACGAAACGTTAACGTTTGGTTTTCACATTCAAATGCGTTCGACGAGCGCAGTGGAGACAAAGGTAGCCTTTGTCTCCACTGCACTCGCCAAATGTATTTTACCGCAGAATGCCATTGTCCAGCGCTCGCATTTGAACATGTTCGACAAGTGCAGAGGAAACCAAGGCTTCAGGTCTACCTACTGATCATTCCAACCAGAGCCCCGCATTCCAATGCTCCCGTGCACTCTCGTCTCCTCCTCTCCCTCGGCTTCTGCCCCCATAACATTTGTACTGCTGCCTGGAAAAAAGTTTGACCAACCTCTGCAAACCATGCATCTCCAGCCTCTATTACCTCATTACCCATTAAAAATCTCCTCCAAGCACGTGTTTCCTTAATATTTTTTTTTGAAGAGTATGTATTTGGGAGCAAGATCCAGTGCATACGGTGGATATTTCAGCATTTCAAGAGCTTTCTTCTGGAATGGTATTCATTGCAACGGAAGACCTGAGGCTGGGTGCATTGCCGTAATGAAGGAGCATTCCTTGTCTCAACCTTCCAGGACGTTTCTCCTCGACGGCAGCACGACTTTGCAATTAGGTTTGCATAGCAAGAACTTGTTATTGTGGCTCTACCTTATAAGTAACCAAAACAAAAAACAACAACGCACATTTAAACATCTCAAGAAACCGACCAAGAGCTTGGACGGAAAGGAACAATACTGTTTTCTGGGCCCTCGGGACGGAACCAACGGTACTACTCCACAGGGCTCACTCTCGTTCCGTCTGGACGGAACTTTACCGGGCCTCCTATCGTTCCGCGTGGACGGAACTACTGCGTCTGCTGCCGTTCCGTCTGGTCGGAACTCTAGAAACTCGGTTGTGAGAAACACTTCAAGCATCTTCGCTAGGCTGCATCCCCAGTGTGCGGCAATGAACGCTTTTAACAACGCACCTTGCGTTGCTGATTTGTTCATTGCCCGACGTTTAATTGCACTGATATCTTCGCTGCCTAGCCTCGCTCGTGCACGGTTCCAAAGTGTACAGCTCGACGTGCGGGAAACCGAGCGGCGAGAAATATCTGGTTGGGCCGCCGCAGTTTTCTCGACGGTGCCCACCCCCGCAGTCTGATCCGATGCTCTTTCTTCTCTCCCTAAGCCTACCCGACGAAGGCGACGTCAGTTTCACTTACATGGCCTGGGCCTCGATCGTGGTGTGTGTTGCGGACTCGAGAAGTTTAAGTTGAGATCCCGAGGCAGTTTGTCTCTACTCTTCGCGTCATTCTCGGCCATCAGCCGAGCCTGAAGATCGGCTATTTTTTTCTGAAATGAAGCTATCGCCGCCATCATGATCACTGATGTCGACGGCCACCGCAGATACGTATCTGGCGTTATTTTCTAGTTTCGTGCGCTCAAGCGATTGCAGACACTTTTTATAAAATAATAAATAACTAATGTCACTTATTAGAATTATTAATATTGTCGTAAAATTTAGGTAAGTTCACTGCGTGACTGTGGGCATTTTCGGCAGCTCTTGCGAAGCGCTTCGAAACCGTCGAAACATCGAAACGGATCAGCTGGGTGTTGCATTGCCCGACGAAATGAGGAAATGTGGCGCAACGATACCGACGAAACGACAAAACTCGAGGACGACAACAACAACACGCCTATGCCACCATGGAACACTACAATGTTCGAGCGTTTGCTCGCGCCTTTCGCTTCCTCCGTATTCCCGCTTCGATCTGACATGAGTGGTTGCCGACGCACGTGGTAGCGTCGTAGTAGCGTCGCGGCTAAGCGCAGCAATGAAGCGCGTAAACAGCCTCTATCGCGCCGAGGTGGAGTCAGCGATAGCTCAAGCACGATAACCCGGTTGACTCGGTTAGCTCAGTCGCCGCTCGCAGCTCGGGACGACTGTTCTACAGATACCGGAGCCGGCCTCGCTCAGGGTGCTGGGGCCGTTGCCCCTGTCATTGCCGCCTCCTGCGCCCCAGCAAAGCCGGCCGCGTCGAAGCGGTAATTGCACGTCACGTGCTGGTTCGACTGACCCCGAAATCTGGCCGGTTATGCGGAACTGGCTGCTCAACATGGTGAAACCGAAGAACGCGAGGAGCGTCGCCGACCTGCCGGCTCGCCACAAGCCCGTCGTCATGCACAAGGCGGCGTACGAGGTAGACCCGCGAAAACACCGCGCCGGCGCGAGTTGCTAACGCGCCTTCCTTTTTGCTTCTCTCGAGGATGCGGTGTACGCGTTGAACAACCTGCAGAGCAACGAGGCCACCATCCAGCGGGCGGCGCAGCACCCGAGCCCGGCCGTGCTCCGGTCCCTGCGGATGCCCGAGCATTTAGCGGCCGCCGGGGTGCAGGTGAGGCCGCCCGCGGTTTCCCGCGCGGGGTTCGTCTAGATCGCTCACGGAAGGCGTATGGCGCCTCTTGCGCAGATGACCGACATCGACGACCTCAGAGTGATCCACGTCGCCGGCACCAAGGGCAAGGGTTCCACGTGTGCCTTTACCGAGAGCATCCTGCGCTCCCACGGCTACAGGACCGGCCTCTACACGTGAGTCCCTCTCGAGCGCCTTTCGACTCCGTGCCCGTACCCGCGGTGCCCTGATTCACCTCGATCCGCGTGGTGACGAGGAACGGGCCAGAGGCGACAATCTCGCCAAATAATCTGCTCGCTTGCCCACCAGTTGGTGCTGTTGGAGTCGACGAAGCAATGGGCTGAACTCTCTTTGCAGCTCACCACACCTGGTCGCTGTCAGGGAACGCATTAGAATCAATGGGAAGCCCATCTCCCAGGAACTTTTTGCCAAGTACTTTTGGGAAGTGTATAACGCACTGGAAGCCCAGGTAAGACGAGCGTGGTTCTTTCTCATTTTCGTCGAAGGATGAACGCCCCAAGCTTTTGTTTTATTTTTTTCATCAGGAGGCGGAGAAGATGCTCCCAATGCCGGCCTACTTCATGTTTCTCACCGTCATGGCCTTTAAAGTATTTGTCAAGGAAAAGGTGAGTGTCCGTCGTTGCCCGTGCGTGCCCTCTCGAGGCAGACGGTCATATTTCTCTTCCAACCAGGTGGACGTCTTGGTGCTCGAGGTCGGGGTCGGGGGAGAGTATGACTGCACCAACGTCGTCAGGTGAGTCGGACTTTGTGTCTGGAACGTGAACGAGATAGGGATGGTGACGGGCCAGGGGCTCTCGCTTTTCCCTCCTATTTGATGTGTCAGCTAAACGGCTCACTGTAAGCACAAATAGAAGACTCGCGGGTGTGAGCCGGTTTACAAAGGCAAGACCCTTCGGTGCCAAGCTCACTGGCACCGTCCTTCACTCGCTGCCATTTGGACATGGACTCATGTCATACACTCCTCAAAGAGAAACTTAACATATAATACGATGGAATCTCTCTGCGGTAAATATATAAATATTATGAAGCGAAACTGAAGTATGTTAGTGCTACTGGTATACGGGCATTTGAGGTGCTGACGTAGCGAGAATTTTTCTCGTATAAGCATCTCTCGCAGAGAGAAGAGGTGCAATCCTGGGTGAAGTCCCAGATCAGGCAAGGCTTTCAAAGATAGAAAAAGTGGCTCGTGAGCCGACAGCGTGCCGCACAAAGGCACATTGAAAGCACGGATTCTTCCGTCTATGATCGGTGATGGGTTAGGAGTAAAGCGGAAGCTCCTTCACCTCTTCCCACTTTAGCAGAGCAAAAACTGGAGAAGAGGCGACCTCCTCTCCAGCGTTCGCTCTGCTAAAGTGGAAAGAGGTGGAAGGAGGTTCCGCTTTACTCTTCACCGATTACCGACTATAAGGTCTCGGTACAGGGCCTGGCCCTCGTCTTTAACCGGTGTCGTTTGGCGTCTTATTCTGCCCATACATAAAAAGTGGTCCCTAAGTGGCAACAAACGACGTCTCAAAAGAAGGAGTGTCGCGCCGGCGGTTGGGCGTAGAGTTCTGGCAAAAAGCGCGAAAGAATGCGAGCGTCGCCGTCGTCGCGGCGTCCCAACTTTCAGGCTGCCAAAGCTTCCGTGGACTGTCAAGCTGGTGACCAACCTGTAGCAGTACAGGCGCCTGCCGCATCCAACATTTTCGCTGCGACACTGCTTGGACTTCGGCCGGCAACAATGTGACACTTCTACGATGCCGTCGGGTGGAAATTGTGGGACCACTTAGTAGCACACAGTAGGACACGGAGACTTGTTCTGGGCACCACAGCCTCTTGGACGTCGGGGCAGTGGCCGAGTGTGTCCTTGCAGGCATCCCAGCGTGGTGGGCATCAGCTCGCTGGGCCTGGACCACACCCGGCTGCTGGGCTCGAGCGTGCAGGAGATAGCCTGGCAGAAGGCGGGCATCATGAAGCCGGGAACGCCTGCCCTGTCGGTGCCCCAGCCGGAGGGGGCCCTGCAGGTGCTCGTACAGAGGGCCCGGGAGAGAGGGGTGAGCACCGAAACCCATGCTCGCGTCGGGTGCGCCCGGAGATGGCGATGGGTTGCAGACGTTTGGCGCTTTGCTTTGTATCGTCTGCACCATCCAAAGCCGCAGTCACGCTGTTAATGCGTCATACAAAAGACGGTTTGCAGACACTTGCGTGTTGCTGCCTCGTACAATGGTCCCATCAGATTGATCGTGCAAAAGCTATCTGCAGACGTGTTCGGAACGTGTACAAAGCAAACGTGCTTTCAACATGCTCGAGGCATTTCTTTGTCGTCTGCAGTGAACGTCTCTTGTACGATGTACGAGTGCTACGACTGCTGCTGAAGTGACCGAGGAAACGCACGCTCCGTCAGCTGTGCTCAATCCGCTCTCTATTGTCCTTGCCTCCATTCTTGCACCCCTCGTTTGCACTTCGTGCACTAACGGGTGCTCGACACTGTCTATTTTTGGTTTGTCGGAGAGCTAGCCTGCGTAACACGTGTGCTTTTCAACAAAGGAATGCTTGCATATGTGAAACGCAGATAGTACACCTCACATCCCCAGCAGAATGCTTTCTTTGTGTTCTATACCTTGGTTTTGTCATAGCCTTGATTGCAGTTCCTTCATATTTAGTATTTTTGTCTGCATTGTTGGGAACATAAAACGTGCATGCCGGCCAAAAACAGCATTGGAAATTATAGTTATGCTTACTAACAACCAACAGTAGACGCCTATCACATCCTTTAAAGTGTCCCCAGAGTTCTTGAGGTCTAAAAAATATGCCACAATACAGTTGAATTATGTAAATAATGCCATCTTTGTTAAGAAGACTGACGCAAGCAGTTAGCCATGTTAGACAAATGCAACCACCATTCACAGTACTATTTTTGACAGCCCACTAGCTTGTGATAAAGCTCAAACTTATGTCCAAACCGAAACTACAGTTTTTCGGCTATCCACGAGATTGTGGAACATAAGTTTCCGCACTAAATTTAATTTCTTAACGGCGCTTGGATACCACAAATCACCGGTGATCGATGGCTTATGGGCACGGTCAGGAAAGAGTTAACAGTTCTGTAACTTGCTAAGTGGGAAAGAGAAAGAAGGGTGAGTCAGGGGGATTAGAAACATTGAATCTTTGTGCAGAGTGCCTGGATCAGTAACTTATTGCATTAGTTGATCCCTATTATGGTTCATGTCGGGCTTTAGGCTGACCGACTCAGTAAACTCGATGCAATCAGGTTTAGATTATGTAACAATTTGACTTGCATTTAATTTCCTGATGCTAAACTTCAAACAGCTCTATGCTTAAGAGCATAAGAAATGGCAAATAATGTATTTGACAAATAAAATTCATATTTCAAGGACAACTTCACTTGAGGTTAGAACTGAAAGAAACAACATATAGGGTATCAGTGGGACATATGATTATTAGCAAAAATAGAATGGCGAAATCACGTCCAGATCTTCACTAAGTCCAGTACTTAAAATACAGTCTTCGACACCTTAGCACCCCATCAGTGGATGAGCTACTGATGAAGACATGGTGTTCGAAATTTCGTCACTTTCGTGCTCATCCACTGCTGTCTGAACTGACGGCCGAAGCAAATTCTCTAAAGTAATGTGCAGAGAAATAAAACTGCCGGGGCTCGTGCGACTCGGCCAATTGCGCGCACTGTGGCACGGAAGTGTTTTCGTTTTTGTCCTCTCAGTCAGCGTTTTTTCTGCTCTCGAGCCAGCACTGTCAGTTTTGGCGCGAATGTCTGTCGCCAGAGATATGAGACCGGATACCTACCGAATGCCGTTGCTGGAAAAGAAGTGCATTCCCCAATAATCAGGTGTGCTGACCGCATAAAATCGTTCGTAACCCCAGAGCTTAAACAAAAAGTGAGTGGAGTGGCCCTTCAAACAATCACTCTTATGAGGCAATAATTTGTAGATAAACGTCTCTTTCTCATCGGTGGGGAGACAACCTCCAGGCGTTCTGTCTCGGCCCCTGGAGCGCAAAGTGGAGGGTTTGAATTATGGGTAGTCCTTTCCCCAAGGAGTCTTTGGGATGTCTCTGATAGCCTCACTTGCTTTGCGACATAAAAACCAAAATGTTTTTCTTTGGTGGGTAATGCTTGTGATTGGTGTTCACTGGCCAACTTGGACCAAAATGTGAGATTCAATTTTCTTTCACGTCTGGAGGAATGCACACTCAGCGTGCTTCTCGGATGTTACAAGTGGAAACTTAATCTGGCATAATCTAGTGAACGGGGGCCCAGGCCCCAGCGTTATTGGCAGCTTTTCAGGTCTGCCGTGTAAGTCAGGAAGCCGGGATTATCTCCGCCTAGTCATGTCAAGGTGGCTGCCCAGATTGCAGCAGGCCTTATCTGTCAGGATTCTAGGAAGGGCCAAGAGATAATGGCCTCTCTCTTTCGCTCCTTTCTCGTACCTCCCTCTCTCTCTCTCGAGGGAACTCGTGGGGGAGTGACGCAAGCGAGGGTGTGATATCGCGGAGCAACCGAACCAGGTTGCGTGTTGTTTACTTTGCCGACTCCTCCGCACAAAGAGCTTGCAATTGGGGCGATGGTGCAACGAAGGTGCCCTCTCCAGCTTTTGTCCAATTGAGACATTGCTGTCCTTGCACATCGCGTCATTATTCAGGTGGTCGTTGTCATTGAAATGAACTATGCCATTACGTTGTGTGTTTAAAGCTGGCCCAGATTTTTGTGGTGGAGCTTCACCAAGAAGATAATGCTCCATACATCCTCTAGTTGGGGTTCAGACCGGTACAGTTTTTATTTTCCAAAAGGTACTTTTATATGGAGTGCATCTATATCATGGAGGAGATGTCAATACATTTTTCACAAAAGTAATTTTCAAATGCTGTAAATTTCTACCAATGTCACAAAATTACAGTTGGAGGGCTCTTTTGCATTGTAGATTTAAATTCTTATAATTTTAATGTGCATGGCACAGACAAACGTTTTTGTGCCCCTCGTTGTGACATGCGGTGCAATCCCAGTCGCTCTCTGACCGAGCTTCGGGGCACCTTGTCCCTCTCTGCCCACTCGGAGAGTCCATCCCATCACACAAAGATTTGTGATGGAAATTGGAGCTAGCCACATACTCTTGGGGGGAGTGTCTACATGTGGTGGTTGCACTAGGGTGTGGACCTCTGAAGACATGCACAGAAGCAAACACAGTTTTGTAGCTTCCCATTATTATCTGTATGTAGCACAGGTAAATTTGTAGACAATTTGAAATTAGCTTTCTCCGCTTCACTTCATTACCATAAAGGGATACTTCAACGAAATTTGAAATATTCCCGTCGTGTTCAAAAATAGGTTGAATATGATCCACAATATCCGTAAATGACAATCGAACGTTTGTATTTTGATCCTGGTGGCTGTATTTTTCGTTATAAACGCCCCACTCTGGCAAGCACTCGGAGAAGGCCCAGCTTAGAGCACGTGACATCCAACGCAATCGTGACGTAGGTCGTCTCAAGACGAGCAAAGCTATGGTGAGGCTGACGTCGAGAGGATGGCCTAGTCGTTCCAGCCACCGAAGCGGGTGCTTTTGTTCGAATTTTGAGTGACGGGTTAATCTTCTATAATCTTCTAGGGGGACAATAGCGACTTCTGCGACACACAAAAGGGATTCTCGGGAAGAGGGGAGTTCCTCCTTCCCCCCTTCTCTCGTCGTGGCCGGAGACGAGACAACCTCCGTCACTAGCTGTCAAGGTTCCTAGACGAGCATTACAAACGAGGCGCTAGCGACATCCACCAGGTGCTCTTTGCTAATCGTTTAATTCGTTTTAAAATTCCTTTTCGAGACTTTTTTACAAGATATTGGTATTTTCCATGTGATACTGACTGCTCTTTGGAACACATATAGACCAAAAAATGAGCGCCGAAATTTCGTTGTAGTATTCCTTTAAACCCTCATGGGGGGTATTACATAAGGGGTGGGGTGTACAAAACAAGCAGTTAGAAAAAGTGCAACATGAATTCACTGTGATAGATTAATGGTGACATTTTCTATGAAACCTGATGGGGAAGTGATGGCGGCAATGTTGTAGGAAAGGTCATTCCAGTATTTGGCTGCGCAGGAAACAAGTGAGGCAGGAAAGGTGACAGTGCGGGACTGTGGGCGGGCAACCTGGAGCAGATGACCGGTGCGCTGGGGGCACGATGTAAGGTGCGATACCAAGCAGAGAGTAGAGGAACTTGTGAAAGAGAGAGGCTGTAAATGCGGCAACGGCAAGAAAGAGTTAGGCAAGCATGACTCAGCTTTTAAAAACGATGCACTAACATCGTACGAGTATGAAGCATGAATGAATCTGGTGGTGCGATTTTGAAGTGCTTCGAGTGCATTGATAAGATATGCTTGGTGTGGTGGACTCCAGATTGCGGTTCTGTATTCTAGGTTCGGTCTGATAAGCAATTTATAGGTAAGGTTCTGAGCTATCGGTTTAAACCAATAAAAGTATGCCGAATCCATTTTCGGCAATTCGATTTTAACCGAAAAAGGTCAGTTTGTAAGTTCGGCGTTTTCGGTGAAAACTGATACAAGTACGTCTAATCAGTTTTCTTAAATTCGGTTTTAACCGAGAAAGGTCAGTTTTTTAGGGCCGCGTCGAGGTTGTTGAAAAAGGGAGAGAGAGCGCTTTGCAAGGTTCGACATTGTGTGTTTTCTTCGTGATTGCCCTCTTCCAAGGTTCAGCATACAACAAAAGAGGTCTTGGATTGGCCTTCGCGGGACATCTGTGTCCTTTCTGTGATCGGGCTGTGTGTGTCAAGTTCCTGGTCCTAAAAGAAAGCAAAAAAAAAAAAGTTTGTATGTGGGCTAGTATAAGGTTTTTTGCTTCATGCACTTCAGATGACATTGAGGTTTTCTTAATTTCTCAAACTTCCCTGTGGTGGAGAACATAAATACAATGATATTTTTTTTGTCATTCTGCTGGTTCCTGTATGGTCATCACCTTGGACGGTTACGTCGTCAGAATGGGAAGGAAAAAGAAGCGCGCTAAAGATTATGGCCGCAAATTCCGCGATTTTGAGATGTGTCCTGACGGAAGTTGCAGCGAAACCACGTATGTATATGTGTCGTTATTCTTTGAGTGATCACAAATATCACAGCTGCAAGGGTCATCTGATCCAGTGTCCGATGGTGTTTCTTTCATATTCACCGAAAGAAACCGGTAAACTTTTTTGGGAATAAATATACACCTAAAGAAACCAAAAATTGAATTTTAAAATGAACACCGAAAAAAGTATGCCGAATTTTGAAAAAATAAAAACCGAAAACGCAGAACCCTATTTGTAGGCAAGTAATTTCACATGTTTCGGTGCTTAATGTAGGTGACTTTTAAGAATCCCAGCTACAGTAGACTCTCGGTAATTCGAAACTCACAGGGACAGCAAAATGCTTCGAATTAAGCGAACTTTGAATTAGAAAAGCACATATAAAACTGAGTTTCTTTTATTCAGTACTTAGGAGAAGAACTGGTCGATCTTAGATTGTCTTTGGCATTCTCTTCGCCCGAGAAAAAACATTCTACGACGCCCAATGCACTTTCCGCATCAGCGACACTCGGATGACGGCGGCGAGAGTTCTTCGTCGTCAGAGTCATCGTCACTTCCTTGCACCACCACACCAGGCCTAACCACTTTGATTATTTCGACGTCCGAAAGCGGACCAGAGACCTCCACGTGCTCGTCAACATCTACATCTGCTTTGACGACGCACTCTCTTCGACTTCTTGCAGCACCTTAACTTTGGTAGCGAGGTCCAGTGCGCGGTACTTCCTCCGTTGAGCCATTGGGATAGTACCAAAGCAGCGCGACGGAGCGATCGTTGGGTTGTGCGAAAGCACGTACGAACGAGCCAACACACTTTCGGATCTTCGTGTCTTCGTTGTCGAAACTCCCGCTCGCGCCGTTCCGCGGTTCCGCCGAACGCAACCCAGCGAGCCAGCCTTCTTGCCACCTATCTCCCTCTCTCCTCTCGAATGGAGAGCGCAGAGTGGGAGAGCAGAGCCCAAAGCAAATAAGCAAACAGCCGCGCGCGCAAGGCCGTTTGTTTGCTTTCTCGCCGCCGAGCCGCAGCGCGCCGTGGCGCCGTCGCACATTGCATCAGATTGCATCATCCCTAGTGCGGCGACGCCAGTGACGCGGCCGCGGGTCGTGGCGTTGCGTATTTGCGCTTCGCATTTGCTTTTTTCGCTCCCGGAATTTCCGGACTTTAGGTGCAGAGAAAAAAATCCTTCGAATTAACCAGCGCCCAACATTTAGCCTTCGAATTACCGCGTGTTTTTCCCCATAGCATTGTACATACGATTGCCGGGACCAGGCCCATGCTTCGAACTAACCGAAAATTTGAATTATGCAACTTTGAATTACTGAGAGTCGACTGTATCTGTTTCCAGAAGAAATGACGTTACTGATATGCGTGCCCCGTGATAGATCGTTGCAGAGGGTGACACCGAGGTACTTATGGCTCTACCAGTTCGGTGGAAACGTTAACGATAGCATGGTGGAAGAAAGAAAGTTCAACTGAAAGGACATGACCACATTTGTTCGAGTTAGAGACATTAACCAACGGTTGCGCCATCCTTATACGTTGTTTAGGTCGTTCTGAAGGATACCCTGGTCGGAAGCGTTGGTAACCGAGCGATAAATACCACGATCATCGGCAAAAATTCAAATATAACAGGACACATGCAGCGGTAAGTCGTTAATGTAAATTGGAAATAAAAGGGGACCGAGGATGGATCATTGGGGGACGCCCGATATTACTGGGAAGGAATGAGAAGACTGATTGTTAACGAGAATTGCTGGGGTCTCACCATTATGCCACAACACTTTCACGTTGTGGCATAATGGTAAGACCCAGAAAATGCAAAATAATTTTGCATTTATACCGCAGCCTGCAGCGCATGTATCGGGTGTTATCGAGGGGGGTGAACGGACACTCGAAAAACGATTCCCAATTTGTGGCACATGAACTCCTACCCAATTCCGTCCTCGTGCAGAGTTAACATATTTTGTGGATGTAGTCTTTACGTCAGGATATATAATTTGGAGGTAAGTGGTACGACAAACTATTGATGCCGGTGGTTTTTAGAATAAATATTAGATAAAAATTTTTAACTGAACTTTTTTCATTGCCAGCTGTTAGAAGGGAATACAATGCATACCAGCACACTCAAATGCAAATGTGCAAACCGGCCCTTAGAATGAACGAGGGCAGCCGACGATTGGCCAAGGGGCTCAAGCCTCGGTGTGCCGGCCCGTGCAGTGCTCCCTGCGGCTCGCACCCCCGCTGCTGGCCTACGACTGGGAGGTGCCGCGATGTCGCCTGGGCATTCCGGGCGAGCCCCAGCTTCAGAACGCCTCCCTGGCGCTGCAACTGTGCCGGGCCTGGCTGCAGAGGCACGCGGACAACATCGTGGCAGACGCCGGAGAACCCGAGGTCGGAAAGCCGGCAGGGGACGGTTTACGGGCTGACTCTCCGGAGCACCACGCCCTGCCCTCCATAGCGGCTCCCTTCTCCGTCTCCAAGCGCATGGCTCGAGGTGGGCGTCTCGCCGCCGTTCCAACAATGGGGACGGATAAAGGCCCGTTCGCGCACACGCGTCTGCTTACGACCGAATTCTCGCCATCTCTTACGACGAGGGAACACGCTGGCACCATACCCTCGAACTGCATTTCGCTAGAGCGAAGGTTCTCCCATACTTGCAAGATCAAATGCACATACTATCTACGAGAGATGGTCGTTTATAACATTGTCAAAAGTTTTTCGATCCAATAAAGAAAGCATAATGCCCCCCCCCCCCCCCCCAAAAAAAAAAAAAAAGAAATATACGGACCATGCGACTGTTCCACGGCTACCCGATCGATGGTTCCAACGTGAGCTGTCGTCGTAAGAGGTTTTTTAAATTTTCTCAAAGTGCAGGTTTTTGACAGTCACAAGTGTGTGGACCTGCCTTAGGTTGCAAGCTGCAACTATTTCCTCTGCTGTGCACATCGAAAACAGATCACCCTGATGACGTCACCCAGAAACTGGGCATGCCACTTTCTGAGTGATTTAATTGGGCAGAAATTGAGACACCAAGAATAAGGATGCGGTAGATACCGATCGAAGACGTTTGGTGAGGCACCGTAGGCGTGTCGCACTCACCCTGGCCGAGCACCGGTCTACGGCGCTCAATCGAGAAAATGAAACGTGTTTTTCGGGCCGCAAAAATAAACTATCCGTCGCAGAAAGCTGACACTCTGCGAGCGCTGGTGGTGGTGACAAAAATGTGGAAGTTTGAGAACATGACGTTGCTGGGATAAAAAAATACAAGAAGAGAAAAAGTTCATCTTTTTGCGACGTTCACCAAAGCTCAATATCCTAGGCACCAAAAAATGGCAATAATTGCGATGGAGAAACTTGTCAGTGAGAAAGACAATATTGTTTTCTTCCTTCCCCACAAGATTTAAAAATTAAATAAAAAAAGATGCTACAGGTGCCTACAATATCGTTTCTTGGTTTGATAAATATTAGACGGGTGGACTTGGGCTCATAGAGAAATTGTGCTTTTCTCTCCTTATCTTTTGAGCCAGATAACATAGTGTCCTCAAATTTTTGCATTTTGTCACCTCGGCTAATATCACATTCTTACAGATCTTCAGCTTAGTGCAAAGCATAATTTATTTTTGCTGGCCAGAAAACCCCGTTTCATTTTCTCGATTGACCCCTGTTGTTTCCCACCTGTTTCCAGTGTGAGCAGCATGAGTTGAGTTTAGCCCAAATAGCAGAGTAGTATGCACCGAGCCAGGCCATCACCGACAGCCTCCAGCACACGCTCGCTGCCTTGCGTAGCTCTTTGACTGTGCCAGCAGGAGGCAAATAGAGGCATCTCGATCTGGACACATGCTTTCAAGCAGAAAACTCTACCCTTCTCCACTCCCTCCTCTTTTTTTTTTGTCGGTACCATTCTTTAAAATTAGGTGTTGACCCGTAATTGTAACCAAAGTCGACCGTTAAGGTTAAACAAAATGTCTGAACCCATCATTCTGATCCAGACGCTCCCCCACGTTGACCTTTTGTGCAGGGGCAGAGTGACAAAGAACAATATGTGCACAACTTTGCAAAGCTTTCACTGCAGCATGGAGACACAAGATTGACACCCCAGCCATACGGGCTGTAGGAATTCGTGTACCGCCGCTGATATGCCAGATCCCATGTGGTCCGTCAACAGCCCGAGTCCAGCCTGGTTCTTTCATGGGAGTCCCCGTTTATTGGTACAATAAAACACAATGCTACAAAACACTCAATCAACATTACCCAAATATTTACAAACGCACAATAAGCCCAAAGCTAAACACAAAGAGGGCCCCCAGACCTTGTGTCCCAAATCAATTACCCTAGATCGCGGTGTAAGATAATACTCCTCAGGTGAGGACAGCGCGCTCCTCGCGCAGTGCAGATAAAGTTTGCTTTTCACTCTCTCTCTCACTATGGTTTCAAGTGGCGCCGGCAGATGACTCGTCGACCCGTGGGCACGGCAAAGACGGCTCGTGCCGCCTCATGCTCCACACGCACAGAGCTCCAGCGAGGTTGTCGCTCGTGCAGAAAGACCACGGTGTACCGGGGTGTCATGGCAACGAGATAATTTTTTTCGCTCTCACATAGTTTCGCCGTTTGGCTGCCAGTGACACTGTCAGCCGCGGGCACGGTGGTTGCGGAATGATGCAGCCTTTTGGGTGCCCGTCGAACCAACACTATTTTATTCCTCGCGCCGCGCGTTCAGCCCCGCCGTGTCTTTACTTAAAGAGTGTATCTTACACTGTGCCCTAGATCCGGTCGCCTCTCCACTTGCCTGGGCTTGATAGCGTCCAAAGTTCTAAGAGGCCTTTCGCCCCCTGGCCCACCGAGTATCTCTCGATTGATGGGTAAGGAGGTTTCTCACCTGCCACGGGGTGCCTGCAGCGCCATCCAGTGGCTAGGAGAGAAAGCGGCACGTCGGGAGCTGAATTCGAGATCCCGATCGACCTCGCGGGGACACGACCATGTGATCGTGTCTGAGCCGATGCAGCTACATAGCTGCCTCGCGGCACTAATGCCAGAGAGGTTTGATGGGCGCCCTCGTGAATGCACGGTGCGCCATAGGGCACCCTTAACCACAGTTCGGTATGACCAAGGTCAGACTTGACTGCGGTTAAGGGGGTTCGACGGGCATGCAGTTACTTTCAACTATACCACAATTACAAGTGCACCCTTAATCGCACATTAGTCTTAGCTTAGCCAAAAATTAAGGGTATGCGACGGTATTAGAGGCCGTGGCTCCGTCTCATCGCGGCGTCCGTCTTCGGTCTCTTCCGTGCTTTAAGTGCCCCCGTGCCTCGCAGGCCTGGAGAACTGCCGCTGGCCCGGCCGGTGCCAGGTGGTGCCGCTGGGGCCCAGCCTGACCCTGTTCCTGGACGGGGCCCACACCGTGGAATCGGTGGATTTTTGCCTGCGCTGGTTCCGAGAGGCCCGCCGGGCCCAGGCGCCCCCGGGGACCCGGCCCTGGCCCGTGCTGCTCTTCAACTGCATGGGGGACCGGCGTCCCGAGCTGATGCTCTCCCAGCTGGCCGAGCACCCGTTTCGCACGGCCCTCTTCACCACCAATAGGGTCGCCGACGACAAGAGCCCCTACTCGGGTGAGCGACGGACGCCGTGCCAAGAGACCGCCGGCACGGTACCTCGAACGCGTCTCAGACTGGCAGGTTTACCGCATCCTAAAAAGTGATACCTCGAGAAGCGTCGCATCGTTGCTGGCCGCGATCCTGGTGGTGGTCTCGATGGCGGACGCTCGTCCTGCAGGTCGCTCCCAGCTTGACGGTCCACAGAAGTCTCAGCTGCCGGGAGTTTGGATGTTGCGACGACAACAACACTCGCATTCCTTCGTTCTTTTTTTCCGTACCTTTACGTTTCATTGCCAGGATCGCGACATCTAACAGTGCAACACTTCGGCTCAGTCCCCGTGACCGCTTTGGATGCGTGGACGGAGTAGGACGCTAAACACACCGGTCGGAGATACTTTTCAGGCACTGTACCAGGGTGGCATGCACTTCTCTCGTGAAGGGGTTACACATGCGTCTCAAATTTCATTAAGTAAAGGCCCGTCAGCACACTTGCTTTTTCTTGCGGCCGAATTCTTGCAATCTCCCACGACACAAGAACGCACTGGCACCATTCATGTTCTGGCCCTGGAACTGCATTCCACCAGAGCAAATGTTCTGTTGTATTCCCAAGATCAAATGTACGCACTATTTATGAGAAATGGTTGTTTGTAACCTTGTCAAAAGCTTTTCGATTCCAGAAAGGAAGAATGATGCGTGAAAAGGACAGAAAATGTACAAAAAGGCAGAGTGCTTTCTCATTGTAAGAGATCACTAGAGGTTGTAAGGCACTCGGTTGTAAGCAGTTGGGAGCGTGCGAACCAGCCTTAATGCTGCAGGCCATCACAATTTCAGCAGTTGGCTGGCGAAGCACGGTCGAAAGGTGAGCAGCCCGCTGCCGTTGGTGGCATCCCATTCAGCAGCCGCTCCGGAGTGAGCGGCGGAGGCATTTGCCGCGTTCACTTCTGTTGTCGCGCTGTCACCTGGATTGCGGCAGTTCGCAGCATTAGTACTAAGTTGTGGCATCACCACCAGGAAACTGGTGGACAAAATAAATACGTGAAGATGCGGTAAATGTGCGGGTTGGAGACGGGTTTCGGGTACCTTGGCAAGGGTGAAAGTGGACGCATGCCGCAGCACCCTGCCTCCACCCAGAAATTGCAGCTCCCAAGGGGACTTTTTACTTCTCTTTTTATTCTTCCTCCGGTTATTTACAGTTTGCTGAAACATTTAGCTTCTATTTTATTTGTGTTCTGTTTCAAATATAGGAGAAAATACAATACAGTCGAATCTCGCTACAACGAAATTGAAGGCGCACTAGAAAAAATTGTTTGTAGCGAAAATTTTGTTGTTGTGAAATTGACAAAAAATGTCATAGCTGAAAGTACAAAAATCTCTACAAACCATATGTACACAACCTTGTCAAGCTTTTAGTGTGCCGACGGTGTCAGTTTCTTTCGCTTGGCCAATGTCCCCGATGCAAGAGCCTTTTCGATTGCATCTTTCGTCTTTAGGATCATCGACCAAGAACTCGGAGAAACTCAACTTTTCCGCAATGACAGCTTTCTTCTGTCCACTTGCAACTTTGGCCAGGGTGCGAGCTTTATCTTCTAAACATAAAAACATCCGCATTTTGCTTGGCGGTGCCATGTCCAAAAAGCCCGCGTACTGTGTTGACAAAAGGACAGCTGTGAAAACAAAAAAGACGACTGAGCTTCGGCTTTGGACAGTCTGCAGCAGAGGATTATCAAGCCAAGAGCTAGGGTGCAACCAACATTGGTGCAACAGTAAAGGCCAGCCTTATTGCCGTCGCCATCAAATAATGGCGGCCTGCACGCGCACCGCGCGGTTAACGTTGCGCTTGTTGCGCTCAGGTTCCGGTGATTCCGGTTATTAGTGGCAGTTTCTGGTGGTTCAACACGCAATTTAAACTTTATAGTAGACATATCTTATGTGCCAAAATGCACCAAAGTTCTCGGAGGTTTGTTTTTTGTAGGGAAAATTAAACTTTTGAACTTCGAATTGCTCTGTAAAATTTCGTTCAAGCGGAACGGCACAAGAAACTGTGTACGCTGTAGTGAGAATGTTTATGCATTGACTCCTATGAACCGTTGGTGGGGAATTGAAAAATATTCGTTGAACCGGAAATTTCGTTGAAGCGGGGTTCGACTGTAGTATCCTATTCGTGTATGGTTTAGAACATTCAAATCTGGGTCACAAATTTCGGCGTTCATGAAACATTTGAAACCCAAGATTTTTAAGGAAATAATTGAGAAGGTGCATACTGTATATTCATCGTCGAATAATGTTGGCAGAGTTTGAGAATGAAACCCATTGCCATGGCAACAATGCAGCCATTTATCAATGCGACCAATTTCAAGGGGTGTCAAACACATTGGTGTTCTCCAAGTGTGTCCGTGGGGCGTCGTGGTGCACGCAGACCAGAGCAACTTCACGGTGGAGCGGTGCACGGAGACTGCCCGGTGCCTGTCCAACATGCGCATCTGGTGCCACCTGTTGTCCAGTCAGCAGGAGGAGGATGGGGAGGAGGAGGGTCCCGTTCCGGAGGATTCCTGCTTTGTCTTTCCCTGCATCTCGGAGGTCATGCGGTGGCTCCGGCGAGAGTCGCTGGCCGCACAGCGTGCCACACCCCCCTACCACATGCAGGTGACCACACGGACTTGCTTTGCAATTCCCAGGCTGCCAACAGCAAAAGCTTAAAGGGACCATGAAATGACCTTTTTACTTTTTCCAGATAACTTTTACATTAAGCCGTCAATGTTCACTGAATGCCGAACAGGCATCCGTTTTCGTCTCGGTTTATTAACTTCTACACAAAAAATTATTGAAATATCGACTTTTTCATTCTCTCCAACTGACCGCAAAACAAGCCGTGACGTAAACCGTTTCCGGAACCGGAAGTTCTCTCGGCAATAGGAGAATGGGAGTGTTAGCGGCAACGAGTTGGGGTGCGCCGGTAGGTTTCACTGCGCTGATGTCACCGACGTATTTCCTGAATCGGCGCCTCTCATCGCCGCATCGCAGCTGAGCGAAATTCAATGAGATATGTTGCGCTACAGCGACAGCATGGGACTAGTCCCATACGCCGGTATGCCTGTTGGGAAGTGCAGCGAGTCTTCCGGTGAAGACTCCAGAAGTCAACCACCCTGTCATTGTTGGCAGAAGGGCCGGCCCGTGTCAGTCGTTTGCAAAGCGACGTAGATGGCGTTTTTCGCGGCCTCGGAGATGCAGGAGCGAGCCGACGTTAAAAAAGATACGTTTGAACTACGAGTGTCAGCAAGAGCCACGTAAATACCTGTTTACACTCGGAGCAGACGCGCGCGTTCGATGGAAGTGCTGTATTCGCGCTGTTTGTAAGCGCTTCGGGACCGTTCTTTTACGATTGCAACTCGATACTGACGCGACACTCGGCAAAGAAAGGTTGGACCGGGGTTGTACGTATACCTCCCACGAACTGTTATAGCTCGACAGTGACGTGCAGTCTGTCAGAATAAAAATGGCATACCAATAACAAAGTGTACATACCGTGTTACGAAGGTAATCCATACGGCGTTTATTTCAGCTCTATATCACACAAAACAAGATAGAATCGACGAGAGTCCCTTTTCGACGAGTTCGTCAACACTGCCTCGGAAAACAAGGGGAAGAGATTGACCTCACCTCTTAATCTAGAATTGAGGTCAGTGATCAAACTATAATATGGGAAGGGTCCACAAGTGTCGCGCGGGCATATTCCATTTAGCACGCCAGCCGGTCGTAGGCAGACGGTCTTGCGACGAAGCAACGCAGCGGCGAGTCGGAATGCCTGCTAGGCCTATATTCTGAGCACCTCGCTTCGTCGGAGTCGGTGGATCCAGCGTTCTTGTTCGTCGTGGTCTGTTTTAAGTACTGTTTTCTTGCTGCTTGAAGTCGGCACGTGCGGGAAGAACACATAGAAAAATAAACGTTCAGTCAGTCAGACTTTTGAGAGGAAGGAAAACAAAGAAAATAAACGTTCGTCGGCGGCCGCCGCCACCCAAGTAACTGTCGGCCCTGCCCTACTGCGCACGCGCAGTAGTTGCTTCGTTTACCACACAATAGATGGCGCTTGGCTCTCAGCATTATCAAATTTGGCAATTTTCGCCACACATCTCTAATTATGCTACAAAATGTGGATCTGAATATTATTTAACAAAACTTTTAGGAAACATTCGCCGGCTATTTATTGTTTACGATCGCGGAGCTGGTGAGGTAGGCTCTTACCCAATAGGCGACCTGGATTTGGCTGACGTGCTCCGTTTCCGCGGATGCATCGTAGTGAACAGGCGAAGGAAGGAAGGCGCAAAAGAGTCCAGTTTTCTTTTAAAAGTTCTATAGCAAATAATTTTTTTTGGCTCCCTATTTTTGTGTTTTTGTGTTTCTTTTCACACCTTTTACAACGTGCGGTGGATGAAACTCGATTTTAAAATCATTTCATGGTCCCTTTAAGCGGCACCATGAGTGCGAGGGCAAAGTAGAAGGAGTGAACGACGCGAACATTTCCACGTGATCTTTGTTATTTTGGTTCTTTTCAAGCCTTTTGATTTTGAGTTAATTGACCCAACCACATTTCTATTCTTAATTCAGTTCCTCCCTCAGTGTTCCTCAATTGGGTGGCGATGGCCAAAAGCTCTAGTCCGCGAGAGATTGAAGAGAAGAGTGACGGACAGCCGCAACAGCAAAATAGTGGTTTGCTGAGCAAGAAGTTTCAAACTAGATGGAGCAGCCATGATGCCGCGAGTGTGTCTCGGAGGGGGTCCCGTTTCAGTTTTCGTGCTGCGGCTCGCCCTACACTTTCGCTCTAATAGCCTCCCCACTCGCCTGCTCCTTCTCCGTTTCAGTCTGCCATGAGATCGACAACTGGTTCTTGGAAATGTCTCCTTGTTATCAATGCTGTGCTTCCTTTCTGCGACGTGCGGTCTATTTTTGTGTTGCAGAAGAAACCCCAATCGGTTCCTCTAGCACACTTCGTAGTGTCGGAACTCGAACGATGCAACTGGCACCCAGTTTTTTGGCACGAGCCCCGAAGGTCCCTCGGCCAGCGGCAACGGTCTCACTTCCCGGCGCAGAACCATAGCCAACCTTTGACCGCACGGCATTGCAGGTGCTGGTGACCGGGAGCCTCCACCTGGTGGGAGGAGTCATGTCCCAGGTGGATCCAGAGCTGGCACTCTCCTAACAGCTGCTCATCTAGTGGCTGCTCTCCTAGTGGCCGCTCTCCTTGCGGCCGCTCTCCTTGCGGCCGCTCTCCTTGCGGCCGCTCTCCTTGCGGCCGCTCTCCTTGCGGCCGCTCTCCTTGCGGCCGCTCTCCTTGCGGCCGCTCTCCTTGCGGCCGCTCTCCTAGCGGCTGCGGCTGCTCTCCTAGCGGCTGCAACTGCTCTCCTAGCGGCTGCTCTCCTAGCGGCTGCTCTCCTAGCGGCTGCTCTCCTGGCGGCTGCTTTCCTAGCGGCTGCTCTTCTTGCGGCTGCTCTCCTAGTGGCTGCTCTTCTTGCGGCTGCTCTCCTAGTGGCTGCTCTCCTAGCGGCTGTTCTCCTAGTAGCTGCTTCAACCGCCTGCACGAGTGTCGGGGAGGGGGACGTGCCTCGCGCCACCATGCGTGGCAGAGCGGTGTGGAAGAGGCAGCAAGTCGTGCCGGAGAGTGCAGTTGGACGAGCGCAGAGGCTTTGCTACGGGAACCAGCACCACAACATCCTCCTTTGCTTCCACACAGTTCTGCGACGTGCATGCGCTGAGCCCAGAGAAGGACACGTGTCTAATTGCGTTGTTTGTCGTTGGCCAGCTCCGAGCACGGCTGAACTCCCGCGGGAGGAGACGCACGCATGTTTTGTCAAACAGCGCGCGAGCAGTGTTACGACCCAGTGCGAGTGGAGGTTGGCGGAATCCATTATTTTTGATACTGCCAAAACCTTTTCTTTTTTACATTGTGCTCAAAGCTTCTATGTGTTTTTATGCGTGCAAAATTATGCGAACATTTTTTCCAGCCAGGGCATGTACAGTCATTTAACCTCCCGCGACGTATCTCGCTACGGCTATTTATCGCGTTGTGCCTCCGGTCGTAGGTTCCCCACTAACAGGCTGAAGCTGTTTAACCAAGGAATACGGGTCAATATTGACTCATTTTTAAGAGTGATGGTAACTGCAGTCTGTAAAGAAAGTTTGATCAAAGTTTCACACAGACTCTCAAAGGAAATGTTGTAGATTTTTACTGAAGTAAAGGACGGTGCTAAGTGCAATTCCGTTATTTTTTAGAACCCTATTGCACAAGAACTGTGCAGTTGCCGAGAAGTTATTTAGTGCTAAATGATTTTATGCTCTATTTTTTTAATGAAGATAAGTTGGCCTATCTACCATTCCAATAAAAAAGCTTCGGCTAGTGCCATTTTCTGCGTTTGTGCCTACATCGCGAGATTTACTCGCTTTACAAAGCGAGGAACGTGTGCATGCTGGATATGAAGATCCCATGCTGGGCCCTTGATTTGTGAAGCATAGAATAGTGCCTATTGCTCGAACAAAATACCGTGCATAGTCTTTTATAAGCCGGAAATCGGAGACCCACCCTATATTTCACCACACACACCCGGCACCATGTTTTTCGAATCTGTTAACGACGGAACTTGTTTCCGAACATTCTTTGGGTAGAAATACACACCTTTCAATGCCATTCCTTTTCAGTTTTATGATTAAAAGTTTGATAGGGGTCACTTGTCTTTTCGTGGTACAGAAAGAGGATTGCGTGCCATAGGTCGTACGCACCTAGAGTCAAGGAATAGTAGAGGTTTAGTAGACCGTACACAGCGGGCGCGTGCTCACTCCATGCTTCAAAGTTGGAGCACGAGCTCCTGCTAGCGAAGCTCTACAGTACGGTCTACTAAATGTCTTTTATAGGTCATGAATTTGCCAATTATATTGATGCACCTTCAGTTGCATGGAGACGATGCTTCTCAATATCTGTAATATAAAAAAAACAATTTTTTTAAAGATTTTTTGTTAGCGGGCGTGTTTTATACTAGGTGACTAATTTATATGCAAATAAAATAATGAATTATCGATGAACTTTATATTAGGTGGCAGAGTCTGGATAATTTGGACATAACATTAATCTCTTCATCCCACAACATAAACCTTGACAAAAAAAAAAAAAAAAACGACCAAGGTATTAAATGCTGCAACTAATTATATTTTTTAAACAAAGTATATCCATGCTTATATTAACATGTTTATTTTTTGGGCAAAATGGGACTGCCTTAGTCTTGCTCACATTTTCAAAGCATTGTTTTTGCTCCATACATACCGTAAAATACCGGGCAAGTGCCTTCTCAAACTTTGGAGATAATTGCAAAAAAATGGGGGATGGGCGCTTTTCCGGTCATCAATTTTACATATCAATGTATTGTGCATATTTTCTCAGATTTTACAGATTTGGGAATGGGCGCTTAATGTGCAATGGGTGGATGCGCGGTATTCTTTGGTATAGTTTAAATTTTTCATTTGCATATTCCATAAGCCAGTCCAAACTACATTGGTGTCGTCGGCATATAGTAGGATCAAATTTGTTACTTGATTTATGTTTACAATATCGTTCACATAGATGTTGCATAAAGCGGGACCCGGAATACTGGACGGTCCAAACCAGACTGCAAAACGTTGCATGGAATAATCCAGGAGAGAAGTGACGTCAACAGTGACGTTTTCCTGCTCCCGAAAGCCGGGCTGAAAGTTTAAAAATATTGACCTCTGCTTGAGGAGCCTGAATTTTTGCAATAGCCAACCAGGGGAACGCAGTTGATCCTTCTTTGCAAACCTTGCGGGGAAGGGGGGGGGGGGGGGGGGGGGGGGGTGCATGCAGGCTTCTAGATTTTTCGCTTAAAAGAAGAAAAACATTTTTTTTTAAACAGTGGTTGGGACACGTGTGTCAAAACATTAATTTTTGGAAAAAAAAAAAATTTGTTACAGCAATATTGACGGCGGGAGATTTATTTTAAATTGTGCGCGCAAAGTCCATGACAATACGGAATGGTCATACACTCTCCCCCTCATGGGAAGTAAGCGCCGAAGGAACACGGACCAAGTGTAGAATAATGACACAGGGCGCACTCTCAACTGAATTTATTTTTCATAACAAATTCAGTTGAGAGTGTGCCCTGCGTCGTTGTTATTCTACTCTGGGTCCGTGTTCCTTTGGCACTTATTTCCCATGATGTACACCAACTGGCTCATCTGAGCATTTTATTGCTCTCCACCTCAACGTGATTGATGATTAAGCCGATCCACCTCTCCTCTGCGTGCCCGAAATGCCGAGAGATTAAACAAGTGGAAAGGAGGTGGCTACCGACTAAATCGCCTCTCGCGCCATCAATATTGCGCCAATTTTTTTTTTTTTTTTTTTCGCGTAAAATTAATTTTTTGACGCGTGTCGCAACCGGACTGTTTAATAATGAAGCAGTTGATTTTGTTGTATTCTCGAAGCCACTCAAAACTCCCACAGAGAAAGCCTTTTCTTGGGGAGGAGGAAGCGAGGAAGCAGACCACAGTTAAGTGAAGCAGACTAAACGCTGAAGAGAGGAGGTGGTTTCCTTTTTTCTCCAGCATTCCGTCTGCTTCCTCCTCCTCCAACCTTCCTCTCCCTCGAAAACTTTTCTTAAAGGACACATGCAAAGGAATTTTTTTTTTTTTTTTTTAACAGGCTAGATGGATAAAGAATATTATAAAACGAATTTACTGCGAAGAAAAAAAAATATTAGAGCTATATTTACGGCGCAAAACAAATTTGTAGTTGGCGCCCGCGGAGCTGCCGCTGGTCACGTGGTAGGCCCGCGCGCCGCCGCGCTGCGTCGCCGGCGCCGCAGTCACGCCGCCGCCGCACGCTGAGCGTTTGGCGACGCCGCTTCAACTAGGGATGCCGCGAATCACGTTTGAATTCGAAAGGTTTCAATATTTTCTAACCGAACTGATGTTCGAATTCTAAAGGTTTCGATATTTTCGACCGTACGGAGGTTCGAATTCGCACAATTCGCAACTTTCCAAAATCGTGGGGTTTCGAATTCGAAAAGTTCGAAGCTTTCACGGTTCCTAAAAGTTCGGGTTCGATTATTTCGAATATTTGTTTACTTGAGGTTCGATAAATTCAAAGATTTCGAATTTCTCTCTACATAAAGTTCGAAGGTTTCGATTCTTAAGGCTAAATTCAAAAAAAAAAAAAAAAGAAACTTCGAAGGTTTCCAATTTCTATGAAGTCCAAGTGCGCAAAGTTCGAAGTCCGGTTTTCATGTTCCGCCACAGATTCAGTTTCAAATAACGTTTTCACGCCTCACTGGTATTCACGAAATCAGGTTAAGAAAGGTTCGGGTGTGATGATGATGGTGTGAAGTTGGTCAGGCAATTAAATGAGACGACGATTGTCCCGGATGTGCTGGAATATTTGGTGAGATTTATGGAGAAAAAGGTGTACACCCGCCGGCAATATGAACGTGAACACCTTACCTGGTTTCTTGCCTGTTTTACCCGGCTCCCTAAAGCTATATTACCTCTCAACGTCTGAAACGGTGCGTGGCCAACGTCTGAAATGGTGCGTGGCTAAACTTTGCGTTGTAGCCCTCTTCTAGAACAGAGCTTGTTCCAAAACTTGCAGAAACGTCAAAAACCAAGAAGAGGGCTGTTCACCTCATATCGCTCACGGGTGTACATGTGCACCACATCAACGGGTGTACACATACCCCCATATTTGGGGTGTACATGTATTCCCACAAAGAGTAGTATATGTGACAAGTACTTACACCCCCTATGGGTGTACACCATGACTCCCTTTTTTAGTGTGTAAAGGTCCCTAGATGTGCATTACACACGAGGCTTTAGCGACATCCACCAGATGCCCTTTGCTAATCGTTTAATTTGTTTTAAAATTTATAATTTCATGTCTTTATTTATTTATTTATTATCATTATTCCGTGCCTCAGAACGACTGAAGTCAGTCTTGGTATGGAATTAGGAATACATTGGTGCGTCCGATGTGATAGTGCTCCCTTGAACACGTATACCAAGAAATAAGAGCCGAAATTTCGTTGTAGTAGCGCTTTTATTAAGCGCACGCTCTGTGGTCACGGTATTATCCAGGCGCGCGCTTAAAAGCATGCTTCATAGCCTCCGGTAGTGCGGTACACGGAACCACGTGTGGAACACGGTAAAGGGTTGCTGAAAGCCCCTATTCGTTCGACGGGATCGTGCGAAGAAGAAGACGGCTGCAATACGGGCCCCAGAAGAAGCGGCAGGTCAATTACCGGCGCCATGACTTCGTCGCCGACTTCGAGCGAGCCCCGGCGGAAAAGCTCGGTCAGCCCGGTCATCAGCAGCTACGTCCTCGCCCCGGAGGTGGGTCTTCGAAGCAAGCGAGACTGCTCGGGCTGTGGGGTCCTCACCGCGGTCGAGTTTAGAGCACACAAACTGAGCCCTCCCAAAAGTGAGAGGTTTCATTATCAGATGGAGTCGTTTGGAAGAGGGATCAAAATAAGCCGCGTATCCGCCATTTTGTTGTTCGATGCCAAAGTGCACGATGAGACAAGCTTCTGTGCACTACGCATTTGAGGGAACCATGTGAATCTTTTAGAATGCTCGCCTTCGGTAAAGCCGAGAAAGCTCATAACTACAAAACGATTGAAAAGGCGGACGTCCAACCAAACTCATTAGAGACCTAACGTTTCGAGCTCGACCTCTTCTTCAGGGGTGGCCGAGCTGTGGCAATGGCCACCAAGAAGCCGTATTTTTTTAATGTTTTTAAGTGCCCTGGTGCATGCGCTGACCTTGGACTGGTTTAGAGCGCACGTATGTAAAGTTCGCAACAGGATGGCGCCACAGCCCCACTGGCTGTGGAAACTGGCTAGGAAACACAAACAGTTAGGGCGCAAACAAGCCGGTGAAGGTTTAACATTTTAGACAAAACCCCGAGACTGGGGAGAAGGAAGGACAACACAACACGAAGTCTAAAACAGGAAACACTTTCTACAAGCGCCGACAGATGGCGGCGGGGTGGATATTTCGAGAGGCTTGGCGATAGGACGCATAGCAACGGAGGCTGCACTGGATTGGCTGGTTATAGGGAGCGACGCCGTGACGTAACACCTAGCAACCGAAGACCGCCGGCGACGTCCCCTTTGACAATGGGGACGCCTTTTTTGCATGTCGTCAGGGCGCAGTCACGTGACCGCCTAAATACCTCCTCTCCCCCCCCCCTCCCCCCCCCCCCCCCCCCACAATTCTTCTCAGTTCCTGCTCTTATTTTCACCGCTTTCTTTTCTCTCACTCCGTGGCATTCCTCTCCACGTTTTTTTTTTTTTTTTTTTTTTTCAGAGTACAGCTCTTAGGCGCTTGTTTCCGAGTTTGGCGGCAGCGTCTGCGCTAAATTGAGCTGGAAATTTGACGTCACGTGACCTCACCGCCAATTCAATGGGAAAAATGACGTCACATGACTTGTTGTCACGTCACCTATGAACAAATTCAGTTACGGAGGAAGAGCGTGCGGAGGAGGAGGGAGGAGGTGCATACCCTCCCCTCCTACTCATGCGCTGCGCTCTAATTTTGTAAAAGTCTTTAACTTGTTGTTTTGCTTGTTTGTTTCTTGCCCTTCTCTTTTTTTTTTTTTCGCTACAAGCTGGACTTTGGGCAGCGCGCTGAAATGAATGTGTCGTGTGCGTGCCAACATCCAGTTGCCGGCGAAGCAGTAATCTTCCTTTGTTTTCGGAGAACGGATGGGACCGAAGAATTACGTCTCGGTGAGTGGTGCGACTGCAGTAAACAGCAAGTTAATGAGTGCAGTCCTCTTCAAATTAATTTTTCTACTTGAGCTTTCACTTCTGCCTTTGACATATTTTGTGCAGTACCGTGCAGTAGACTAGCGATAATTTTTTTTCGTCCGCGGCGTTCGCGTTAGAGTCAATACGAGAGAGATACGTACAGAGCGCGGCACTGTTAGCGCGAGCAAGCGATCGCCGGTTTTTGCAGTTTTTCTCCATCCAAGTTGTTATTGCTACGGAAAGAGCTCATTTAGCTTTATAATGTGAGCAATAAAATTTCGTGCTCGCTAATACTATTTAGAAGTAAAATGCGAAAATGCGCCGATGTCGTGTTCGCGCTAACAGTGTCGCGATGTGTACAAAACTATATTTATTTTATCGAAGCATATTTACCACCCTAAGATCTCTGATCATGGATACTGCTGACACGTTAGTGGTATGAAGTTCTTAAAAGTAAAAGTAGTTTTCGAAATGCAGGCTGGCCCGGGTTTCCCTTCGAACTTTCTTGTCTGGGGAGCCTGGAGGACACATTCTTGAACGAGACACCCTACCAATAGTTACTCTACCTTGGAGTCGGATCGGTGGCCGAGTGGGCTAGCGCACACCAGCTCGGAGCCCGTGGAAAGAAAGCTCGCGCTGCAGGGCCCAGGCATCCTTGGTTCAATCCCCGCCCCTAGCCCGTTTCGATCTGGATGAGCATCGTACCGGCGGTTAGGTTAGGTCAGGTTAGGTTAGAGACAATGGTCACGCGTTGAGGCAAACTAAGTTGGCTGTATAAACATACACAAACCTCAATTTGTTTTGTCGTAGGGAGCCTACACAGGAACTTCAGGCCTAAGGCCGCCCGAGCCCCGCTGTGCCCCCTGCACCTCGGTTGCTATAGGTGTTACGTCACGCCGTCGCTCTCTATAACCAGCCAATCCTGTGCAACCGCCGTCCTCTTTGTGTCCCTTTTGTGATGGTGCATTTCTTTGTGTTGGTGATATCGCAAAGCCCGTCAACCGCGCCGAGGGACCTATTGCTATTTTCTGACATAGAATGAATGTGACATGACTAAAAAAAAAGTATTTGTCGGTGGTTAGTTTTAACGCCGATCGAGGATGCGGGTGTTCTTGAAGTTTGTCAGATGTCCACGTTCAAGTATTTACGCAATAACAAAATGATGGACAGAGCGCCTTGTCCACAACGCCATGCTCAACGCCATGCTCAACGCACGCACGCACGCACGCACACACGCACGCACGCACGCACGCACACGCACGCAATGTAGGTTTTCGGGTAGAAAAAACGTTAAAGGGCAACTCCGCTCAATTCCGAAAAATTTAGGCTTACATGTGATTCCGTTTCACAAAGCACTACTAAACAGCTCTACGTCCTCAGATTCGCGAAATGTGGAATATTATTTGTGTAATCTTAATTTAAACATCAGCTGATACCGAAACCGAAACTTCGGTTGTGTCAGGCAACAGTGGTCTTGTGCCGTCAGAGTCATGGCCACGTCACGTCAAACCACGTGGTCTTGTGAAGTTCGCGGGGGTGAGGGACAGGACACGCGACGCGGGCAGGTCGCTTCGCATGGCGTGGACGGTGATGGCCCGGGGGAGAGGGGAAGGGGAGAAGACGAAAGAGGTGTGGGGTAGAGCACTATATAGCTCCTTCGGAGCAGAGTAGCGCAATCTAGAACGCCGCCTCTCGGCGACTAGCGGCGAACGCCCGGAGGTTCCAACTATGGTCAGAAACGCATGGAGAACGTGAGAAAATCGTTGTTTCTTCAGTATTGTAGAGTTGTACGGAATGGAAATTATTTTTGACATAATAATGGAACATTTTAGAATAATCTGTGCTAAGTTTTGTGCCCCGCAAGGACGTGACTTTTTTTTAAAAATTGCCTGAGCGGCATCATGCAGCAGACGACACGGCGACGTCACACCATTCACGTGACCCGCTCCGGCCAACCCGAAAAGCCCATCTCCGCTGCGAGCAAAAATCGTCTGCTTCAAACGACATTGCCTTGGAAATTGCCTTCTCAAAATTTGCACACGCATCATATATTATTAAAACTTTGATAAATTGTTTAGTGCTTTACTAACTTCACGACAGACTAGTTTTGAAAAGTGTGAACTCGCCGTTCATTTTTTAATCAGCCGTGTTGTGTTGATCTCCATGTATTCTCCCATAGGGCGGGCGGGCCGCCTCCTGGAACCCTGAGTACCACGTGACTCGCGCCGAGCCGCTCTGTCGGCCATGTTGTCGGCAAAACACGGGGTTCAAAGGATTGCGCTACTCTGCTCCGTAGGGGCTATATAGTGCTCTAGTGTGGGGGAGCGGAGAAACAGACCGATAAGCGCGCAGGGCAGCGCAAACTAGCGCATCCGCGTTACGGTGATCACGTGGACGCCGTTCAGCCAACACCGGGAGGAGAAACTCATGACGTCATCGTTCAATTTTGCTGTGAGAAGTAAAAACAAACAAAACGTGAGAATGACGTAGTCATGCCTCTGACGTAGTGGCTCAACGTTGGCCGCTCCAACTCCGTCGCATTGACTGCGCAGACGATTGCGCCTCACGCCCCACGCTGGAGTTGGCAGATTTCAACGACTTGGCTTGTTTGAAAGTTTGCTGGCCAGTTTACTAAATATATAGACGGAATTAGATCGTAATATTTGACATGGGGTCTTCCTGTATGATACTCAAGAGGGCTACATAGTTTTCTAAATATCAAAAATGAAGCAAAGTTGCCCTTTAAGTCGTTTGTGTTTTTTTGTGTGTGTGTCAATGGGCTTAGGCTTTCCAGTGTGTTTGGCGGTCGGGTAGCGAAGGGTCAAAGATAAGAGAGGTGCATGACGCAGAGTCCGTTGTCCTTGTATTTAGTCAAAAGTTACATTGGTGGAAAGTGGCATTCTTTGGGGTTCTCACCCTCTCCCCCTTTTTTTTTCGGAAAATAAAAATTTCAGCTGTGCTAGAGACTTTTTAGTGTTGTGTCGTTTACCCGCAGTCTCGGTTTTTTTTCAACCATGTTCTAGTTTCGTAACTTTCGTTCTGACCAAGGTAGTATAAGCTGTTGCTTTACGGGGGATGTAGCTTAACTGAGGTTACGGCGAAGAAATCCGAGAGTGCGGTTAGCATCGGCGATGACAGTTGTTATATGAGTGGTCCATGACAGGTCAGATGTCAGATGAATTCCTAGATATTTATACGATGAACAAGCGGTTACGGGGATGCCAGAAAGGTGGTAAGAGGAGGATAGAACATGTGAACTGCGGGGAAAAGATAGCGATTTACATTTATTATAGTTTAAAGCCATTTGCGATTTTGAATTATAAGTTGGAGATCGTTTGATAAGTTGGAGATCGTGTGACAGGGTATTACAAAAGAAAATTTACACGGTCTTTTATATCGCATTAATAAACTAGGCATCGCCAAACGCTCATTCTTCGCCCAAAGGTAGAGCTAGAGGTCACAATCAGATGCCAAAGTTTCAGCCCGATCCGATAACTTAATCAAAAGTTATAAGTGATTTTCTAAAAATTTCAATGGGAAAATGGCGGCTGACGGAGTTTTCAGACACATGGGGCTCTATGGCACCAGAAACAGAAAACGGGCAAAAATGGGCTCCATTTTCCCACTGAAACTTTCAGAAAATCACTTATAACTTTTGATTAAGTTATCGGATCGGGCTGAAACTTTGGCATCTGGTTGTGACCTCTAGCTCTACTTTTGGGCGGAGAATGAGCGTTCGGCGATGCCTAGTTTATTTTTGGGGTAAAAAAGACCGTGTAAATTTTCATTCGTGACACCCTGTATATATAATTTTTTTTTTTCCCCGCGCGCGAGCGCCTTTTTATTTTTGGCGCTTTTCTCTCCCGCTCGCTCACCTCCTCGCTTCTTTTGATTTGTGACGTCAGTAATCATGAAATTTAGAAGCTTTGTAGGCAACATTTCTATAACATTTAATAACGGCAATCGTAAAAGATATGTTTTACGATTGCGTATGTTTTTAACGCTTTTACGAACGCACTACGGCCCTTATTTTTGAAACGTCAAAAATCGCAGTCCATGTTGCCTTCTTGATTTTTATCCTCCCTCGGAAAACATGGCGGCACTCGACGCATGTAGCAGGGGATGATCGGTGGGTCGGGGAATCGGACGAAGTGGTCTTTTTGAGGTGCCCGACGAGTTCTCAGACTTCGAAAAGGAAACCGTCAAACGGTCAAAACAACTGGGTTTGGCGTCTGCGTATCGTAGCTTTGGTTGTGACTCCGCCGGGGGAGCCTTTTAGCAGAACCGGCGAGACGTCAAGCGTCGTCTGCTCGCAGCGATAGGCGGCACGGCACGCACGGAGGAAACCGCAGAAACCGGTTGTTCCTAGGGGTGTCGCGAACCGGCCGCGGTTCGAGTTCGACCAGGTTCGACTTTTTCGAACTTTTAGTGAAAAGTTCGGCGAACCTTGTATTGAGGTTCGACTCGTGTGCGCATGCGCGACAGGCAGGCCAGTTGGCTTCGGATTGGATGGTGATGGCTAAGGGATGAATCAGTGGCAGCGCTGATTGGCTCTTTCAGTTAATTCAGTACAAAAAAGATTAAGTTATTAACGTCTTCAGTGATAAGAATTGATTTCTTTTCATTGCAACTGTTCATAAAATAAAATAACCCATTGCATAGAAAAAAAATTCTCCAAACCTAGACATGCTTGCTTCAAGGTCTGGCCACCCTGTCCACAAAGTCGAACCGGTCGAATCTGGCGAAAAGTTCGAAGGTTTCGAACCCCGAGAGTTCGACCTAAAAATCTGGTTCGACAAAAGTTCGCGACACCCCTAGTTGTGCCTTTCTCTCTCACTCCTCACCTCCTCGCTTCGGGTCGCGGTGGCGACGGCGGTTCGGAGCGGAGGCGTCTCCGACTCGCAGGACAGCTCAATACTTGACGTCACTGCACTGGCGCGGATCGCGCGGGAACTTCAAATTCGGCGTTTTGAATTTCTCTTTAACTTCACAAATAGTGAATTTCCAAGTTTCGAATTTTGAGGGTAATGTCCAGGCATCGTTTTCAATCGTTTCTAATAAAACACACAGAAAATATTTTGACGTGTCAGTGCTTCTTATGCTTCGAATTGAAGAGTGGAACGCAATAGCGTTATCGTGCACTGTTCGCAAAGTCTTCACATTAAACCCGCGCTCGTGTCCGAAGCGTGTGGGCGTGGTCTAGTCGGTAGCGTCACGTGTCACGTGAAACACGAGACGTCACGTGTTTTAATTTAAAAAAAATTTCCGCCAAATTTTGCGGGAAAATATTCCGCTAAATTTGGCGGGAAAATGTTCGGCTACATTTCGCAGGAAAGTGTTCCGTCAAATTTGGCGGGAAAAATTTCTACTAAATTTGTCTGGAAGTTTTAGCTAAATCTGTCGGGAAAATGTTTTGGACATATATACAGCGGGTCGATAGGGTCATGAAGTGACAGCCACGCGTGACGTCACACGTAGCTGCGCGCGTTGCGTTATGGGATTTTTGGTCCCGCCGACGCCGGATTTTTTATGACACGAGCTCCTGAACGCACTCGCTTTAAAAATTAAAAAAAAAAGACGCGATAAGAATTATGCAGTAATATAGTACGCACAAAGTTCTTCAATACTTCATTCTTCCAGAACAAAACACACAGCAGGTAGTTATTTCAGGTGAAATAATTTGTGTGAACGACGATAAATATGAAGACGGACCGTTCCCTTTCTTAGTCCTCGTTTTTACGCGCTGTTACACCTACATGCATGTTTAACTTCCATCAAATAGCCCATCTCGCTACTTTGCCGGTCGTTGCAGACTCCGGCGGCAGAACTGCGTAAAGAGAGTGGTCCGACGACGCGGTACATCGGGACCGGGTCGGGCAGCCCGCTGGTACACCACTACCGCCTGGCGTCGAGCGACAACCCGCTCCGCATGCGCCGGTCCGCCTCTGTCAGGGCAAACTCGAACCCCCGACCCGTGCTACTCGATAGCTCGGTCTCGAGCCGCGACGCCGAGGTGCCGACCGTGGCGTCGCAGGACGCATCGGGCCACAGGCGGCTCGAGTACCGGCTCTTCCTGCTGGCCATGAGCTCAGTGACCCTAATGGTGGCGCTGCTGCAACCTCTGCTCCTGTACCGCTCCCTCGTGCCGTGCACGGAGCCCAGGTGCTTTAGCGTCGCACTGCCCGTTCGGGAGGCTCTTCAGGCGTCGGTGTCCCCCTGCGCGGACTTCTTTCGGTACTCCTGCTCCGGCATCGACTCGGGCTTCTCGGAGAAGGTGAGGCACTCGCTGAGGCTGTCCACCCTCAGCCTGATCTCCGAACTGCCCGCGAGTCCGGGGCAGAGCGCCGTCCGGAAGGCCGGCATCCTGCTTCGGAGTTGCTTGAGGCTCGTCAATCAGAAGCCCGAAGACATCGACGGGATCAGGCACGTGCTTAAGATCGGCGGCCTCAGGTTCCCCGCGCTGCCCCAGACGAGCACGTCTTCCGTCCTGCGGGGCGTGGTGGACCTGAATCTGCACCTGGGCATCGCCGTCCTCTTCCGATTAACGGTGGGCCGGGACCTAAAGCACAGAGGACACCACATGCTCTACCTGGCCAGAAACGACGACCTCGCGGGCTTCGTGCGCTACCTGGGCCGGCTGGAGGCGAGCCAGTCCTTGGACGACTACGTGAGGCGCTGCGCCGAAGTGATCGGCGAGCGCGGGATGTCATACGCCCGGCTCATCGACGCCGTGCGCCAGACGAACCGCCGGTTCGTGCTGACCCTGGACGACGTGGTCGATGGCGGACCCGTCTTCTACGCTCCTCCCACCCAGGTGGGCGCCTTTTGGACGGGCATCTTCAAGGGGCTGCAGAGCGAGTTCCGCAACCTGCCAAATGTGTCGAAGGAGCTGTTCGTGCTGCACAGCAACTACTTCAATGCGCTCGACGAGATCTTCTTGCAGCAGCTCGAGCCGAGGCTGCTCTCCGCCTACGTGGGCCTCTACGTGGTCTGGTATCTAAGCCGCCTGGGCTCGCACTCGCTGGCCTACCACATCAGCGTCCAGGGCTACACCTCCGGCCTGAAGGACGTGTGGACACGCTGCTTCTCGGACGTCTACAGGTGAATCATTAAATCAATTAAAGCCGCATTTTTTTTAAATTTTAGGTAACCATGCCGCTACCGTTGAAAAGCAGTTGGAGAGGAGGGGAAGGAGAAGCTCCCCGCTTGCACGGACTCTCTGTTATGCGCACCAGCAGACGCCGCTTTTGTCCCCTCGCAGATTTAACCAGCCACTCAAAAATTTTACAAATGCGGCTTCTCTATCTCTCCCGCCGATGGCTTGCACAGCACTGCACGCAACTACCGATTTTATTGCGAACGAGGCTTTGAATTCATAAATTAATATGATGCAATTACCCACCCGGGCCCAGAGGCGGCCATGTTTAGAAATATCCATTGGCCTCTCGCCTTCTTCTTCTAAATTCTTGCAAAAAAAACAAAAAAAAACAAAACAAAAAAAAAACAAAAAAAAAAAACGACGGACAAGAGTATGATTGGTGAACGGTCGCAAAAAGAACAACATCGAGGAAGCGTAGTTTGAGCGTGCAGCGCAGGCGGTCAGCTTTGCATACCAAGGCTGCTGCATGTTATTCAATTTTCTCATTACCAGAATCCTAAAAATCGTAAAAAAAAATTTTAGTTTTTGTATAATATAGTACTATGCAAATATTTCCCAGAAAAATAATTAATCTTCATAAGTTTCGTGTCATCACTCATTTAAAGAGACGCAAACACCATGCAATGAGTCACAACCTTGCTTTTGAGCATCGATAGTACAGGAGCAATAAAAATGTATAAAACGGCTCGATGTCAATGTGGTTTGACGGGCAAACGTATGCTGGGCTGCCTTTCAATTGCAGTTCACAATCCCACGCCACAGCATTTGTTACTCGAACAAATCGGAACTTTTTCCGCGTACCGATTTTGGAAAGAGGTCCGTCTGATCGGTGCAGGAAGTGGACTTGGTTGCTTATCTGTAGCTACTTCTTGGTTTCTTCGGGGCCCTGAAGGTCGGCCGCCACTCTCCGAGAGGTTCCCAGTAGAATTATTTGATCAATCATTAAGACTTGTATGTAAAAGCACCCGACCCCCTTAACGGAGTACTGAATCGAAACTTAAAATATATAGCAAACGTCAAGATATAAGTCAAATGGGATCAGAAAAACCTGTAATTGATAATCGCATGTCTGTATGTTAAGCGTAATGACTATATTTTTCGTTTTAAATGTCTGGATTTTGGCGAGCGCTTCAAAATCAGCCGTCGAAGAGCGCGATGCATCACGGGAGGTCCGGCAGATCCGTCGCGGTCTTGACGCCACCATGCCTCGGAGGGACAAGCGTACCGTAGTTACATCGAACCTTCACAGACATACACGAGGCAGTTTTTGGTTATCGTTTTATTCAGTTTAAAATACGTTTTCTTGCGTTCTCCTACGAAATACTGGTGTTGGCAAAATCTTACTTTAACCCGCTTCATGCTTAAGCAAAGAGATGGGCTTCAGAATTTGGAATACAAAGTACACGCGTAGAACACTAAGCTTCAATTTGATCGGGTTCCGGACGAGTGTTTCCGAGTCTTGAGCCGTTGCGGATTCTGCCAGGCTCATGCCCCTAGCCATCGAGCGCCTGTACCTGGAGGGACACCTGAAGGCCGACGACGTGCACGAGATGGAGGACATGCTGCGAAGGATCACACACGCTACGGGCGTCTTCCTGGCCTCGCTGGACCGGAACACGGGCCGTCTGCAGACCAGGCTGGCTTCCCTGGGTCTCTTCGCGTTCGGAGCACAATCCACCAGGGCGCTGGGAGACGTGGACCGGTGAGTGACTCGGTCCTCCTATCGATGTTCGAAAGCGCTTCTTCGAGGCACGACGCGGAACCTGCATGCTTTGTATCCCGAATCTTCAAGCAACAACAAAAATACGTGGGCCCAGCGGCGTAGACTTTCCTCCATTTTCCCGAGGGGGGGGGGGGGGGGGGGGGGGGGGGCTGCGCTTTAACTTCTTGCCACAACTGGGGATTGAAGCTAACGAAAGCCACGCTGGTATTCAATTTCCCATGTATTTTGTCAATAAAGGCAAAGTGGGCGTTATTTTGTTTACATGCCACTACTAGAAGCTCGATATATATGGCACGTAAACAGCGTCTACGTAAGGATCATGGTCCGGGCCCGGGGGGGGGGGGGGGGGGGGGGGCCGGACCATGATCCTGGCAATCCTCGATCCTGGCAATTGGTTGTCTAAGTGCCGGCCAAGAAGACAAGCGGACGCAAGGGTTGCTGTCCAGTTAGTGTCCGTCAAGTGGCCGACTGCGGAGGTGGATGAATGAAAACACGTTTATTAAATTATGGAAAAGATGTAATTAGAGTTGTGAGGTGACGGGGCGGAATTGGGGAATGTCGGAGATGCGTTCCGCGAGGCGATATGGGGAGGACGTGCCAGCGAACGCCGGTCCTCTTCCTCACTAGGCTGTACGACCACGTGCCGGACCAAAGGGACGAGGCGTTCCTAGACGGCTTCCTGAACGCGTCGCGGTCGACGGCCCAGCACGCCCGGCACCTGCTCCGGATCCCGGCGGAGGCCCAGGGCGGACCGTTCCTGCCCCCGTTCCTCGCCGAGCTGCCCCACATGGCCGGGGTGCACCACCTGATCCCGCTAGGGCCGGACGCCGTCACGCCGCCGGCCTTCACCTTCGACCAATCGCCGACGCTCAACTACGCCGGGCTCGGAGGCAGGATCGGAGCCCAGGTGAGGCCAGGAGGGCCGCCTGCCCTCCTGGCCGCAAGAGCCAGAAGCGCTCCCCCGGCTTCCACGGCCACTTCGCCGGCCTAGAGTGCGAAGCATATACACGGCTTGCAAGTGACGTAACAGTATCACCTTAGCATGACGTCATCCCATCGTGCTAAAGAATACGAATGCTATCAAAGCGGCAGGAACTCTGGAGCACTCGTGTAGACTCAAACCGACAGCCGACGTTTCCAGATAGCGAAACTTAATTCGGCCTAGGGCTACCAGGAGGTGCCTTTTAAGACTGTTGTGAGCCACAGGCTAGTTCTATCAACTACCCTCGACTGGTTGCTCTCGGTCATACTAATCCCAGCTGAAACAAGCGAGATACTGAGCACACGAGCAATGCACGAAGAAAGGCGCGAATGGTCTTTGCCTATAGCTGCTTCGGCGCAGAAGCTCTTTCATGCGTGTAAGTGCGTGTGTTTCGTTACTGGTAAGCATCTTTGGAGTCTTAAAGGTGGGGATAGGGTGGGGAATTCCGCTGGTAGATTCGGATCAGTCACCAAAGACCGCGAGGGACCAGAACTTCATCTTCTTTTTCTGACACAGTTTTATTAATCAAGGATTTTTTTTTATTTCATAGAGTTTCGCGTGAAAATAGCTCTTCAGCGGGTCACATGCCCTTTGTTAATTTTATTTTTTATATTTATTGTGGAACTTGCGATCCAAACCCGCAGTAAATGTTGCCATTCACGGATAAAAAGTGAGAAGCGACAAATTATTATTTTTTGATGACTCGGTGGGAGCGTCAAATAATTATAAACCCACTCCTTAGGTTCGTTAAGAGTAGCAAATATGTCAAGCTAGTTAGTGCCACTGTAATGACACGAACTTGGTGGAAGAAAATTCACGAAACGGCGTGGAACTATTCGACGAACAGCGTTAGATTATGTGTCCCTTTATTAACGGCGTTCGATGAAATGTTCAATTATCAAATGAAACGGCGTTCGATGGAGTGTCCACATATTCGATGAGATGTTCCATTATCAAATGAAACGGCGTTCGATGGAATGTCCACATATTCAATGAAATGTTCGATTAAACTGCTAGTGTTCGGTGAAAGTGCGTTCAATGTAACAGCGTTCGATGAAATGTCCCATTATTCTATGAAGCAGCGTTCGATGAAATATCTAATTATTCAATGAAACTGCGTTCGATAAAACAGCGTTCGATGAAATGTCTAATTCTTCGATAAAATGTCTAATTATTCAATGAAACTGCGTTCGATAAAATGTATAATTCTTCGATGAAGCTGCGTTCGATGAAGCAGAGTTCGATGAAACGTCTAATTATTCAATGAAACTGCGTTCGGTGAAGCAGCGTTCGATGAAATGTCTAATTATTCAATGAAACTGCGTTCGATAAAACAGCGTTCGATGAAATGTCGACTTTTTCGACGAAACTGCGTTGGGCGAAGTGTCCGTTCATTCGATGAAACAGCGTACGACGAAACGTCGGGACGCTGAAGTCTCCTTCCCAGGTGAAGCGGCTTCTGCTGAGCAAGCCCCGGCTGCTGAACGAGTCCGGCCTGTACGAGAGAGTCTGGTCGACGGGCCTGGTGAACGCCATGCGCGAGCGGATCCAGTGCCTGCGCAGCCGCTTCCTCTCGTACCGCTGGGAAAGCCAGCACGTCGGCGACGACCTCATCCGGACGGCCATTGTCACGCACATCGTGTACACGGCCTTCTCGGTGAGCCACGCGGCGTCGATCCGTCTATAATATATATACGTGGGGACCAGCGCGCGTCGCAGCCGCCAGATATATACAGTCAAATATAACGAACAGCAAGAGACGCTGGGATCAGTTCGATATAGCAAGTAGTTCGATATAGCAAAAAACACTTACAAGAAACTTCCACGATGCGTTCGTTGTAAGGCGAGAGCTTCTCTTCCTTTATCATCTCTTCACTTCCACCTTGCAACACCGGGGGGAAGGGACAGGTTAGAAGACGATTGTCTGCGCGGTTTTGGAAGCCTTTCTGGGGTAAAGTTGACATTTGGGCTAGTTAGTAGTCTAACATACTGAGGTATTTAGCGCACGAGGTAGAGAGAAGAAGGACAGGTCAGGAAAAGAGCGCTACACACAACTACGTTTACTGAAAAGAAAGGAAGAGAAAGAAAAAAAAAATCCTATGTCGTGGCTTTGCTGCTGTCGATGATGCGGCACTATTCAATTGGAATTACAATTCCCGACTACTAATGATTTGTCTTCTCCTAATCACTCCGACCAATAAGAAGCGGGATCGATGTTGTGCTCCAACGGTTAGTCTCCGAAGGGGTCGCCCTCCTCCCCATTCGTTGAACAGGATGAAGGCCAATCTGGGGCTTCGAGTGCATCGCGGAACATCACACGATCAGGAGCTTGTGCAGAGTGTAGGGAGGGTCCTGACATCGTTCACACGCAGTTGGCCCGCTTCCAGCCCACCTAGAAGACAAGGCCTGCGCATGACGTCATTGTTAGTAGACTTGCCCCAAGCGACAAGCACGCTGAAGCTCGGCGGCAGATGCATGCGTCGTGGCGTCGTGCTCGCTGTGAGACGCTGCAATCCGCGCTGTCGGCGACGCTGACGCAAGGTAGGCGGCCCACTAGTGATGACGCTTGAGGTGTCACAGGCTTTGTTTTCTAGGTGGCGTTGAGTTGGTCCGCTTCCAGTTGTGGGATTCTTAGACCTGATACTACGCCCGATTCGATCGAGCCACGCTCTTGTCGACTTCCCAAGGAAGTCACACAACACCGCAAGTGCAATCAAACAGTTTACTAACTCACATTTCGTTGCCCCAAGTCCTGTTCTCCTCCGGTGGCGGCTATCTGAACGACTCCCTCCACAAGGACTTAAATCAAGATCCTCAAAGAATACCTATGAGTTGAGACTCTCTCGACTGAAGACCTCCGATGAAACCTCCCGATAAAGACCTCATGGAAACTGTCCCTCAAAAACTCCTCACTTCAGATCCTAACTGAAGACCGTCAAATCAAGACTGTCCAAGTCCCCGCCTGCTATCTCCTTATATAGCCAGCCAGACACCTTTGTCTCCCGCCCCTCTCGCTCCCACCGAAAAAATCATGCCCACATAAGGCCGCGGGCGAGCACCACGGCACGTGTCTGGCGAAAAATCCCGGCTCGATACGAACGCGAACCTCAAAGGACGTTCGCCGGTGGGCAAGCGGGGCATGCCATCCTCGGTGCTGTTTACGTGATGGGGTTCAAAGGGTCCCGGGCTGGCGGGGAATGACGGCTTTGGCACTGGAGACGTTGGAGGAGTCAACAAGTGTTCACATCGGCAGGGAATGTAGGCTTCGGCCAGTGGTGTAGAAAGGGACGGGGTGAGGGGAGGGGGGGAGGTGGCTAGGATGTCCATGACTTGGGGTGCAAAGGGGGGGAGGGGGGGTCAAATGCCTGTGCATATTATAGGGTCGGCTGGATTTTTTTTCTTTTTTTGAAAAGGGGGAGGGGGTGATGCTGAAGTTCCATAAGCCTCCACCCTGGCTACGCCACTGGCTTTGGCACCGGGCATGTGGAGGCAAAGCCAAAGGTTCTCACACAGTCCTTCCTCCGCAGAGCGTGCTGGAGTCTCCGTCCGATTCCGGCCGGTTCCTGTCCGAGTCCCAGCGGTTCGGCATGTCTCCCGAGCAGCTGTTCTTCGTCGGCAGCTGCCTCAACTGGTGCCGCGACCTCGGGGCGTTGGACGGCGGCCGCCCCGCGGCCAGGGTCAGGGTGCGGGACAAGTGCCGCTTCTCGCTCATGGTCCTCGGAAGCTTCGCGAGGGCCTTCGGCTGCAGTCGCAAGGCCGGCGTCGAGGACTGCCTGAACGGAGGACGCCAGGACGACGGCACTGTGCTGGCGGACACAACCACGTCGCCTTTTTAGATGCGCCGTCGGGCCGCGGCCCGTCCAGACAACGTAGTCTCCTGGATCTGCGGGAGACTATCGTTTGTCCAGGAATGCTCCCTCGCCAAGTTACTCTCGCGACAGTTTTAACGAGGGATGATATAATTATTAAGTTTTTGTTCTAATTTTGTTTTGCTTTTAGACCGTTGCCACACGCTGCCTTAACGCCTGTCGGGCGAAAGCCGTGCAGTCAAGTAAATAAATAAATCGATATTTAAAGAGAAACATTCGCAGTTCTTTCTCGAACACCAAATTGGGCCCGAGAGTATGAAATTATTTCATTAAATATGTCACAGCCATGCCGAGCTAGGGCGCAAGTATTCCTGGCGCAGCTGTGCCGAGAGGCGAAATCAACTTGGCAGCTGGGCAACTCTGCGGAAACTTCTGTTTTCAAAACGCTTTCTCAAACTTTATTATCTTTTTTTTTTTTACTTCGAAGTTAAGGCAATGAGCTTATTCCAAAACTCGTGGCGCCTCATCGCGGCGTAACGCCAAGTTATGCATTGTGGGAATCAGTGGGAAGCAAAATCCATACGCGCTCCGCTCATGGCCCACAGGTTTCCAGAACGGAACGCACGCGGTGACAGTTTCTATTGAAGTACGAAACACTTTAACGTATGCTGTGGTCGAGCACTACCCGCTGTATGCGTTCCTTGTAGCGAAGCAAGTTCCACATTGTCTTGTCCCATGGGCGCGTTTGGAATGTTGGCAGATTTAAAACTCTTCCCGACGAAGTCTTCACCCCGTGTTGTTCTATATAGCCCGTCACTAGCCCAGAAAGTGCTGGACAGCGGCAGATAGCAATGAGATCTGTTCGTATCGATAAACCTTACCAGAAAATCCCAGGAGACCGGGCGGTTATCCCATTTAGTGCCGCGCGGTGTGGGATATTGTGGGGTTTTCGATGTACGCTCGAGCTTTGGCTTGGGGAATTCGGGTGCTTTGGACATCAGAGGAATGATCCATTCTTTAATGTAACAGACGCCGTAAGTGTGGCGTCGGTTCTGCCAACAAACCGCTGGCGTTGCTATGGACATGCGACATAGAACTGAATTTCGAACCGAAAGAACGATCGTTTGAAAATCAAAAGGGGGATTTAAACGTCTAAAAAGAACATTTAAAGACTCTTATCAGACTCTGTGCATGGGCACTGTCATATACGCTAAAACTATTTACACACCATTCGGCAGTAAAAAGGATGTTACCGTACCCACGGCTACACCATTTCAGTAAATTTATTTGGAGTAATACACCATTCATAATTATAAAGAGGGGCGCTGTTGAGTATAGACCTTTTTCGCATAACCTCAAACCAGCCAGTAACTGACGTACCCTCGACCTGGTACATTTTTGGATTGCCCGCTGAGTCGCTGACACAGGGTATGCAACCGCCAAGGGTATGGGCGAAAAGGCTTAAAAACGGACGTCGTGCATGAGTTAGTTCCGAGTGCTCCTTTTTACCGTGCTGCAATTTCCGAAAATCTACGGTTGTCTGGCTACCACTGCGTGGTCGATGGATAAATAATTTTAAAAATCATAAGAACAATACCAGCAAGTGTGCCATGAGCACAATAAGCTGCAGCACGAGTGTGGCTGCAATGTTATCGAGCTTCGCATTTTCCCCAAGAATCCTTATTTATGAAGTCCGTCGATTGCGAGCTTGAATCGCGAGAGATTCGTATCAGAATCAACGTCACGTTTAAGCTCACGACCACTTCGTCTACGACAAGAGGACCGATTTTAATTCCCGGTGCAGGTGGTCCAATTAAGTTATCACTGCAAGCCCCATGGTATGTGAAAGGTATGAAAAAGTCTACATGCCACCACTCAAGATGGAGCTATCAAATGTCTTTAGCTTACCTGCATAGACAACATTAAACTGCTCATATATATTTCGCTGTGGAAACTCAATCAAAACACCCCACCGTCTTTGTCTTCGTTCTCTCGAGGAGGCGAGGTGATGGCCTGGGAGCAGCCAGCCGGACAAGCTCGAACCAACTTATTGCAGCCCACCATAGCCAAGTCTAGCCAAGTTCCTCCCATACCCACAACGTTGCCTACCCAGATAGCTGTGCTGCCAGAACTAGCCGGTATTTCTTTTTCTAAGCCGCTAGACGGCGTCGTCGGCGCCGCAATTCTCAAGATGGCGGCGCCGTTAATGGAGTACTCCGCCGATTTTTTGAGCTACCTCAAATAACTATATTTTCTGACTCCCCGGCCTTTACTCTCTCCGGTATGCTATTTAGAATCGCGAAATTCATAATAGGTATTGTGAAATCGGCAAATGAAAATGATGCAAAAACCAACATTCAAATATACGCGCACTTTTCAGTGCCGCGACGTCAGTGGCAGGCAGGCTTGCCAGTCGAGCAAGCAGCCAAAAAAAAAAAAAATGGAATATGACAATAATTTGTTCCGTGCTGGAGCGCGGGTACTGCAGCGAGCTTCCCAAGCATTCATTTGACACCATGAAACTGCTTCGAATCAGTGTAAAACAAAATCTACGGCCCAAAGAGTGAACCCCTGCCTTCCACTGACGTCACTTTTTCATTGTTGCCAGTAGAGACTTCGAGCTTGAAAAACACGGTGAGGACCAAAACTGTAAATTCAATAACTTCGCAAAAAAACAATATTTTGACCTAATATTTGGGATACTATTTTCACGATGTTTGTTGGTTAGTTTAGCAAAATTTCAAGCAAATCGGAGACAATGAAAAATCCTGTGGAGTACAACTTTAAAGAAAAGGTCTATACACTCCGTGCGACGCGACCGGCGCGCCGCCGCGCGGCCGTTACCGAAGGTAGGCAGTGAGAGCCCCGGCGAAACGAAACCACGCCGCGTACCTTAGTACGCATTGAAGTCGGAGCGGTGCGGTTGCGGTGGGTTGACAGCATCAACTGCTGCGTCCTTAAGTGCTCCAATTGTTATGCGTCGTATCTCGTGGGAACGAAGTTTCGCAGTTTTTCACCTCGCCGATGTTTTGTGCGACAGCGACAACGATGGACCCGTGCCGTATGACGCGAGAAATTTAGTCTCCCGATCATGTCTGCCACTGTGTCGGCACGGCTGACATATTCTACACTGTCGCTTTGTGCCCTGCGTTTGTTTTTGTACTAGTAACGCCTACATACCTCAACTCGAACTGAAATGCCATCCCACACTCGTGGGTATGCAGTGCGAATTTCGTTGAAGGAATGCCCTCCAAAGAAGTTTCGCCCCCATCGTACGTGTCGATGCTATATACGGACCAGTATGGCATGCAGTCTCTACGACATGCAGAAAGATTTGGACGGCAGAAAAAGTGACAAATATGAATTTAAAGAAAAAATACAATGAAACTTGGAATCGCTGGACAATCGATGTTTGAGTATGCAAGTTTATCTGGTGTGCTTTTTTTTTTTTCATCAGCCTGCTTTTGGACGTGAAAACGCTGACACCCCGAGTCTTGAAGACAACAATTTTTTTTTCTCGGCTTTAGAGCCATTTTTCGCAAAGTTGTTCGAACTGGAGTACCGTCCACTGGTCCCTTTTTACCTGTAAAGTGTACACCTCCCGGCCATGATGCGTGGTATACTCTTGACAGCCTTTGACGGTCAAAACCGTTTCCCATTTAGTTACGCCGCCCAAAAATATTTCCACCTGGTTAACCTATGCCACCTCTTTTAGGCATAATAAGTGTTTTGTCAAGTTACGGTTGTCAAAATACCTGTGTGCCGAAAATCAGCACTTCGCACAACCAGATTACTACACAACAGCTGACCGCAAAAGCCTTTGACGGCCAAACCGTGTGTTGGCCGGCAACTTGGTTTTCTCGGGTTTGAAGCCACCTTTCGTAAAATTGTTTCAATTGGAAGTAGAGTGCACTGGTCCCTTCCTACCTGTAAAGTTCCATCTCCCACGACGAGTGGTATCCTCTTGACCGCCCCTTCGTGGTCAAAACCGTTTCCCATTCAGTTACGCCGCCCAAACCAAATTTTATACTTGGTTTCCCTATGCCACCTATTTTTGGTATTATCACTGTTGTGTGAAGTTACGGTCATGTCCAAGAACAAGTGTGTAGAAATCTGCACTTCGTATAACCCGGTTATAACATAACATTTTGGGTGTATTCCTTTATTCGTTCGAACCATAACTTTCTCTCCTGCTGTCTTAATAAAAAAAACTTGGCCCACTTAGTGCACAAAACTAATGAACATCTCAATCGCCTCCAATTATCATCGTTCCAGCAGTCCTACGTTTACAGCGACGAGCGAAACTAATTTCCCACTGAGAGCAATTATGGTGGCGATCGTCTTGCTTTTCGGAAAATTGCTCAAACCCCTTTTTCGACCGCAACTAAAGAAATTACACCTAATAACGGCTCAAACTCTATATATAAGAAGCGGAGAACAGCTAATTGCCCTTCTTAAATCTGCCCCAGCACTCATGCAACGTCACCCTCAACTTATCGGCTCAAAAAGCAAAAGTTCCGTCCGTGCGCGCTTCCGCCGCCACAGCTTCGCACGCGAAAAGGCGCCGCAGGCTGCTGAGCGCGCCTCACTGTCGAACGCCAGCTCCTCCACTAGCGGCGCTACGCGCGTTTTTCAAAGCGCCCCCTATAGTTCCCGCACGGAGTGTATAGAAACAACCATAATTTTCTGAAGGGTGTAAAAAGGGAGTAAAAGGTGTGCCTTTTACTCCCTGATCGTTACCTTAGAAAAAGTAATAGAATTAAAGTTACAAGTTACTAAAAAGTAAAGAAATTACAGTAACGCGTTACTACTTAAGACTGCCTCTCCTCCCATAAATATTTCATTAATAATACCGTAGCTTTAATTTGCTTGTTTGTCCTAGTGTCTTTATGAGTCCCATGGATACGTCCTCTGGGCCTGTCGCTGTACCTCCCGGAACCTTACTTCCTGCCTTATCCCATTCTCTTGTGGTCATCTCCATTGTTACACAATTCTGCCCCTCCCGTAGACCGCTGCTGTCAGTGCTATCCACTGTCCCCCTCTCCTCAAGCTGCGAGAAAGCCTCCTCGATTGTCTGCCTAATATATTCCCGTGCTTGTTCCCCCTTCTCCTCTCCTGTGTGGTCAGGAACTGTTGGAAACCCTCTGTCTTTCTCCCCAACGCTTCAATGTGCTCCCCAAACATTTTTGCCGGATTCTTTTTTTAAAATATGCATTTCCATCATCTACTGCACTCCTGCACTAGAAGTCTGCACGGGTACGGGCCAGCCCCCG